TAAATTAGTTCAAATGTCTAGGCTTAGATTATTTACATTTTATAGGACTGAAATAAGTTGCCAATATACGTTAGGAGTTGTTAACTATCCTTTGAACAGTTGTGGTTATAGGGAGAGTTTATAGGAGACTGAAAGTAGTTCTTGCCTCAGTTTTCGAAAAGGGGAAGATAGTAGTTTCAAGATTACATTTATACCCACACACACACACACACACACACACACACACACACACACACACACACACACATCTATGCATACACATATTTATACATATATGTGTGTATGTATAGAGGGAGAGAGAATATTTGGATTTCAGCATATCTCATGAGTACTTTGCATCCTTAGCCTTGGAAAAGCAATAGCATTGAGTTTTGTTTTGTTTTTTAATTGGGTCTGTAAGAGACCATAGGCTCAATCAGAATCATCAATATGATGTGGCAACCAAAAGGCTAATCCTGGGCTATATTAAGAAAGATTCATTTCTAGGAATAAGGAAATGCTAGTTTCTCTGCCCTCGTCAGACCACATACAGATTATTGTGTTCATTTATGCTGGACGTTAATAAGCCAGAGAACATCCAAAGTAAAACAACCAGAATGGTAAAGGGCCTTGAATCCATGCCATAGGAGGATAGTTTGAAGAAACTGGGGATCTTTATACTGAAGAAGAGAAGACTTGGGCAGACATGAAACCTCCCTTCAAATACTTGAAAGGCTGCCACAAACAAGATGAATTTGACTTGTTCTGCCTATCTCTGAGGGCAAAACCAGGAGCAGTGGATGGAAGTGGCAAAGAGGCAAATTTAAGATTGATGTCAGGAAATACTTTCTAACAAATGGAGTTTTTCAAAAGTAGAATCAAGATATGATAGTTTCGTTTTCCCTGGAGGTCTTCAAGCAAAGACTGATAACTGCTTGCCAAATATGTTATGTTAAGGATTTTTTTCCAGACTTAAGCTGGAGAATATGGCCACTTGAGTTCTCTTTCAAATCCAGATTCTGTGATATCTATGTAGATAAGGTACAAAAATATAGACTATATGTAACAGTATAATAAGGTGGATTTTTAGTAAGTTGGTGAACTGTATCTTTCTCAGACACTTTAATATACATGCCACAGAATTCTGTCCTTAGTGCTGTTCTATTTACCATTTTTATTAGTGATGTGACCAAAGTCATAGAAAACATAATTATTAAATACTCAAATAGCACAAAACTAGTATTGATGCATAATGTTTCATGAAAGAATCAGGACCTAAATTATTTGAAATAATATGCCAAAACTGACACACAATATAATAGGAATAAATATAAATTCTTAAATGTGGGTTCAACAAAATAACTGCACAATTATAGGCTGTAACGTAGCTTAACAAAAATATATGCAGAAAAGACTCAGTTTGTGCTTATGGCAAGTCAAATGTTAATCAAATTATATGACTGGCAAAAAGCTAATTTCTCTTTTAGGCCTAGTTAATGGAAATATAGTCATGGATAAGAGAAAGAAATATCCATCCTCTGCACTTATCATCTTAAGTGTAGTGTACCAGCCACCACCTTTTAGGCAACACATTAACAGAATATATTGCATTTTTCAGAAGACAAAGCATAGTCTTAAAATCATGTTATGTAAGAATTGCTAAAGGAATTGGTGACATTTAGCTTAAAAAGAGAAAATGAGGTAAGAAGCTATATCTGTTTTCAGAATATTTAAATAACTTGGGGCAAAAATCAGGAGACATGAGTTTGAATCTTGAATTTGATGTTGCTAGTCTTGTGTCCCTTGGTGATCACTTAGGATGTCTGAGCCTTAGGCTCCACATCTTTAATGTTGGTGATGGTATTATTTGTACTACCTGTCTCACAAGATTGTATTATTAAACTTAAGGAAAACTGGGCTTGGTTAAACATGAGGAAGAACTTCTCACAAACAAAGCTATCCAAAAATGAAATAAGCTATCTTATGAGATACTGAATGGAATACTCATGGCAGTTTTGGGAGGGAAAGGGGGATTTTTGTTTGGTATTGGAAGAGATAACCGTGGTCTTTTGTAACTGGAGATTATGGTGCTACATACATAACTAAGTTGTTAAATCTTAGAGTATTCGGAGTTTTGCTTATTCAATTTGAAAACTATCCAGCCTTTTATTTTATGCTTTTTTCTCTTCATACTTAAAAAAAATACTCATAACTGTTTATTAACCTTTTTACTATAGCCAATTAAAGAAATCAATCCCATTTTCATAAATTGTAGTTTTTGATTCCTGACTTTTTTATTCACACTTACACACTGAACTATTTTGATACTTCATACCCTTTTTGCTTTTTTGTACTTTACTTGTACAATTGCTTTATTGTAAATTTTTAAATAGTAGGAATTGTAAATACAAAATTTTGTAATACCATAAATGTTATACTTAAATAGATAACTTAAAGTGCATTTAAAGATAATGAAACTTTTTAAAATTTTAATACTCTTGACAGATTATGTATAGAAAAGTATAAATGGCTATTTTAGTATACTTGAAAAAAACTATATAGTTTTGTGCCTTATGTAATAAATTCTAACTCCTCTAGTCATCATCAAATGTGGCTTTTAACCATTACTTTTTTTCAAAATAATTCCTTAGTTGGCCTTTTTTGAAATTCAAATTTCCATATTGAGTGAGTTGTTATGTTAGATTTAATTTCCAAATAAAGGAAAGAAAGCTAATTCAGGAAATCAAACTTTTTTTACTAGATTTAAGTAAATATTTGTAATGTTAACACAGGTAAAATTATATGAAAGCAATTTGTGTTTCCAAATATAAATAGACTTCTTTTTTGTATTTAAATAATTTTATAGTTTAATGGATAATACATCTATAAAATTTCTTCACTTTTATTCCCTAATACAGTTCTCTTTTGGACTTTTTTCCATTTTTACCCAAACTACTTTTTCTGTTCACCTCTTCCACTCAGTGTACAAAAGTGAAGATTATTTGGATTAACAATTTTTTGTGAATTCTGGGTAAAGAAAAAAAAATCTTGACAATTTAAAAAAATCTGTTGATTCATGCAGATACAGTTTCACAATTTGATCTAAAACATTTAGTATGTGTTAGACTATGTAGAATAGTCTTCTAATATTATAGTAAAACCTCTCACTAATTCAGAATTGATAATTCAGACAATATATGTGATATTTTTGAATAAAAAATTCAAAATAATTTCTTCCTCTGTGAATTTTCAGGGTCATACTTGTAAAGGGAATCCAGTCTAAAATCAGTAGCTTTTCAAACCAAGGGCTCGAGAAATTAAGGATTCCTTCAACGTGCCTCCAACTTCTGGGTCCAGCAGTTAATTCTTGTATGTTAAAGGACTTTTATGTTTATGATACATTATTATGTAACATAGGCCAATTTTGAGTTGTAGTTTTGTTAACCTAATTTTACTTATTTGTACCAATTAGCTTATAACATGTACTGTACTTGAAAATATTACAATTTCAATTATTTTAAATTGTTCAAAGATTTAAATTTTTCCCTAAGTTAAATAGGCCCCTTCTATTCCGAATTAGTGAGGTTTTACTGTCCTAGTGCTCTTATTTAAAGAAATGGTGTATTATAAGATGTAGCTTGAAGAAAATTATGATGATTCATCTAGCTATAAAAGGGGTGAGAAATTATTTAGACTCAATATTTCTTGCCATGATTATTTCTAAATTATTAGAGAAAGAAAAGAAAAAATTGGCATAAACGGTTTTGACTTTTCCCCATTTTACACTATAGGTGGGGACAATGTATATCCAAATAAGTGAAAAACAAGTTGGAAAGGAGATTGATTAAAATTGAATATTTTTTGTATATGACAGGTAACTTACTGGATAATTTAGATATTAATCTGCCCCCCAAAAAAAATAACAGGATTGACCATTTAACTACTTGAAGTTCTTTTCAGCTTTATAAGTGCGTTTGAATATTAATTTTGTAATGTACATAATGACAGTCAAAAATTTTTTCTAAGATTGACTAGTGAAAATATTTTAGATTATTGTGAGAAGATATAAGCTGACTTCTTTATTCCATCATTATTATTATTATTATTGTTGATTTCTGCAAAAATGCTCTAAGATTCTCCATATCATGGGATCACTTTTGGTCCTAAAGTTTGAATATAGGAATATTAACAAAGATCAGGAATTGGAAAACCTAAAAAGAGAACCTGATATGTGGTAAACAGAAGTCAGAGAAAGAAGAGGATAAAATCCTGAAAGAGGAGAGGGGAAGGTAAAGTTAGGAGTGAAAAAGATAGGGCACAGAGAAGAGCAGAACAATATTGAAAGAAAGAATGCAGAGAATGTTGATGGCTGGTTTTGATGTAATGGAAAGGAAAAAAAGGCAAAGAAAAGGACTTGATTGGGTAGAGTGATGATTATGTTGGGGAAGAGATGAGTGGGGGATAGATATATGTTTTATGAAAGTATTCAGTTCTTTGAAAATAAAATATTAAGTAATTGGTTTAAGAATATATTTTGGCAAAAAAAAAGTGAAATTCTCTCTAAGAAATCTGATTGATTTTCATTGAGAATTTTAGTTATATTAGGTTATACTACATAGTTGAACTACTTTAAAATGCAACTATTCAATGGCTTGGTGTATAATTTTAAGACAAATTATGTTATTTATATATCAAATTTACTATGGTTTATATTTGACTTTTTTATTAAATTAATGACTTTTCTAAATTGCATAACTGTCTACATTAGTAGATCTTAACTTTAACTGATTCAGAATTCTGTATTCTTAATGATTTAGTGATTTACAAACAAGTATAACATACCTTTCTAAAATTGCTTTGTTGCAGGTAGATTCTTGAGCTATTACTTCTAACAACTGCAGATTCTTCTTGCTGTTCTGTTCTTTTTTATAACATTTGTCTTCTACTTTTTCATAGTTACTATTTTAAAATTTGTTTTTGAATGTGAGTAGTGTCTTGGTTAAATATTGCAATAATTACAGATGGAAGTGGAGAAAGAGGAGAGAAGGATGCAAGCAAAATCACAACATATCCTCCAGGCTCTGTCCGTTTTGATTGTGAGCTGCGGGCAGTACAAGTCAGCTGTGGATTTCATCATTCAGGTAAATGCAACTTTTCTGGGAGCTACATTGTTAAAATATTTAGAAATTGTGGTAAATTAGTTTCAACGCATATGGCAAGTTTTCATTCTATGTCTAAAGCGAAGATGTTTAGCAACATGTTGATCAACATGCGGTGAAATAGATTGAACCTAGGTTCAGAAGAACTATCTTCTGGTCCTACTGCTGCTCATTTCGTAACTGTGTAACATTCAGCTGATTTTTGTATGTTCTCTGAGCCTTGTTTTCCTTATTTGTTGATGTAAAGTCTGGAAGGGATATTACACGTTTAGTCCAGTTCTTTCATTTTTGAATTGAGGAAACTAAGGTACAAAGTGGTTAATTTGTTTGAGGTTATTGATCTAGTTGTTGGGAAATCCATTATTTGAGATAAGCTCCCCTGACACATAGTTCAGTGATGTTTCTACTGTAACAGCCTACCTCGCCTTTTTCTTCTTTTCTTTGTACTTGTATTGTTGCTCCCTTTATGCCTTGCTTCCCATTCATCGCTATCTGGGCCTTCCTCTAGGTTCTTTGGTATTTGACTTTGAATAATCTTCTACCCTAAGGTCCAGGATCAAAAACTATGGTGTAGAAGAGATATGGTGTTTTACATATATGTAAACAATTGAAAAAAAGAGGCAGCCTTTATTTCACTTTATTCTCAACCCATTCACTGCTTTAGTTAACTCATGGGGAAAGAAAAACCTTCAAAATAGCATGAGGATCAAATGAAACTGTAAAGTGCTAATAAAATGTAAGGAAGCATTTTTATGGTAGGACTCATCTTATCTGGTATGGTTCAAAGGAAAAACACCAAACAAAGAATTTGTATACCTGGATTTTTGTCATAACTCTTGCTGTTAATTTGCAATTACTATTCTAAGCCTTAGTTTCCTCATCTTTATACTGAGATACTTGAATTAAATGATCTCTCAGGTCTCTTTTTCAGCCCCATATTTTATACTTTTATGATTACAAAATCATATAATGCCACATATCCTAATTGATATTAAATATATTAAATTAAGTAGAAAAGCACAATAAACAAAACTACATTTCTTAAAATGTAGAAAAATGTTAAACAAAATTTATTAAATTTCTTTTTTTGTGGTTGAACTCTTTCAGCTGTTTAATAAGGACCTGATATACATTGAAGTTCAGATATAAGTGTTAAGCTGAGTTTTGTCTACTCAGAGCTCTTCTATTTCAACATTTTGGGGAGATGGCTGATTTGTTCAATATTATTGCTTTAAAAATATCTATCTAATAACTCAGTTTTATGAGGTTGATGTGGAGATAGTAGTTTAATTAAAAGAAGAAAACCTCTAACAAATGACATTCACTGTTCACAAAGTATAAATAATATGTAAAATATATATATAAAATATATATTGTATAAAGTAAAGTATAGGTGTATATGTCATGTAAAAAAAAGTAGACTTTTTATTACATGAGAAAAATCCTGCAGAAGTAGAACAAAATTATATGTAATAAACAATAAATACATTATTGTCATAATTTCCAGTTTAATATTCCCAATTTCTTCTAAGTTCGTAGAAAATACAAGTAATAAATCATATAACTTTTTAAGACAATGAGGGAGGGGACTGTCAATTCATTAAAGAAAAACTAACGCAATATTTTGGTTACAGTGGTTTTGATGGAAAATGGTGATGTTTATACATTTGGATATGGGCAGCATGGCCAGCTGGGACATGGAGATGTTAATTCCAGGTAATCTATAGCAATCTTAATGGAAATTATGATTTCTGTATAGTTTTCTATATTTTCAAGACAGAATAGTCTGCATATTTTTCTTTTTTAGTGATATTTTAATTAGTAAGTTCGATGTTTAACATATGTGGGGAGGCAACAATAGTTGTTTGCTGGATAGTTTTCCAGGTAATATCTCGGACTTTTTGAGAAATCACGGGTCTAGATTCCCTCTCAAAAAATGTTCTGACAATACTGAGTCTCTTTAGTTAAAAGTTTGATTTACCACCTAGATTTTAAATCTATTCCAAGTTATTATGGTACCAGGAGAGTTATATTAAAGAAAAAAATTAGCATAAAATTACAATAGGGAACTGTGCCAATTAAATAGCTAAAGATGCTTTAAGGCTTTTTACCCAAATATGAGTAATTTATGAAAATGTTTTTATTTTAAGACTCTACATTATTATCATTACTCTTTCTTCTTTTCTGTTCAATACCTCTCCTCTTTAAAAATCTCTTTTAAACCTTACTCTACTTTTTCCTTACGTCATTTACAGAAAGGGCTTGAGTCTTGTTCACTTTGATGACAAATTGACATTTTTAAGTTACTTTATTAATTTCCTAAAATAAATCTTGTTTATTAAACTAGATTCTAAGTCCCTTGAAGGCGTCTTCATTTGTTAAACATTGATTAAGCACCTACTATATACAGCTCACTCTGCTGGTTTCTAAGGATGATAAAAGGATGAATAAGACACTGTTCCCTGAAGAAACAACTTAATAAGTAGTAATTTTATATATAACACACACATAACAGATTAGAATATGTTAAGTGTATGAGAGAAGCACAAAGTACTGTGAAATCAAGTATAGAAAAGATAATTTCCAGCTGCTGGGATCAGAGAAAGATAATATGGAAAAGGTAGAATTTGAGCTGGATTTCAGAGAATGGGTGAATATCAGTAGCTCCAAATAGGCAAGAACATGTTCCAGGCATGTTGAATAGCATGAGCCAAAACATGGAATATAGGACATATCCAGGGGTTGATAATTATATGATGTGATAGACATTTATTAAGTGTATAGAATGTGCCAGCCACTGTGCTAAGCACTGGGGATGCAAATAAGAAAAAGGTAGTCCCTGGCCTCAAAGAGTTTTCAGTCTAATGGAGGAAGACAGTACACAAAAGGAAACTGAAAAAGAGAATGGTGAGGGGCTTGATAAAGGTGATAATGAATTACAAGCCAAACAATGCAGCTGGTGGCAAATACAGAAGTGGCTAGGATTTTGAGCCCTTTTATAAAGGGAGGCTTTTTTGTTCCACATTCCAGCTACTGAGGTAGAAGCAAGTGAGGGTACTAATGAGGTATAAGTAGCAAAGCTGAAGCAATCATCATGATAATAAGTTTCCTGACAATGAGTTTATCCTGGGCAGGATATAATGAAAATGATGGTAGAGTAGAAAACCAAGCAGCTGGTGGCAAATTATTACCTGTAGAAACAACAGGACTTAGCAACTACATGATGGTATCCTTAACAGAAATAGGGGATTTAGGAAGAGGAGAGGATTTGGGAGGAAATATGAGTTCAGTTTTGGACATGTTGAGTTTAAAATGTCTATGGGACATCCAGTTGGAGATGACTAATAAGCAGTTGGAGATGGGAGACTGGAGGTCAGCAGAGAGATTTGGACTTTTCAAACAACGTGAGAATCATCAGCAGAGAGACAATCGTTGCATCCATGAGAGCTGATGAGATCACCAAGAAAAAGAGTATAGAAGAAGGCCTAGTACAGAGCCTTAGGACAGTGGGTATAATTTGCATCAAGACCTAGCAAAGGACTTAAAAGGAGTGGTTAGATAATTAGTAGAATCAGCATGGAGTAGATGAAAACAGAAAGAAGAGAGTATCAGGTTGAAGGGAATGAACAACAGTGTTGAAGATTGCAGAGAGTTTCAGAATAATGATTGAAGGAAGGCCATTAGATTTGGCAATTAAGAGATGATTCGTAACTTTGGAAAGATTAGTTTTACTTCAAATGTTGAGATGGGAAGCTAGACTGCAGAGAATTGAAAAAAGAATGAGAAGTAGAAGTTGAGACATTTACTGTAGATGATCTCAGGAGTTTAGCAACAAAAAGGAAGAGAAATAAAGGATTGTGATGTATAATAAGTTCAAGAGACATAGTTTCTGGGTAATTAATCATTTTATTAATAATGCTAGCATATTATTAATAAAGCATATTATTAATAAAAGGATGGTCATTTGGCTGTCTTTCTTAGACCAAAGATCCTTCATGAAACCCACTCAACACTTATATGCCTTTGGAAATGTGTATTTTCTGAGGGTGGAAATCAGCTCTGATTGGTTAACAATTAATGAGAGAAAGAATATTATAATGAGAGGTAGACCTATTATGATGAAAGTCTGGGGTACATGATTTTGATTACTCAGTTTTGGTCTGAGAGACTTATCTGTATCCATATCACCTGTCTGACAGAAGGGAGAATCCACATTTTCCCCAGACTTGTCTGAGTTAAAAAAAAACAGAATCCATCAATTCCCCTAATTTTATCTTTTGAACAGATCTGAGTTCTTCCTCATTATCAGCCCTGCACTTCAAAGTCTGCCTGAATAACCTACAGGGGCAGATTTCTGACTGAGGAAGCAGAAAAGAAAAAGAACTTTGGTCCTAATTCAATAATTAGTTATTAAATACAAGAGAGAAATAATCATTTCTCTCAGGATGATAATCCAGAAGGAATGGACAGAGCAAGTGAAGGTTTTAGAGAAAGAGGAAAACATGGACATGTTTGTAGGCAGTGAGAGATTAAAGATAGGGATTACAGAAGGGGCAATTTATTGAAGAAGATGGTATTGAATTTTATGTATATATGTGTGTGTGTGTGTGTGTGTGTGTGTGTAAAATATGTTACTTGGAGACAGTATTAATTAGAAGAGAAATGGGAAATCAACAAAGGAAATACAGTGACTATAAAGGTGGTAATTTAGTAGTGTTACATACCAAACAGAAGTTTAAAAAGATTAAAATGACATTGAATTTTATATTCAGTAGGTTATATAGCTTATAGTCTTTGTGTTCAATCTTTAGCATAGTGCACTCCATGACGTAATTAACCACTTAATGAATGTTTTTTTATAACCATGATAATGCTAGAATAAGAAGCAAAAATGATCATCAAACCCTTTTGAATCTTTAAAACCTTTTCATATTTCTTTAGTTTACATGTCATTTAAGTAAATTAGCTTATTAGGTTAAAGAGCTGAGAAATCTCTAAGTGGATTTTGCTCGTATTTTGACTTAAATATGTAAAAAGGAATTTAATTGTTTGCAAGATCACTGTGTAGTATCTTGGAAGCAAGACTTCCTCATTGTGTGATGTTCATTTTTTAACCAATACAAAGCAGTAGAGTAATGCCATCTTATATTTTGGAAAAGATTTTGAAATTTAAAATTACAATGTAATTATTTAACAGAGAAAGGATCATAGAAGAACTTGAATAATTGTTATGTCTCTTCATAGTATTGATTAATTCTGTAAATGGATTTTCCAGTTATAAAATAAGGGCATATCACTGACCCTTTTGGATAATTTAAGGTTAATCATCTAATTTAAGCTCTATTTAAAAATCTTCAGGGCACGTAGGTGGCTCAGTAGACAGAGCACCAGCCCTGGAGTCAGGAGGACCTGAGTTCATATCCACCTCAGACGCTTACTAGCTGTGTGACCCTGGGCAAATCACTTAACTCTGATTTCCTCCCTCCCCACTTCCCCCCCAAAAAAAACCCTCATCTGATGTCCATTTTGTTTCATTAGAATCATAAATATTGTAAATGTTTGTAGTACCTTTGCCATGTTTTTTTTCACCCTTACTCCATTTAATGTTCTTAATTTAATAAAGTGATTTTTATTAGAGGTTGCTAAAAATTAATTCTAATTTTTTTATGCTTTATTTTTAAATTTAGGGGATGTCCTACTCTAGTACAAGCTTTGCCAGGGCCTAGTACACAAGTCACTGCAGGCAGTAACCATACAGCAATACTTTTAATGGATGGACAAGTCTTCACATTTGGAAGTTTCTCTGTAAGGAGTTTTCAGACTTTATTTTAATAATTCATTGTATCTTTAAATTATTTGGATTTCTATCTCCATTGTATGGTACAAGAATAACATGTTTTGTGTACATATACCCATTAATATTTTTTCTAAGTGAAAATATTACTACCTCAGTGTATCAGTATTGGTTATTACAGTTAGAAATGTTTATTGTAGCTCACAGCCCTTTAGGCAAACTGGTAACTCTTATGCCTTTCAAATAAAAGGTATTTTACCAATTTTATGTATACTTTTATAGCCATAAAAATATTTTTTTAAGAAAAAAAAGTTGACACACTGATAGATTGTATTAAAAACTGGAATATTATGAATATTTAAAGGTGGGTTACTTTGTGGGGTTTTTTGTGTTTTGTTTTGTTTTTGCCAAAATTTGAGACATTTGCAAACATTTTAAATTTGCCTGTTGAGGGTTAAAATTTGGGGGAAGAAACATAAGAAAGCATTGTATAATGATACTGTTCCTTCTGAGCCTGTATTGTGGTCATGACCAAAATGGCTATTCAGAACTGTCTAACTGTTTTATCATCTCAACAATCACCAAATGAGAAAGAGAGATTATTTCAATTAACCCTCAGTTATCCAGTAACTCTAATCTACTTTGTGAGTGTAGGTAGAATCAAAATGTGAATCTTTGCCATCATTTGACTGGTATACAGGGAATGAAAATAAATTTACTAGCTTAATAAAAACATATATAGCTTGGTAAAAAGTCCACAAAAAACACACTGCATTTCAAAGTGATATACATTTTACTCAGTGATTAACTTTTATGCTGATTTTTGCCACTTTAAAAATAGGGTTATATATGCTTGCCTTGTCATTGGGTGGTGGAGGGGCCAGAGAAGGGGTTGAGAATTAGGAATGCAAAATTTTTAGAAATAACAATTTAAAAAATAAATTTGATTTGAAAAACAGAAAAAATGTTGTATATTATGTGAATCTATTCATTATTTGAGTAAATCTTGAATGTTCTTACTGTTTCTCTGAACACCTGGTTGTTATTCCTTCCCATGGAACAGAAGAGAACCAGGGATAGATGGATTACCAAGCCACTCTTCTGGTCTTTTATTCTTTTGTCCTTCAGGCTTGACAGGTGCAGCAGATACACAGCAAGGAATTAATCCCTTATAACATTGCTTGACCAACCTTGTGGCAGGTTATCTTGCTTACTTTTCTTTGTATCCAGTAGCTGTACAGGTCTGCTGAGATTATGATATTCTGCATGTATGCTACAGTGATAACTTCTGTGTAAGGGAGTGGCAAGGAATAGGGAGAAATCAACATTTTAAGTTGGGAAAGAACATACTTGCTAACTTCCTACTTCTCTAACCTATTCTAGCTCCTGGCTAAGTAGACAGGTATTATTTAATACTTTTTCAACTTTAACCTTCTGTTGTCCTGATTCCATGTCATACTTGTAAAGTACTTTTTTTTCATCCCTAAAATAGAAGCATAACTAAATTGTGAATGTGAATAAATATGTAAGTAAGGGTGATGTGACATTTTTAAAAATTTCCTGTGTTACATACATCCTTCCTCAGAGCAGAGTTGGGGGGAGGATAGTAGGACAGAATGTTATATGCATTTTCTCTGTATCAGATGTTTTTAAGGGTCCTTTTTCACAGAGGAGAATTCAATCTGGTGGTGAGATAGGGAACAATGATGAAGTAAACAAAAGGTGTCGATAACAAGGATTAAAATAAAAGAGAAAAAAGAATTGTTTTGGATTACCTTGTAGCCATCATTCCTTTTTTTATTTTAACAAAAGTTGCTTAAAACAAACATTGATTATTTTTATATAGAAATGTAAATGAAATAATCTATTTTGCTACATTCACTGTAAATACTTATTGTTCATAAGTTTTATTTTCAGTATATGAATTATATTACTTGTTTTTAATGTGTTAATAGGTTTATATAATATACAATTTCTGGTCTTTTCTTCATAATCACAACTTACTTCTCAGTGTTCTAATGGCATCTTGTTGAAATGATCTCCTTGGAATGTAGTATTATTTACTAAAAGAGCAAATAAATGAATACAAGTTATTTTAAGATGAATATGTTAAGCTTTTTGCTCTGAAAAATATTTGTGGCTTATTTTTGGAAGCAGCGTTTTTTAAAAATTTCTTGCTGAGATTTGTTCTCATTTGGGTCTAGTTTTGAGAGTATCTGTTTTCATAAAAGTAAAGATTAAACTTTATATGAAATTTCATGAAAACTTGAATTCAAAGCACATATAAGTGATCAAGAACTTATTTCATCATGGATGTTATATTTTGTTTCATATATGTGTGTGTGTGTGTGTGTGTGTGTGTGTATATATATATATATATATATATATATAATATATATATATATATATATACACACACATACATATACACACACATATGTTATACCATATAAATGTTTTATTTTGACATCTTCCCTCTTGTTGACATTATGGGCTGTGCTCTTGTTATGTTTTGTTCTACTTAATGTTATTGCTGTTTTCCATACTGTTTAGAAAGGACAACTTGGCAGACCAATTTTGGATATGCCTTACTGGAATGCAAAACCTGCTTCCATGCCCAATATTGGATCAAAATATGGACGCAAGGCTACTTGGATTGGAGCAAGCGGGGACCAAACTTTCTTGCGCATTGATGAAGCACTTATAAACTCCCATGTACTTGCTACGTCAGAGATTTTTGCCAGCAGACACATAATAGGTAAAATAAATAGCCAAAAAAATTAGATCTCTTGGTATATATGGTCAACACTGTAAAAGATTTTACATTCTACTTGAAAGGTAAGAGTAAGAATGAAGAAATTGAGGCGAGTATAGATTATAGACAAATTGTCCTCTGACTTCTCTGCTTGTTTGTTAGATGGAAGGGAATGAGAGGAGGTTGCTAAGATATAGATGAAATGGAAAGATGAGAGGGTGAGAAATCCAGACTACAGTATTCTATAAGGTAGCCTATACATACTTAAAACATAAAAGGCTATTTGAGCTCTGTAGAAAGATTATTTGAAAGTTGGGTTACTATTTCCCTTGTAGTAAGTAGATTATATATCAGAATGCATGGATTCTGTGTATAGTGTTTAACTGTACATATGAAGGAATAAATATTTGCTTAATTGGCCTTTTTAGAGTCACAATTAAGTGACTATTAAGTTAATATTTAACAGATTATATTACTACTAAAAATCTGTATTCATGTGGTCATAATACCATAAGCCAATAGGGGCTTTAATGCCAAGATAAATGGTTTGCATTTTATCGTATAGGCAGTAGGGGACCACTGGGATAAGGGAATGATTCAGACATGTACATTAGGAAAATACTTTTAAAACAATATGTAAGATAAATTGGAGAGAGGTGAAACCAGTTAGCACTTACAACAATCCATGTGGGAGCTAACTAGAGCTTGAACAAGGTGGTGGCAGTAGAGGTAAATGGAAAAAGGATAAATGTTAGAAATATTTAGAAAGCAAAATTGGTTTAATTTGGGAGCACAGTAGGTCAAGAAATAAGAATACTCAAATATAAATCTGAGTTGTAAGAGTATAAAAGCCTGGGAGAAAAAACTGTAGTGTCATCAAGATAAGTGGAGAAATAATAAGAGTGGCAGGTGTTGGGGAAAGAGTGGTAAGTACTATTCTGAATATGTTGAATTCAAGACATTGGCAGACTCTTCAGGGGAGTTCCAAATGAGATATTGGAGCCATGAGAAAGATTGAAGTTAATTGAGTTATTTGCAGAGGCAATGTTTGAAGATATTTGTCAGTGAGATTGACAAGGATGAAAATATAGAGAAATAATCAAGAGAACCAACAGAGGAGAATGTTACAAAAGCCATGAAAGGAGCTCTGTGTAACACAGGGAGGCCAAAGAATTCAGCCACGTATCTGTTCTTTGTAGTTATATAACTGGGAAGGAGTCATGAGTTGGGGATGCTTTTTTATTTTTGTTTTGATTGGAGTACTATTTATCATTTGATTCTGCTAGCATTTGTCTTAGATTTACCCTCTGTTTAAGATGATTTTTTTCCCCTTTTTCAAGGCTTAATACCTGCTTCTATATCAGAACCTCCTCCATTTAAATGTCTCCTGATAAATAAAGTGGATGGAAGTTGTAAGACATTTAATGATTCTGAGCAGGAGGATCTGCAAGGGTTTGGTGTATGTCTTGATCCTGTTTATGATGTTATTTGGAGGTAAGTTGCTTCCTATGTTTATAAATCACTATACTTAATATGCATTTTATTAGAAAATCTTCATTCTGTTTCTCAATTAGGTTTTTCCTGTTGCTACAAATTTAAAGTGCAAATTCTTCTCATTTGCATTTAAAGCCTTTCACAGTCTGGCTTCAAGGCTAATTATACTTCATTATCCTTCTTTCACTCTATCTTCCTTCTAAACTGGCCTATTTACTGTCTATTCACAAGATTCTACCAACCATTTCCATGTCTATGCACAGTCCATTTCCCAAGCCTGAAATGTTCTGCTTCCTCACCTCTGTTTCTTGTAACCTTTTGTCCTATTTAAGGCCCAGCTACTTAGGAGGCTTTTCCTGCTTACTGAAGGCAATTAGTACCCTTATCCCAAATTCGTTGTGTTTTTGTATAAATCCTGCATTTACTTCTCTGTGCACATGTTTTCTTCCCCTCGGTAACATGTAAATTCCTGCAGGGCAGACTAGGCTACTTGGTATGTCCCTAGCACCTGGAACAGGGTTGACTTAATAAATTATTGTTAATTAATTTTTCCTAGTGATTTTTAATCAATTTAATATGAAGACTTACTAGGAAAAGATAAAAATAATATGAACATTTTGGTTTTTTCACTACTAACTGTAATCATCTTTTATGATATTTGGCAGTTAACTGTGGCATTTAATTCTGTTTTTGAAAATAATATCATTTATAATTTTTAGGCTTTCAATAATTCCTTTTCTTGTTCAAGGTACATAGTTTTATGTAACTTCAGCCTATTATGATCTTCTGTCATCAAGTAGATATTGCAGTGACCTCTTAGAGAAGTGTACGTTGGGAATTGAGTACTGCCATGTAGGAGCTTAATTAAAATTTTGGAAAAGCAAAATCTCTTAGAAAGACCTGTAGAGGGGGCAGCTAGGTGAAACAGTAGATAGAGTATTGGCCCTGGAGTCAGGAGGACCTGAGTTCAAATCCAGCCTCAGACATTTACTAGCTATGTGACCTTGGGCAAGTCACTTAATCATGATTGTCTCCCCACCTCTAGCCCTCCCCCCAAAAAAAAACCTGTGGAGAAAATGAAGATGAGAGTAGAATAATAATAATGATGATGATGATGATGATGATGTGGATTTTGAAATGGTTGAAACACCTGACTCAGGGTATAGATGTCAGACAATGTGAGTAATACTGTGAGATTCTCTATGAACTTGTTCTTTCACACATTTTTATCAGTCACTTGCATTAAGAATGGTTGGCTTGTACTCTAAATTTGCATATACTACAAAGCTGCAAGGGATGGCTAATATATTAGCGAGTAGAATCAACATTTAAAAAGTTCTCAATAGTCTAGAATGTAGAAATATGTTTAACAAAGGAAAATTTAATAAAGACTGATGTACATATGTACTTTTTTTTTTTAGCACTGACATGCAAAAATTCACCCCTGGAAAGTATAGGATGAGAGAAATATGACTAGAAATAGACCATGTAAGAACAAGAAAGACCTCAGAGCTTTATGAATCTGGAAGCATAATACAAAGCAAAACTGTCAGAGCTAATGAAATTTTAGGCCACATTGATAGGAGTATAATTCCAGAACAAAGAAGATGAGATCCCTGCTATAATGTTCAACTAAGTAAATCACTTGTTTTCAGGTCTTTGTTACTTAAAATTGTGTCATGAGGATCATGGTAGCTGTTCTCAGACTTTTTGGTCTTCTAAATGTACCCCCTTTTTATGCCCCCTTTACATTCCTAAAATTTCTGTACCTAAAAAGATTTTGTTTATATGGGTTATATCTATCAATATTTATCATATTAGAAATTAAAACATTTTAATTATGAGAATAGTTTTGACCTTGCAGATTCTCAGAAATAGTCTCTGTGGACCATACTTTCAGAATTGCTAATTTAAGGAATGAGGGGCATTGAGCCTGTAGGGAAAAAAAAGATTCAGGAGAGGAGATCGTCTTTCATCAAACAGTCAAACCAGGTTTTAATAGGATTCGTATTTGTTTAGCCCCAGAGGAAAAATTGGATCAGTAGGTAAAAATTATAGGGAGAGATTATTGCTATTTAAGAAAGAATTTTCATTATCCAAAGATGGAATAGGCTGGCTACCTTAGTAGGTAGTGAGTTCCCTATTACTGGTGGTATTTCAGCAATCTGGACAAGAGGTGTCATTGATGTTGTGGAGGTAATTTGTGCTTTGGTAGATTCTTTGATTATTTAAGGTAACCACATTAGTAAAGTGATACAGAGATAGGATTCTATATAAACAGTTTTGTTATGAGGATCATAGTTACACAGAATGCTTTTCTATAGATGTTAAAGATTTTCTAGTCTAATTTCTTCATTATTACAGATGAAGAAACTGAGATCCAAGTATGAGAAGTGATTTAGTAAGGTCACACAGATATAAACACAGCCGGGGATAGAACCCACATCTCCTGGAAATTCAGTGTTCTTTTGGCTATATAATAGTGTTTTAAAAAACTGTTTTCAACAATTTAAAAACAAACCAACGCATAAATTAATATACATTTTTTTAAACCAATGCATTGCAGTTTCCTCCACAGGCTCCCTTTGTGACCTTCCACCAAATTATATTTTTTCTTTACATGTTTCAAGTTCTTATTATTAATAATCATAGATAACATCTAGTTTTGAAAAGCATTTTGCATAACTCTAATCCTTATAACATCTCTGGTACATATTCAACTTATGTATTACATGTTTTTTATGTTACATGTTTTATATATTTTATGTAAGCTAAATAATTTCTAAAATGCTTTAATTATTGTTTTTGTTTTTCAGATTTCGACCAAATGCTAGAGAATTGTGGTGCTACAATGCTGTAGTTGCTGACTCCAGGCTTCTTCCTTCTGCACCAGACATGCAGTCAAGATGTAGTATACTGAGCCCTGAACTTGCTTTGCCCACAGGATCAAGAGCTCTTACAACTAGGTCTCATGCGGCTTTGCACATCCTTGGTGAGTAGGGCTTTGTGACTGGCACTCAGTTAAATTTCTTTAGCTACTCTCTTTTATTTTCTGAGCGTATGGAGATAATATAGTTTATGTTCTTTTTTGTTAAAAAGCACTGAACTAGGTACCACTGTAAGACTGGTAGAATTCCTCCTTCAATAAATTTCTCTGTAAAGAAGAAAGACACATGTAAATTGTAGCTTATAGTAAGTCAGCGTTAAGAGAGTTCCCTAACTGTGTTGTCTTAAGCAGAGGTAGATTTTGACTTCTTTTGAGTAGCCCTCCTGTTGAACCATTAAAACTTGAACAGGTCAGTTTTGCACACAGTTAGTGTATTTTACTTTTCTTGATTTGTTTTAGGTTATATAGTGTCAGTCTTGCTAAGAATTTCTTTTTACAGAGCTTAAATATTATTATCTTCATTTTGTTTCAGGTTGCCTTGATACATTGGCAGCCATGCAAGATTTAAAAATGGGTGTAGCAAGTATAGAGGAAGAGACTCAAGCAGTAATGAAAGTTTATTCCAAGGAAGATTACAGTGTGGTGAACAGGTTTGAAAGTATGTACATTTATGTTTGATGAAAAGTGAAATTTCTCTGTAAATATGAAATATTATTACTAAACATTTAAATCATTTATGCTCTTTAGGTCATGGAGGAGGCTGGGGTTACTCTGCTCATTCAGTTGAAGCAATTCGTTTCAGTGCTGACACTGATATTTTACTTGGTGGTCTTGGTCTTTTTGGAGGTAGAGGAGAATATACTGCTAAAATAAAGGTAAACTATTGTATTATCCTTTTCATTTGTGTTAAACAAATGTGGATTTTGACCTAGTTACTGCTATCCTGTAAAAGTGATGAAAAAACCTATTTTGTGAAACCAGCATTCCTGACCATACTGTCTATAAAGACATTCTTAGTCTGTTATTATAGCTACTTGTTTCCAGCTTTATCCTCTTGTCTTCTAAGTTACATGAGAGAACTTATTTCTCTTTGTTATACTGTAACTCAGTAAACTGTTACCTGTTGTTTTCTAGCCATACCATCATTAGACTGTATTGTGCTGCTTTTATATTTGAGGAAATCCTTAAAAATATTTCTTCTAAACAATCTACTTGTGGTTACCTCCCTATAATTCATAGATATAAGGTCACTTTTCATATTATTTTCCACTTCAAAAGTTTTTTCACTAATTAATCCTCTCTTAAGGTCAAGTTCAGCCTCTTCACTTTAATTCTAAAATTGTTTTTCTAGACTACTTATGTTGTTATCATTGTGACCTCTTTTCCTATTTGCCACCTTACCATATATGCTCAGGAAAATATTTTTCTAGCCTCTAGTTCACTTCTCTTTGCCCCATGCCTCTTTGTAAGCTTTTTTCTCACTCCCATTTCTATCTCCTTCCATACTATGTTTTGAACAATTAATTGCCTATTACTTTTTAATCATGCTGTTTTGTTTTTGCAATGAAATTATTTCCTTAGATTTTATCCCATTTGGAAACACTCCAAGATGGAATAGTTTAGGAAAAGATCCTCACCTCCTTCAAATACTGTTGTTCAACAAAAAAAAAAACTCTACCCACATATAAGGACTTTCAAGTCTTCTTCCTTATAAGAAAAATGAAAATTGAAAAATCAGAAAAATTCAGTTTTTTAAAATATGTGGTATTTTTACATGTTACCTTGTTCATTTTAAATGAAAACTTCTAGAGAATAGGTTCTACTTTATTTTTACCTTCATAGTGCTTAACATATTAAGAATTTTCTGCAAATAAATAACAAAAATCGAAATACAAGTGATTGACTGCTGAGGTAAAAATCAACATTTCTTCCTTCCCTTAGTTATTTGAATTGGGTCCAGATGGAGGAGATCATGAAACTGATGGTGACCTTCTTGCAGAGACTGATGTCTTGGCATATGACTGTGCTGCTAGGTAAATGTTTTTTCTTGTCTTTGTAACTACTTATAAATTATGGAGTGAGATTAATAAGCTCTATTTTTATACTTTTAAACTTTTTATACTTTTTAAACTTTATAAACATTTTAATTTTGTACTAAATATTTAAGCTTAACATTTTGAACAGAAAGTTTAAAATTAGTGTATTTCACTCACATATTTCAGGAAGAAAATAGAGATTTTAAACAGTCATTCAATTAAATTCTGTTTTAACTAATGTATCAAAAGTAAATGAAAATTAATCTCTTCTTTACATTATATTTGTTACACAAAATAAAATACATTTTTAAAAATTAAATATAAGAGATAGTTATGTATTTGTTTACTATAGGAGGACAATCTCCTGTGGAATTTTTTTTTACCTCATTAGAAATTAATGATAGCACATTGAAGAAGATTGGATCAGAGAGTTGTTCTGTGACCAAATTGCCTGAACAATTATAGCTAGGTGGTGCAATGGATAGAATGCTGAGACTGGAGCCAGGAAGACCTAAGTCAGATCTGGCCTGAGACACTCATTATTTGTGTGATCCTGAGCAATTCACTTACTCTTCTTCTGCCTCAGTTTCCTGAACTGTAAAATGGAGATCATAATAGTTCCTACCTTACAAGATTGTTTTGAGGATAAATGAGATAGTATTTGTAAGGCACCACACCTGACACATAGTAGACACTCAATAAATACTTGTTTCTTTCCTTCTTCTCTATTAGGCACAGCCACTCAAGAAGCCATGTTGGGCCATACCTTAAACTACTTTTGAAGACTTATTTGACTATACTAGTACTGCAGATTAGGATAAAAACCAGCTCCATGGGACCAAATCTGGTTAGAACTTGTCAGGGAGCTCCCGGAATCATTTGGTTCCCAAATAGATTTTATTCAACACTAGAAGATTTAGTTTTAATAAGATCTATGTGTCTACCCTTCAGAGTGGTTCAGAACTTCAGAATTCCTAATTTTTTCACCCTGGGTTTCATGACTAAGAGTTTTTCTATGAAGTCTCCCTGATTCATGCTTGTGCTTTTGAAAGCTCATCCATTATCCTAATTCTTGGGGCACAGGCAAGATATCTTGTCCTGCAGAAGTCTAATATTACTAACAATATTAGTGGCAAGATAAAGACAGGTAAAGAAAGAGCTCTGGTTTTTGGTTGTGCTCTGGTTTCTTTGCTTCAAAGAAAATTGAAATATGATAGTAGAAATACAGTGAAGAATAGCCATGGGGAGCAAGAAGTATGTCCACCACTCACATTGGGTCTCAGGTGAAGTAAGCCAGGAGAGATGGTTGATTGGAAGGACTCTGGTGTCTTTTTGATGAGCTAGGTTTCCTTTCTTTTTTGTTTTTTGTGTTTTGTAGTGTTTTTGACACGCAAAACAAATTTCCACATTATCCATTTTCCTAGGGGAAAAAGTGAGAAAAAGAAAGAAATAAAAGAAAATATGTTATAGTGTGCACTGAGTATCACTTCTGGAGGTGAATTCATTATGAGTCCTTGAGAATTGTGATTAGTCATAATGTTGGTTAGAGTTCATAAATCTTTTGCATTGATTCTCTTTATAATGTTGCTGTTCTCCTCCCAGGAACAGTGATCACTTTAGCATCTGAGTGGCAAATGGATTGAAGTAAGGAGCTAAACGATATAGAAACAGCCAGAAGGCTGTTTCGGTAGTCCATGTGTGAGGTGATGAGAGCGTACACCAGTATGGTGGCTGTATGAGGAGATAGAAGGGAATAAAACTTGACAATAAATTGGATGTTAAGGACAAAGTATGTTTGAGGCACTGAGAATGACACTGAGGTTGCAAGCCTGGGTGCCTGGGAAGATGGACATAGTAACAGGAAAGTTGGGAAGAAGGTAAGGTTTGTGAGTGAAGATAATGATTTCCATTTTGGCCATGTTGAATTTGAAATGCCAACATTATACCCAGTTTGAGATTTCAAAAAGGCAATTGGTGATGTGAGACTGAAAGAAGAGAAATTAGGCCTGGATATGTAGGTCTGGGAATCATCTGTGTAGAGATGAGGAGATCACCAAACAAGATAATATAGAGCAGCAGTTTCCAAAAGTGTGGTCTGAGGACTCTTAAGGGGTCTTTTAGCCTGTTTCATAGCATCTGAGAGGTCAAAATTATTTTCATAATCATACTAAGACATATTTGCCTATTAAAAACTCCACACTTTTCTAGTTACATATCTGTGTGAGGTTCGATTTTCTTCAGATATTATGACCAAAAAAATCACAATAGATGGTTTTCAAGCAATAAATATTTATTAAGCATCTCCTATGTGCCAGACACTCTGCTGAGTGCTGAGGATACAAAGAAAGATAAAAGAAAGTCCCTGTTTTAAGTAATTCACATTCTAATGGGAGAGATGACATATAAACAACTATGTGCAAAGAAGCTATACAACATAAATTTGAAATAATCAACAGAGTAGAGGCACTAGAATTAATGGAGATGAGGAAAGGTTTCTGTAGATAGGATTTTTTGCGGGGGGTGGGGGGCTAGGCAATGGGGTTTAGTGACTTGCCCAGGGTCACACAGCTAGTAAATGTCTAAGTGTCTGAGGTTGGATTTGAACTCAGGTCCTCCTGACTCCAAGGCTCTATCCACTGCGCCACCTAGTGGCCCCTGATGATGGGATTTTAGCTAGGATTTGAAGGAAGGCAAGAAAATTAGGAAAGGGAAATGAGGAAGGCATGAGGGTCAGCTAGTGAAAATGCTTCAGAGTGGGGAAATGGGGTATCTTCAAAGAATAGCAAGGAGGCCAGTGTCACTGGATCACAGATTATGTGGAGGGGAAGATGTAAGATGTAAGAAGACTGCAAAGGTTGGCAGGGGTGCTTATGAAGGGTTTTGACTGCCAAACAAAGGATTTGATGCTTGGTATCCTAGAGGTGATAAGGAACCACTAGAGTTTATTGAATAGAAGTGTGACATGGCCACACCTGTGATTTAGGGAAATCACTTTGGTGACTAAATGAAAGATGGAATGGAAGGGGGGGGGGGGGGTTAAGACTTGAAGCAGGCAGACTTACCTGCAGGCAGTAATCAAGGCATGTAATGATGAGGGCCTGCACCACACTGGTGGCACTATCAGAGGAAGTGAGAGATACTGTGAAGATAAAATTGACAAGCCTTTGGCAACAGATTGGAAATGGTTGGAGAAGGTTGTTAGAGAGAGTGAGGACTTGAGGATGACATCTAAGTTTCTAGATTGAATGCAGAAGCAGATACGAGAATCTAGCTGCCTCCATTTAGAGAGAAATTAAAAGAGATTTGCAAAAAAAATTGTAGAACAATGCCACTCTTCACTAATTAAAATAGGTTACTTATATTAGCATGTAATGGATTTGTTTATTGTTATTTTTAAATGAATCATTAAGTAAATATTTTAAAATTTTAGCAGTTTTTATTTATAATATCATAAATGTCAATAGATATAACCCCTGTATTGTGGACTCTTAAGACCAGGCCTCTATCCATTATTCCATACTACCTCTCATACATAAGTGTAGAAGTGTGTATGTGTGCATGCATCTCATATTGTTTTGGTCCTCAATGATTTTTAAGAGTGTAAAGGAGTCATAAGACCAAAAAGTTTGAGAATTGCTGTTAGAAGAAGAGCCAGGGCAGACCCTCCAAAGAAATCCACTGCTAGTGGAAGTGTCCTGGCTGGATGAAGGTCCAGCCAGAGCCTGAGGATTATCAGGAAAGTGAAGTAATTAGGAAATCCTAGAGAGGAGAGAATATCCAGAAGAGGGTGATATGTCAGAAGTTTCAGAAAAGTCAAGAAGGATAAGTTTTGAGAAAAAAGTTGTTAGTTTTGGTAGTTAGAAATCATTGGTAACTTTGGAGAGAGCAGTTTGAATTGAATGAAGTCAAAAGCTAGATTACATGAAGTTTAAAAATGAATGAGTGAAGTGAAGGCACCTAAAGTACATGGTTCTCTCAAAGAGTTTAGCTGAGAAAGGGAAGTGAAGTATAGAGTGATAGCTAGTATGTTACAATGGTTGGATCACGGGATTTTGGGGACACATAGACATGTCTGTAGGCAGCAGGGAAAGAACTACTGGATAGTAAAGGAATAAAGATTAGTTAGGGGAAATGATAAGGCAGCATTTTTCTAGAGAAGGATAAGACTAGATGAGATCAAAGATGCATGTGGAGGGCTTAATCTTAACAAAGTGAAGGAGGGCTTCTTGTACTTATCATGAGATTGGCTGAAGGAACTGGGGACATTGAGTCTCTATAAGAGAAAACTTGTGAGTGTGTTGGGGAGGAGTGGTGTAGGTGTGTATGATCACTATCTTTGGGGACTAAATAAGAAGGAAGAATTAAACTTATTCAGCCTGACCCCAGACAGCATAATTTGGCATAGCAAGTGGAATTAGAAAAGGCAAATTTAGGTTTCATGCAAGAAAAATTTTTTTCTAGAAATTAGAACTATTTCAGAATTGAATGGGCTGCCAAGAGAGAAAGAGAGAGATTCCCCTTCACTAGAAATCTTCAAGCCAAAGTTGAATGAGTTCTTTTTATGTATGTTTTAAGAGGTTCTTATTCAGTTATGATTTGGACTGAACAGCTCTGAGATCTCTCCCATCTCTGAAGTTCTGTGAATTTCAATTTGATATGCAGCTTTTCATTCATTTTAACTGGATTTCTATTAGGTTTATCAGCAATCTATAGATTTTAGCATTATCTGACTAATATTTCTCTCAGAGAAAAATATGCCATGATGTTTGATGAACCAGTTCTTCTGCAAGCTGGCTGGTGGTATGTTGCATGGGCTCGCGTGTCAGGACCTAGCAGTGACTGTGGATCTCATGGACAGGCCTCTATTACCACAGATGATGGGTAAGTCTGAAGTGTCATTAATTATTTCCTCAGAGGATGTGCTTTAAGAGTATTGTTGATATCAAGAAAGTGAGGTCTCAGGACAAGTTAAAAGAGCCAATGTGACCTCTTTCCTGATTTGAAGGAACAGTAAGTTAGCTTTAAGATCAACTTTAAGTTCCCTTATAAGAATACGGATGCATTTCATTAATTTTTGATAATGAGATATTTTAATTTTTTGTGTTTTTCTTTTTCTTCAGAGTTCTTTTCCAATTTAAGAGTTCAAAGAAATCAAACAATGGTACAGATGTTAATGCAGGACAGATACCTCAGTTATTATACAGGTATTGTACATATTTTTATGTGAAATAATTTCCTTCACTGTTTGTAAATAGACCAGGAATATTCTAAAGTACAGAGTATGATAAAGTGAAAATTATTTGGGTAATTGATTATTTTTAAAGCATTCAGGGAAGTTATTATGATGTCAAGAGAAATGTAAACATATATAAAAACATTTAACTCAGTTGACTTTCTGTTTATTTCAGTCTATTTTTTTCAGTGTCATTTTTTATATTTGAGAAAGCTAGGTCATTCAATGGATAGAGTTCTCAACTTGAGTCAGGAAGGACCTGAATTCAAATCCTGCCCCAGATAAATACTGGCTGTGTGACCTGAGCAAGTCACTTAACCTCTCTGACCCTCAGTTTCCTCATCTCTAAAATGAAGATATTAACAATAGGATCTGCCTTAGAGTTATTATGAGGCTCTAATGTTGTTGCAAATGAACAGTACTTTGCAAATGTTAAAGAGCGTATATATTCTAGCTATTATTACTTTATTCTTATCATGAGCATTAATTTTAAACTGATAACCATCTTGAATTATTTAACCTATTAAATAAAATTTTTCCTCTACTAAGAATTTTACATTATTAAAACTATATTTTATTAATTTTTCTAACATTTTGTTTATAATAGCCAAACATGTTCATCCAAGAGAAAACATTATAGTGAAATAGGGACAAAAAGCTTTATGTTTGTATCCTAATTGACATGCTCTAGGTTTTATTACTTGTGTTTATATTCCTTATAAATATTTTGTGTAGATCCAGCATTTCCTTACTATCAACAAAATGTAATATTTAATTAAAATTAAAAAGCAACAAAAGGGTAAACAATATAAGATACATGTATACTTGTATGAATACATACATATATGCATTCATACACACTTAAACATTTATGTATAAGAGGTAGCAAGGAATAATGGATGGAGGTCTGCCCTTAAGATTCCACAGTATCTGGATTTCCAAGTCTTGCTTCTGCTTCCCATTAGTTTAGTGACCACTTAACCTCTTAACACTGCCAGACCACCCTCTAAAATTGTAGGTAATATTTGAATTGCTTATCTGCATTATTGGAAGGAATTTACACACCCAGAAATACACCATTCTACTAAATCACAGATCTAGGCAAGTTCCTCCATTTAGATTCATGTATATTCTTAGAAAATTCTTTGGAGAGATTTTAATAATTCTTCATTGCAACTTTATGGCATTTACTTAATATTTTCTCTATTATGCTTATGGGAAAAATGAATCATTCCTTAATCAAAGTCTTTGTGCTAATATTCTAGATTTTTAGAACATATTCTGGTTTTAATTATTTCTCTTTGAAATAATCAGTGCTATGAAACAAAAAATTTAAAGTTCCTCATGTATATGTATACTTACATGCAGACACATAGGGTCCTTTATACATGATATGTATCAATACATTAAACTGATGTCATAAGTTTGTATACTGCTTCCAGTACTTCAAATTATAACCTATCCCAGCCTTCTAACATTCTGTCTATTTTTTAATCAATGAATTCCCATAAATCCTTTATAAAATGTGTACTCATTATAACAGAACCTTTCCTCTAGGTCTTTTATAAGTGGGAATGACATTAAAGAAGAGGCAGTACCATCTGCTTTGCTGCTGTACCCTAAGGACCAAGGAACCTTTCCATCTGACTCATAACTAAAACTTTCCATATGTGTTGTCTCCCCCAGTAGAATGTGAGCTCCTGGAGAACAGGAACTGTGTGACTTTTCTTTGTATCCCCAGAGTTTTGTGCATAGTAAGCACTTCATAAATGCTTTATTCATTCAATTTAACATTCCAGGAGTACCAAAGGATACACATATTTCTATCTCTTTTTTTTAGGATTTATTGCTGTGATGTAAAGCAAATTCTGTTTGTAGTCTCAGCTTTAATGTTAAAATTTTCTAGTCTTTTTCTAATTAGTAGATAGCACAGTATCTTTTAAATGACCCACAACGGCATTTGTTTAAAACATGGAGAAAATTTTTCTTCATTGTATTAGAAGAAAAAAGATATGTACATATTTATTGGATTTTCCTTTATAAACCAGTTTTGTATAATTTACCTTTCTTTAGGCTCCCAACCAGCGATGGTAGTGCTTCAAAAGGTAAACAGCAAACCACTGAACCTGTGCACATTTTAAAGCGATCTTTTGCAAGAACAGTCTCCACGGTAAGCCAGCTAAAGTATCCATTTTAAAGATTCTAGCCAATAAATTCATTTCTAAATTTTACACCTTAGTTTTATTTAAATGTTCATACTTCTGCTATGTATACACACAAAATGTAATAACGAATTCTCAACTTAGCTTAATAAACTTAGATTTAACTTAATTTTAGTGCATTGTCATTAAAATGTGATATAATTGATAGTATTATGCTTTATCAAAAATGAAAAGTTGGTTAAAAAGTCATTAGGAAAGTTGGGGGGAAATGCGTGTATGTATTCTTCAGGTTCATAGCCTCAGAGTAGATTTATATGTCTAAGTTGGCCATGAAAATTCCAAAACTCATGTTTAAGGTCTGTAATGGTACTTTTTAAGCATCTAGATTTCCATTTGAGTGAGAGTTGCTCTAGAATATCTGTCTTCTCAGATTAAAAGATAAATTATACAGAAAACTGGATCCAGTTCTTTGTGATCTGTGATCTTTATTAGCCATTTCTGTATATACCCAAACTTAATATTGCTTCTTATTGATCATGTTTCCAGCCACTATTTTTTGTGCTAATAGAATTGTAAATTAAAGATAGCAACATATGATGCTTGTTGTTCTTTATGATTTGGTTGCCTGTTCCTCTTACTACTGCTTCTGGTTTACATTTCCATAGCATTTCAAGGTTTAAATAGACCTTATATATATTACTTCATTATAGCAATCAAACCATATCCCCATTTTCTCCTCTTCTGTAAGATTTGCTTACTGCTGCTACTTATAGGTTACCTTTATTATACTGCTTCAAATTTGGGGGGAAAAAACAAAACACTACCTATTAAGCATCTCATCCATTCCCCAGAACAATGCTTCAAGGTGAGAATGCTCAGAATTATTATTACCCAGTTTTACAGAGGAAGAAACAAGTCCTGGAGGCTGAGTGACTTACAAGTGGTTCCTTGGCAAGTTAGTGTCAGAGGCACAAGAACCAGCATCCTTATTGTGACATCTTTATCAGAAATTATTCACTCAGCCTATGCTTCATATTGCCTCAGACTGATCTCTTATTAGGGGTGGGTGACGGCACAGTAGATAGAGTGCTGGGCCTGAAGTCAGGAAAACCTGAGTTCAAATCTGACATTGACTAGTTGTGTGACCCCTGAGCAAGTCTCAGTTTTCTTACCTGTAAAGTGGAAATTGTAATAGCAGGCTACCTCCCAGGATTATTGTGAATATCAAATAAGATAATTGTAAAGCACTTGATACAATTCCTGGCACCATATAATTGTTACCTAGTAGTAGTGATATATTAATGCCTGAGTAGTTTATGAAATTACAAGATAGTTTTTAAAAATTATTTTTGAAAGTTAAGTTTTTCATTACAGTTAAATTACAATAAATTTTCAATTCTTAGGAAATCCTCTCACCAACAAAACTTTGAATTCTTTTGATAACATCTTACACACTTTTGTTGAATATCAATTATCAGGCTATAGTCCAATTGCAGCTAAAAGAAGACATTCTATACCATTTGAAAAGGGTGTTTTTTTTCCTAGAATTTGAAAGCATTTATCTCATATTGTTTTTTGTCCTTAATTAAGGGGAATATAGAGTTTAGGCTTTGTTGTTGTTGTTGTTGTTGTTTTACCCAAATAATTATACCAGTATATTAGTAGTTGATTACATACAGTTATCCCGTCCACACTGTGGGATTAGGGGCATGGCGCACCTCCGCTATCTGAAAAAAATCTGCTTAAAATTTTTTGACCCTCCCTTTGTACCAGAGAAGAAGTCTGAATTATTATGGTATTGAAAGATAAAATACGTTGGTATTATACAATAGTACACATACATTTTAGTCATTTCTGAGTTTCTAAAGTTTTTCTTTGTCATCTGCTGGCTTTCATGTGTTGTCTGCAGCTTCTTCAAAACTTCCCAAAACTTCTCATTTAATTTCTTATGCTGACCCATGATATATTGAAGCCATGATGGGGAAAGTCACAATATGGAAGGGACATTTTTATGTGATATAATACATAAAAATTGCTTAACAGTTATCTATGTTTGTGTAGAAATAAAACAGGTATAGGTACTGGACCTGTGATTTCTTTGGCATAGGAAATTCCCTAGGTTTAGGAAACTCTTTACCAATGCAAGTCAGCATCTTCTTTGCAACTGAGATATTTGTCTAGAGCAGTGAAAGGTTTACTTGTTCCAAGTCACACAACGAGCTTATGTCAGAAATGGTGGTTAAACCAAGATTTTCTTGGTCTCAAGCCTCGCTTTCTATTCCTATACCATGTTGCCTCTAGAGATTTGATCTTTTGTTAATATGATGAAATAATTGAACTTTCTGCTCAGTCTTTTTTATATAACCCTACTGTTTTTAGCTTGATAAATAAGAGCGCTTTGAAATTTTTGTTTTTTAAAATGTATTATCAGGTAAGATCTTGAGGCTGATTATCAATCTTTTGCCTGAATATTTATGTATTTCAATCTATTATATCCATTGAACTGAATAACACTTTAATTTTTCCTATTCTGGACTAGGAATGCTTTGAGTCATTGTTGAGCATCCTTCATTGGAGTTGGACCACTTTAGTTTTAGGAGTAGAAGAACTTCGGGGATTAAAAGGATTCCAGTATACTGCTACACTTCTTGATTTAGAGAGATTGCGTTTTGTGGGTACTTGTTGTCTAAGGCTGTTACGTGTCTATACCTGTGAGATTTACCCTATGTCAGGTATGATGTAGATATGAATTTTATCAGGGAAAAATATGTACACTTCAAGTACATTATTAATAATTGTTAAAATTTTCTTCATTTGAAACTGTTGTTTTCAGCTTATAGAATTCTTCTCCACTGTTATGTGCTGATTCATTAACATAGACCCAGGCCTGTGTGCATAAATAGTTGGCCCTAGAGTCAGGAGAACCTGAGTTCAAATACAGTCTCAGACACATAACACTCACTAGTTGTGTGACTCTGGGCAAGTCACTTAACCCCAATTGCATCACCTCCCCCCCCCAAAAAGAAGACAAGTCAGGTTCTAATGAACTACTCTAAGTAAATGTTGTTTTATTGGCCAAATGTATTCATTTTGGATAACTAAGTTATAATTTTAAAATCAGGTCATTTATGTGTAACTACTAAAACATATCAAAACAATATATTTCAAATTTTTAATACCCTAGTACTATATTAATTTAGGAAAACAATTATTGTAACTACAAGTATTTTGAGTATTTTGACTTAAATATTAAAACTAATGTGAGTGGCTAATATTTTATGTGTGGTAAAGATAAGCAAAGGAATTTCTGCAAAGTATAACTTGTTTCATTGTTTATGTATAGATATTTATGATTTTAGGTATACAATAGAGTATATGTTGTGCATTTTAGGAGAGATTTTTTTTAGTCCACTATTGTTATATGTTTACACTTCATTTTGTTCCTTATAGCTACTGCTAAAGCAGTTGTAGAAGAAACAAGTAAATTAGCAGAATGTATTGGGAAAACCCGAACTTTACTACGAAAAATTTTATCTGAAGGAGTTGATCACTGCATGGTCAAGTTGGATAATGATCCCCAAGGGTATCTCAGTCAGCCGTTGAGTCTTCTGGAGGCTGTCCTTCAGGAGTGTCATAATACCTTCACAGCCTGCTTTCATTCTTTCTACCCAACCCCTGCCCTGCAGTGGGCTTGCCTTTGTGATCTCCTAAATTGTTTGGATCAGGTATGTTAAGTACCACAGTACACTGGTAGAAATTCTCCTGTTTTAAATTGTATTTTAAAAGAGAGCTAAAACACAAAGCCCCTGACAAAATTTCAGATTCACATAGATGTTTGATATTTTCTATGTGGATTGATACCAATCACACCACAGAGTTTTATTAAGTGACTGCTCTGTTCCAGGCAATGTAGATGAGGTGCTAGAGTACAAATGCAGAAGTAGATAATCCCTCCCCTCAAGGAGCTTGTGTTCTACTAGGGGAATTTAAAAGTTTCATTTAAAAGTTTACAGGTTCCATCATACTGTTCATGAATTAAATACATGGTGATTTTTCAAGAAAGATACTTAACAACTATGGGAATCAGGAGAGGCCTCTAAACAGAGGATGTTCTTAAAATAAGCCTTGTAGGGAGCTAGAGGGTTTAGGAAACAGAAGTGAAAAGGTCAGGCATTCCAGGCATAGGCAACAGCCTGTGAAAATGTATAGAAGCAAAAGATAAACTCTCCTGGAGAAGAATTGCAATTTGGAATACTAAAATTTGGAAGTTTATTGAATATTCCTCTGTATTCAAGGGTGGGATTCCCTGTACCAATATGGCACAGTAGCCAGAGGCCTCATTCTCAGGGCTGGTGAATAGGATGGTAAATATTGAGTTCTCTACAGATTTATAGCATCTTGTGTACTCCACAGCTCAGTACTAAACAGCTCACTATCTATAATCATTTTCTTACTGCCACTGCCTTGTCTATTATAATAGAATTGTCCATTTTCTAAATGCAGTATATTAGTACCTTGGAGAGAGGTGAAGGAGGCATGAGATTAGTAATAAAAGTGGATTTAAAATAGGTTCCCAAAGTGAATGATACTACCCCTGGGGAGCACTGGAACAATCCAGGGGGTCAGTAATAGCCTTCATGATACAAATTTCAACAAAACAAAACAAAACTGTTAAAGGGTTAGAAGTAGATATCCAGGGAAGCGCAGAGTAATTTTTCTTTTAAAGGAGGCATTAGACCAAATAAGTTTGGGAAACTCTGATTTAAAGTATAGAATTCAGTCAGTTTAGGACAAAGTTAACTTACACGTATCAAGGATTGCCTCTAAGATTTTTTTCTCTCCTATGTTTTTGCATAGTGGGATCTTTTATTTCATTCTAGTTTTATAGTTTGTTACCCATTTTTCTGAATAACTAACATGGGGTAATTGGATAGTATTATGAAGTTATAAGTGCAAGGGGTTTCTGGTTTACCCTACATACTATGTAGTTAGATAAACCAAAATCAGGAGAAAAAGTTTAATGCTTGTTCACAGTTTGGCACAAATGTAAAGGACAGGAAGTTGCCACTAGTATTGAAATGATTTTTTTTCAGGTACTGCTGAAAAATACCAGCCAGTTGCAACTTTAGGCTATGTATGTGTATGATAATTGAAGCTGGAAGGATTCTTTAAACTTTCCTTGTTTAATATTTTTTAATCTCCATAGAATCAGTAACTGATCTTTACAAAAATCTTTGTTTTTAAATAGTAACATTTGTTTTTATAGAATTTCATAGCTTAAGTAGCCATCTGAATTTCTGTACAATTCAGCCTAATTCCAAAAACATAGTAATTGATCTGTATTTATTTAATTTTATCTGTATTTATTTAATTCTTGGAACTTACATTAACCTGTTTTGGTGTGGGGCCTGGGTCTTTTGTCAAAGGATATCCAAGAAGCAAATTTCAAGACATCAAGTAGCCGACTGCTTGCAGCTGTTATGTCAGCCTTATGTCACACATCTGTCAAGTTGACCTCTATCTTTCCCATTGCCTATGATGGAGAAGTATTACTTAGATCCATTGTTAAACAAGTCAGCACTGAAAACGACTCTGCCCTGGCTCACCGATTTCCTCTGTTGGTAGCACACATGGAAAAACTCAGTCAGGTCAGAATTGATTTTGAAGTATTTCTTATTATTTACTTAAATTAAGAAATGAAACCTTTTACTTTTTGTTGTTGTTCATTCTAATCTAATTCTAATCTGCTGCCAAATGTTAATTTTCTTCTTTGCTAATTTTCACAAGATTAACCTGCTTTAAGGAGAATTCCCAGTATACATCCATAGAACAAATTTAATTTTGTTACAGTTTCTCCAGAATCATTAAATATCACTTTTATTGTGGATAAGGCATTACCATGGAGAAATGTGAGACTTAAAATTATTTTTTAAAGAGAATACTAATATTTGAAATTCACTGCTTTTTAAAATTTACTTAAACATTCCAAAAAAAGAAAATATGTATTTAGGTTTACTTTTCTGAATATATTCAGTTTTTATTTCATGATTTCTTATAGAAAAAAACTGATGTTACAAAATCTTTGTATTGTTAGTGATTTTTTTAGTTTCAAAATGTAGACGATGTGATGTGTATGATTTACACAAAATTATCACTATGTCGATTTTGAATAAATACTTCATTTAAAATAGAATTTTATTCCCCAGTTTATTTGAGACTCAAAAAAATCACTAATTTATTTTAGTCCATTCTGGCCACAGTGTACACTGTGTTTGAAATATATCAGTATGCTTAATGAGGTTACTATTATGACTTTTTTAGGATTAAATATGTCTTAGCTATACCCTCAAATGAATCATTCTAAATGAATCAGTTTTCCCTTTCTATTTGTCCTTTAATTAATATATACAAACCATAATTTTGATTTAAATGGATTTTTTTTGTTGTTTCTGCATTGTTGGCATCTCAGTCAGATATCAAAAAGGATAAAATGATTGTTTATTTTTAAAATGTAAGAACAATGTTAAATTATATTATACAGTGAAATATACCAGTGGTGTCTGGGGAGGCTCCATTGCTGAAAACTGCAAGATAAAAGGCTAAGACTGACTCTGCAAACTAGTGTGAAATTATGTACAGCTCCCTTCATAGTTTCAAATCTTCTTTTTCTTGTAGATGAAATAGAATAGATACCTACTCCTTGTTAAAATAAAAAACAACAGAAAGCTCTTGAAATCAGAAGACCTGAGTTAGAGTCCTGACTCTGACACTTAATTAAATTTGTGCCCTGGGAAGCCACTTTATCTTTCTTCATTAAATGTCAAACATGTCAAAAATGTCAAACAATTATCCCTACTTGTAAAATTAGAGTAATACCTGCACCACTCATCTTACATAGTTGTTATGGGGCAAGTTTAGTGTAAGTTTTAAAAGTGAGCTGCTTTTGTTATAGAAATGAAAAGACTATAAAAATGATCAAATGAAAAAATGAGCTTAGACTCTGAAAATTTTCTTAAGACCTAATGTAATTTCTATTCAAGTATGAATTTTAAAAACACAGTCTTTAAAACAAAATGATTTTGAATGTATTCCCATATTGATGAAACTAAGGCAGCATTTTCTATATATGCTGTTTTATCTTTCCTTATATCATAGAGTGAGGAGAATATCTCTGGAATGACAAGCTTTCGTGAAGTTCTGGAGAAGATGTTAGTTATTGTTGTGTTACCAGTCAGAAATAGCCTAAGACGAGAAAATGAACTCTTCTCCTCCCATCTAGTGTCTAATACTTGCGGATTACTTGCTAGTATTGTGAGTGAACTTACAGCATCAGCTCTTGGATCTGAGGTAATGATTGTGTTATGTACAGTTTTATAATATGTATTCTTTTAAATAAACCATAAGATTTTTATTTAAAAGTAATTTCAAATAAAACTAAGCTTACAAATTAAAGAAAGCTGGCAAAAGTTTTCTTTTATTCTTCCTTTATAAGTACTTTGAACATGGTCTCCTGGCAAATCCAGCCCCTTCTGCCATGCTTTAAATCTTTTTTTTGTTTTTTAAAGACAGCAGTGCAAAGTAATTTTTAGTTGGAAAATAAAGTCTCACAATGCTAAAATCCTGGATTATTTTACAATCACAAGTGTTTTTAGTGAAGAAAAAGTATGATAGAGTAGAAAGAGCAGTAAATTAGAGGATACCAGGGATCTATCCAATCCTGACTTTGCCCTTTGGTGGCTATGTGTCTGTGGCCAAGTCACTTTACCTTTCTACTGCTCAGTTTCCTTTTCTCTACAATGAAAAGTCAATCAGTCATTCAGTAAGGATTTATTAAATTCTTGATACCATTATTTGAAGAGAAGACTTGGAAAGATGTTAACTGTCTTCAAATAGTCACAAAATTGATATGCCTCTTAACTTTAAAGGTATTGAGTACAATGTGTTATCAAACATATAGTATTTAAAAGCTACCAAGTAGTCTGTGCCCTTAGTTACCAGATTTCTTGTTGGGGACTTCTTGTGGCAGACAGCTTGCTACATTTGAAAACTTTATAGAATTTTTTGTTATTATGACTTTTTCTTGTCTTAGTATATATCTCTAATATTTTTTTGAGGCTCTTCTCCTCCTGCTCCCTACAGATAAACTGTAGTGCTTATTCTTTTCTCCTCACCACTTCAATCCAGATTCCTTATTTGTTTAGCGAAACATTCTGGCTCAGTGTACTGCCCTGTAATTCTATGCCTCCACATGAATTCCATGACCTTACATTGAGAAAACATTCTTTTCTAAAATGTTTTCTGAGTATGGGTGGCTATGGATCAGGAGGATCCCAGGTTCCCTCACCTGCTATATTTCAAATTCAAATAATTGTTTTTGAATATTACTATATGTTAAGTAGTCTCTGAGTGGGTTCCAAGGATATGTGTAACATATTGTCAAATAGTGCTTAAAGAGTTTACATTTCTAAACCAGGGTAATCTTCAGAACTTAAAAAAGAGTAGCTGTAGACCTACCCTGGGGGTCCCAAGATACTCTCATAGTATTCTTGGAAGGCCTATTTCAGTTAGTCCTGACACAGATTCTTCTATCCAGTTTCCATGAATCTCTAAGGCCAACCTGGGTCAGAAGTAGGGCCTAATATGCCATAAACCAGAACAATTTTCCTTGACCCCTACATGAAATTACATGTTTGGTTAAGTCAGAAGTATATGCCTTGGATACCTATTTATGTTTGTATGATTGGTACTCCTTATCACAATTTCAATTCTTTTGTTACAGTTGACAAAATGTAACTGGCATTTATATAGCAAACAGTGTTTTCTAATCATCTAAGTAAATATGAAAAAGCTATCACCGTATCTAGCTTTTTTTCTGTGTTGATTGAAACTGTTTGCTCCTTAAGTGAATATATTTTGATACCATAAGATCTTTCTGAATAGTTGTTGATCTGCAGTGGTAGAGGGAGTTTCCCTCTACTTTTTCACTGCTGTAGTGAAATGACAGATCTTCCCAACTTCCCCAACACACACACACACACACACACACACACACACACACACACACCAGAAATTCATTCAAGTGTATGAATTTGAGTGAAACTCTGAGAACATGCTGTTTTTCAAAAAATGATGAGAAAATTATGAGAATTTAGTAGAAAAACATTTTCTACTGGTTACACTTGGAATGCTAAAATCCAAATTGTTCTTGTAGTTCTGCTAGATATGATGTATAGGTTCCATAAATTCTGGTAAAATTTATAACCAAATCTAAGTACGAAGTTGTGAAGCCCCTCAATTAATTCATCCTCCTTTCGTAAAACTTTCTTGTTGACTTATTTCTCTCAGCATTTTCTATTAAGGAACCAATTAACATCAGGTACTATATATTTTATATTAGGCTACTGTCTAGAAACTTTCAGATAAAATTTACAGGGATTGATAAAGTAATATTGCTGCTTGCGACTATGAAATTAATAATGGTTTCTTTTACATTTTAACAGGTCGATGGACTTAACTCTCTGCATTCTGTCAAATCCAGTGCTAACCGATTTACTAAAACAAGTCAGGGAAGAAGTTGGAATACTGGAAATGGTTCTCCTGATGCAATCTGTTTTTCTGTAGACAAACCTGGTATAGTTGTGGTTGGCTTTTCTGTCTATGGAGGAGGAGGAATTCATGAATATGAATTAGAGGTCTTAGTTGATGATGTAAGTACTGCTTTTGAGTTAACATTTACAATGGTGTCAGCATGATAGATTTTTAAAAATTAATTTATTTTGATATATCAACAATCACTTCCATAAGCTTTTGAGTTTTAAATTTTTCTCCTCCTTCCTCCCTATTTCCCTCCCCTAGATGGTGTGCAATATGATAGAGGCTATACATATACATTCCTATTAAACATATTTTCACATTAATGATGTTGTAAGGAAGAATTAGAACCAATAGGAGGAACCACCAGAAAGAGGAAACAAAGCACGACAGGAAAAAAAATAGCAAATAGTATGCTTTGATCTGCATTCAAACTCCATAGTTCTTTCTTTGGATGTGGATAGCATTTTCCATCATGAGGCCTTTGGAGATGTCTTAGATCCTTCAATTGCGGAAAAGGGCTAAGTCTATCAACATTAATCATCGCACAACGTGACTGTTACTGTGTACAGCGTTCTCCTGGTTCTGCTCACTTCTCTCAGCATCAGACAATACAAGTCTTTCCAGGTTTTTCTGAGGTCTGCCTGCTCATCATTTTCTTATAGCACAATAGTATTCCATTACATTCATATGCCACAACTTGTTCAGCCATTCCCCAATTGATGGACATCCTCTCAATTTCCAATTCTTTGCCACCACAAAAAGAGCTGCTATAAATATTTTTGTACATGTGGGTCCTTTTCCCATTTGTATGATCTCTTTGGGATACAGCCCTAAAAGAGCTATTGCTAGGTCAAAAGGTGTGCACATTTTTATAGCCCTTTGCGCATAGTTCCAACTTGCTCTCCAAAATGGTTGGATGATTTCACAACTCCACCAACAACGCATTAGTGTTCCAATTTTCCCGCATCTTCTCCAACATTTATCATTTTCCTGTTTTGTCATGTTGGCCAATCTGATAGGTGTGATGTGATACCTCAGAGTTGTTTTGATTTGCATTTCTCTAATCAGTAGTGATTTAGAGCATTTTTTCATGTGACTATAGATGGCTTCAATTTCTTCATCTGAGAACTGCCTGTTCATATCCTTTGACCATTTATCAATTGGGGAATGACTTGTATTCTTATAAATTTGACTTAATTCTCTCTATATATTTTAGAAATGAGGCCCTTATCAGAGAGACTGGTTGTAAAATTCTTTCCCAATTTTCTACTTTCCTTCTAATCTTGGTTGCATTGGCTTTGTTTGTGCAAAAACTTTTCAGTTTAATGTAATCAAAGTTATCCATTTTGTCTCCATCTGCTATTTGGTCATGAATTCTTCTGTTCTCCATAAATCTGATAGATAAACTATTCCTTGCTTTCCCAGTTTGTTTGCAGTATCAGCCTTTATATCTAAATCATGAACCCATTTTTTACTTTATTTTGGTATATGGTGTGAGATTTTGATCTATGCCTAGTTTCTGCCATACTCTTTTCCAGTTTTCCCAGCAGTTTTTGTCAAATAGTGAGTTCTTATCCCAGAAGCAGATTTTTTTTAAATTTTTGAAAGAGTTATTACACTGCTTTTCCCCAGAGAGCAGAATTAGAGCCCCTAAGCTACAATTAGAATGTGACAAATATCTATTTTTAAAAAAGTGTTTTACTGACATTTTAAACATACATGCAAATAGAATGGCCTTCTTGAGGGGATATTTAGTCTCCCAATGGCAGAGATGCCATATGGAAGCTAGATGACATTTGTTAGGACATTGTAGGATCCTTTGGGTAGGTTGTTTAACTCTAGCAGAGGTTCTAAACTTTTTTGTGTCATGGACCCTTTTGGCATTTTGGTTAAATTTATCATCTCCTTCTCAGAATAATATTTTGAAATGAATAAAATAAAATATATGAGATTGCAAAGGAAAGAAATTATATTAAAATACAGTTATCCAAATAAAAAAAAATTCAGAGGACCCTAGTTAAGAAATTATGGACTAGATAAAGTTCATTCCAATTCTGTATTCTCTGATTTTGTATGTTATCTGACATACTTATACTCATCATCAATGCTACAGGGCATAAGATCTACATTATCTTTGTCCTAGGAATTAGTAAAAACTTATTGAGACTTTAATACTTTAACAGATCTTTCAGGAAACCATCATGTAAGGCAAGTAGAAAAATAACTGGCCACTGCCCTTTGTATCAGTAGTTTCTTTAGGGCTACCTTAGAAACAGAGTAGATCAAAAGTTAGAAACTATAATTGAGCACCATTTTATAGGTGTTGAGCTGGAGGAAGATACGTGATAAATATTGCTATTATATAGTAGGGAAGATTTAGCCTACAGACTAGAATCAACCTATGGACCAGTGTCTGGGAAATTCTGCAATAGAATTCTAATTCATGGTTCTTTAGTTTTGTGATAGCTTTACTTAGAAGCTGGCTGTGATAAAACCAAGAAAGGATACAAATTTCTATTTTAGGCAATGGGATATGTCTAGTCATTCAGAAAGCAATCACATAATTTTAGAGGTTAAGGTTACCAAACTCCTTAACTTTAAAACTGAGAAAACAAAAGCTTACAGTGGTTTGTCTAAGAAATGTCATATAACTACTTAGGGATAGAACTATAATTCATGTCTCACTCTCAGTCTGGAGTTTTTAACACTATTCCATGCTAACCCTCATATCTGACTTTTAATTGGATTTATGTTTATGCATAAGTAGAATCTATAAATAGCACACTGATAATCTTGGATTATGGGAATGCGTAGATAACAGAGTAGAAATAGCATATTAGTAGTGAGGAATTTTACAATATCAATAAAAGTAAACAGAATTATTGACTCTTTTGAAGTTAGAATTAAAAGAGCTAATTCAAAACACCAAAATTATCCTCTCCACAAAACCTACCTCTTCTAGACCTCTTAAATTGTGGGGCACAACCCCATATTGGGTCACAAAAGTTTTGGCAACAGTAAAAGGTTTCTGAACATGCAACAACCGAAACTTCAAAAACAAATGCATGATGAATCTGAGGTGTGGCAGCGCTTGCCTGTGTTGCATCACACAACTTCATTGCAGCCTTGGTTCTGAACACACAAAATGCGTCTTTGCACTGCACATGCCATCATGTCCACACAGCGCCAATGAACATTGCCAAAACATGAAAAAAGGTCATAAGTGGAAAAAATTTAAGAAGACCTGTTCTAGACTTCCGCATTTCTCCCAGTGACATCATTATTCTTCCAAGTCACCCAGCTTTGCAGTCTTAGAGTCCTTCTTAACTCCTTACCTTACCCCCTATAGCTGATTACTTTTCAGGTGTTGTGGATCCTACCTCTGAAATCAGTCCCTTTGTCTCTGCTCACCTGACCACCACCCTAATTGAAGTTCTTCTGACCTCTTGCCTGCCCTGTGGGAATAATTGGTCCTAATTGGTCTCCCTGTCTCAATCCTCTCCCCTCCCTACTCCATCCTCCTCATAGCTGCTAAAGTGACTTTCCTAAAATGCATCCTGATCCTGTTATTCCTCTCAACTCAGTAAATTCTTGTGGATTCTAATTACCTCTAAGATCAAATGCAAACTTCTCTATTTGGCATTTCAAGTTCTTCATAACATGACTCCAACCTACTTTTCTCCCCTTATTGTTCATTATGCTTAAACTGCCCTTCTTGCTTTTCCTCCCACATGACACTCCGTCTTCCAGCTTTGTGTCTTTTCATAGGCTGTCTGCCATGCCTGGAATGAACCTTACCTCTTTGCCTCCCAAAATCCTTAGTTTCTTTCAAAGCTCAGCTCAGATACCAACTTCTTAGGAGGTTTTCCTAATTACCATGTACCCTCACCTCACCCCCACTTCTGTCTTCTTGCTGTTGGTGTCTTTACCATATACCTCTATTACATTGCATATTTGTATGTACTTTTCTATATACAGGTTATCTTCCTCAAAAGAATGAAAATTCTTTTAAGGTGGGGACTGTTTGACTTTTATCTTTGTATCTTCAGCATTTTGTACAGTGCCTGGGCACATAGTAGGTGCTAAATGTTCATACATTGATTGGATTTTTATTAAGTACCTACTATGTGCAAGTGCACTGTGCTAGGTCCTTGTGACGTAGTCTATAACCCCAAAAACCTTATAAATCTAAGATTAGAAGAATATGTTTTGTATAGATCATTCTGAAGGAGAGGTCAAGCAAAAAGGGGTGAGATAATGGGGATTGTAATATTACTTCAAGGAACTGACACCTAAGCTGAACCTTGAAAAAAAGTAAAGGATTTCAGAAGGAACAAATGTGGATGGAATCCATCCTAGGTGTAGAGACAGGACTTGGAAGAGAACAGGATGAAATATTCTCTTGTGTATTTAGGGAATGTTGAACTTAAATTGTTCATTTTTTTTAGGAGATAGTCATGGAACTAATCATAACGGATTTAGTCATTGAAGAACTATTTTTAGTCATAAAATATGTATAAATTCTCATAAATGAAAAATAACCTCAAGAACAAATATTAAGTGCTAAAGCTTTTTTGCTATAGAATATAACTTACATTCACATAATATATAATTCTAAGAATATTAGTATTTTGGTAAATAAATAATTTTATATTTTAGAAACACATTTATGGGGTTGGACTAGATCTCAGATGTCCCATCTGGCACAGGACTTTTTATGATCCTCTGGTTCTATGAAGAGGGAGAAAAGTTGTGTAACATGAAGGGAGAAAAGGCTGTGGTATTTGTAAAAAAAAACTTGAGTATTCAAATAATAAAGTAAAATCAATAAGAATTTTAACAAAATGTAGTATGAGCTAACGTAATGTGTTTTGCATATGAGAAAATTTACTTTGAAGTTTTGATCATCAATGAAATAAATATTTTTGTAGACTTTTAAAAGTTTGCCACTTAAGCATTATAGAACTTTTTATATTTGCACATTTTGGAGCTTTTAAAATGGAATTATCATTTTTTTAATTAGAGTGAGCATGCAGGAGATTCAACTCATTCACATAGATGGACATCCTTGGAATTGGTCAAAGGAACCTATACAACTGATGATTCCCCTAGTGACATAGCTGAAATCAGACTTGATAAAGTTGTTCCTTTAAAAGTAAGTTGAAAAAATGTTATGTTTTCTTGGGAATGGATAACAATGCTTTAAAGGGAAAAAAGTACATTTTTATTGTCATAAAGACAGTGAAAATATGTTATAAATTTTCATTGCTATAACTGATCCTAATCAGTCCTCTACCTGAAAATAACCTATTTATTGAGTTGTATCTTTATATATAAGGCTCATTATATTTTTGACTTTATATACAAATAGATATAAATTACATGATAACCACAAAAGGTATCTTATTATGACTTATAAATTGAAAACATCAAACAGTTAACACTGTAACAGGAAGTATTGAAAATGAAAAAGCTTATTGTTATTATTGAATGCAATTTGATTTGTAATTAATAATTTCTTTTTTATATTGAAAGAATCATCAAAAAAAGACACTGGAATCTAACTGTAGAGCAGAAATTAATACTTTGCAAGTCAACTTTAGATCTTATAAAAGTTTAGTTATTGAACTACCGAAATATCCTAATAATAAAGTGTCACCTGTAACATCAAGGACCGATCTATTTAGAGCATTGCCTCTTCTTATCACACTGATTTAACAGGGAGGTATTTTTATATCTTTCCTTGCATTTATACTACATAAATGAATATTAGTGAAGACACATTCCTCACTATCTGTACAATCTTTTTATGAAATTATTTATGTTTAATCATATTGCTCATGAATTTTTAAAGCCAAAGTAAAAATTCAAAGCAAATTTATCTATACACTTTCCCCTGTTGAATAGCTCTACTGTATCCTGTATATATCTTGTTTGTAATTACTTATTTGCATGTTTCACCCTCATTAGACTATGGCATCCTTAAGATCAGGGACTATCTTTTTGCCTTTCTTTGTATCTTCAGTACTTAGCTTCATGACTGAGACATAGTCACTTCATAAATGCTTTTTGGCTTGAGAAAGTATCACAGTATAAAGTAATTTATTTTAGTGTATATCACACATAAATTATAAAGGCATGTTAACGTTGTTTGTATCATCTATTTTAAAGGAAAATGTGAAATATGCTGTTCGATTAAGGAATTATGGAAGCCGTACAGCCAATGGAGATGGAGGAATGACCACAGTCCAATGTCCTGATGGTGTAACATTTACATTCAGTACATGTAGTTTAAGTAGTAATGGCACAAACCAAACAAGAGGACAAATTCCACAAATCCTTTACTATAGGTAGGTGGTGTGTTTTTAATAAAAAGAGCTAATGCATTTACCTACAAGGTGAAACCATGGATATTTATAATTCAATTTTAATTTTTTTTTTCTTCCATGAGCCCTGTCAGCATTTTGTCCCTCTCTTTGAAATTTATTGGGAGCTACTTTATGGTACCTTATCTGTGTAAGCACCTTAAGTTAGGTATTATGCTTTCTTTTTCATTCTTAGTACCTAGCACTTAATACTTAATAAATACTTAACAAATGGTTGTTAAATGTGAAACCAGCATTTACCCTGATTTCATTTTGAGTTGTTTTTCCATTTTTAGTATTCTCTTTAAATATGAATGCTTCAGGAAGTTGTTAATCATCTAATATCATCTTCATTACACATGTGTAGCTTTTGTAACATTACTCTAAACAATATTATTTTATTTAATGGTCTTGATACTCTATCATACCCTATCATAATGTAACAAAATCTTGCTGTAATATTGGATGATCTTTCAAGGGGTCAGTATAGAGTAGTAGTAAGAACAGTGAATTTGTGATCATAGAGCGTGGGTTCTATTCTTAGCTCTGCTACTTACTCTTTGTAACCTACATAAAACTGAGGGGCCCTTTTAGGTCTGACCCTATGACTTTGGGAAGTCACTTAAGCTCTGTAAGCCTCAGTTTTTCATCTCTAAAATGTGAGAGGACTGGACTAGATGATCTCTAAGGTCAGTTCAGGTTTGAGTTTCATACTAGCTCAGTGAGGAGCCACTGACAAAAAAATGTGTTTCTGGAGTGCCATAATTGTAATAGATATGCATTTCTTAGCAGAGTAAAAAGATCTTATTTAGTGGTCTTTCTTTTACTTTAAATATGTAGGAGTGAATATGATGGAGATTTGCAGTCCCAACTTTTGAGTAAAGCTAATGAAGAGGATAAAAACTGTAGTAGAGCTCTCTCTGTTGTGAGTACTGTGGTTAGAGCAGCTAAAGACCTCCTGCACAGAGCCCTTGCTGTAGATGGTAAGATTCCTTTTTCTTTTTTTTTAATATCTTGCCTCATCAATTTCTTGATATGCAGAACAATAGACTGTTGAAAGTATTGTCTTTTGAGGGGCAAACAGGGATTCTCCAATGTGTGTTTGATCTATGTAAAACCAATTGGAGTCATTGTTGTACCTTTGACATAACTGATACTTTCTCACTCAGTCCTGCAGGGAATAATTCCTATATCTTGAATGACCTGAGCCATTGCTTTCCTGTCTCTGTTAATAACAGCAAAGCAAAAGCTGGGGCTACATACCTGGCTCCAAAATTGTTGTCCACTCTAGGCAGATCTTATCCTCATTACTATTCTTGTTTCTTTCTAGCTTCTAAAGTATTTTTCAAGAGTGAGAAGTAGGGAGATATTTTATCATCATATATATACGTTCTGTTGTAAGATCTATAGCAAAAAAAATTATACATTACTCATTTTAAAGATATGTAGACAAAACATTATCTTTGGAAAGCATTTACGTAGGACTTATAGAGAGATAGATAGTGCTTTAAAAATGATTGAATTATGTTCTAAATGTTGTTTTAATATTCTTTCAGCTGATGACATTCCAGAATTGCTTAGTTCTTCCAGTCTGTTTTCCATGCTGCTTCCTCTTATAATAGCCTACATAGGACCAGTAGCTGCAGCTATTCCCAAGGTATGTAACTTAGTTCTCTAAGTTTAATTTTATACTTAAAGTACTGAAATTTTAGACACTTCTGTTTACAAGGAATTATTGTTACAATTTCAGTACATTAGGGCTTGAGTTTTAAAAGTAAATATTACAATGGCTTGCAATATAAAAGAAGGTAAGAATCTTGAAGTAAACCTTACACTGTTTTAAGTACTAGTGAAAATCCTTACTGGACTGTTCTGTGCCTTTGTTTTTACAAATAATGAAGAATGTGGAGAACTGAAAAGATGGGGATAGCACTCCTCAGATTTCAAAAACTGAATGGAAAATTTTTTGAAATAGAAGAGTAAAGAAAGGAAGGGCTGTGGTTTTGGCTGTATTGAATAACATTCTATAATAATAGGCATTTATAAATGCCTTCCCTGTGCTAGTCACTGTGCTTCAGGCTATGTATAAAAAATAATGTAACAGTCCCTGCTCACAAGTAGCTTTAAGTCTTACTGAGGAAAATCCACATGAACCCAGAGAAGAAGTAAGTAGAAAATATACCCAAAAAGGGGTTTGGGGGGGAGGAGGGAGCAGGATGGAGGACCCTATGAACTCAGTAGATGAGGATGAATTTCTTGTAGAAGAAAGCACCTGATCTGAACCATGAAGAAGATAAATATTCTGTGAGGTAGAGGTAACAGCGTGCATTCCAGACACACAGGACAGCCTCTGAAAAGATCTACAGAGATGGGAAGTGGAATGTCCTGTATGGAGCTCAGGAAGTAGGTTTGTTTGGCTGGAGCACTGAATACATGATTCAGCCACAAAGACCTATTTGCCCAGCAAATGGATGAAATCACAAAGGATAAAAGAAGAGAGAGAGGGGGCAGCTAGGAGGCACAGTGGATAGAGCACAGGTGTCAAGAGCTCCTGAGTTCAAATGTGGCATCAGATACTTACTATCTAGCTGTGTGGCCTTGGGCAAGTCACTTAACCCCAATTGCCTCCAAAATTTAAAAAAGAGAGAGAGAGAGAGAGAGAGAGAGAGAGAGAGAGAGAGAGAGAGAGAGAGAGAGAGAATGAACTTGGGGGTAGCTATCCACACTTATCAAGTTGGGAGAGACCAGTTTATTTTCAAATGAAGCTTAGAAGTGAATGAGCTTGTAAAAAACAGTGTCACAGAAGACAAAGAGAATTTCTAGCAATGTCAAATGCTATAGAAACATTGGCCTTTAGATTTAACCTTTAGTTAAGATTAAGAGTTCATCTGTGACCTTAGAAAAACAGATTCAATTTACTACTTGGAATGAAAGCCACATTACATTGCAAAGGGCTTAGGAATGAGACAGTGAGTAAAGCCTCTTTGTAGAAGTTTAATAGTGAAAAGGAAAAGAGACCTATGGCAATAGGTTTTCCTCTTACCTATCTGACTGCTCCTTCTAGATCTCTTTCGCTGGATCGCTTATTCAGGTCATGTTTAGCAGGGTTAAAGAAAGTATGGTATATTGATGTTTTATCTTTTTGTTTTTTAAATGAGGGAAGCCCTGAGCATACTTGTACACAGTAGGGAAAGAGCATACTTGTACACTAAATAAGTATACAAAGTAAGGAGAATTTGGAGAAGAGAAATCAAGCTGAAATGATTTATGGGACAACATCCTGGAGACGAGGTCAGTGGCATAAGTGGAGAAGTTGGTTTTGACATAAAGGAAGGTTACTTAATTCTCTGAGACTAGAAAGAAGGTAGAAGGAAGAGATGAGGATGAGAAGTTATTGAGAGAGATCTCTTCTGAAGGTTTTTCAATAATAGTTTAAACTTTCACCTGGTAGAATGGTATATGTGATCCCAATGAAGATACTAGAGAGTATGTTTTTATTCTGTGCCCATAATTTTTATCTTAAAATGGTTTTTCACTGAAAAATGTAAATCCAGTAATTTTATAAAATTTCAAATTTTTTACTGTTCAGCTAAATATATTGACACCATATAGTCATAATCCTTGAAATTAATATCCTAATTCACAACTTTTTTTGCCATGTGGCAAGAACACAGTGTTAATCAGTAAACATTTATTAAGTGCCTACTATGTGCCCTGCACTGTGCTAATTCATAGGCTACCAAAAACAAGATAAAACAAAACGCCAAGACAAAAGACAGTCCCTGCTCTGAAGTAACCCACAAATTAATGAGGGAGACAACAAGCAAACAAATACATACAAGCAAATAGGATGAATAGGAAATAATGAACCAAACATTAAAATTAAGAAGGCTTGGGAAAGGCTCCCTGTAGAAGATGGGATTTTAGTACTTGAAGCTGGGAGTGAGAGATAAGAAAGGAGAGCATACTAGTCATAGGAGACAGCCAGTGAAAATGCCTAGTGCCAAGAGATGGAGTGTCTTATGCATGGAACACCAAGGAGGCTAGTGTCACTGTATCAAAGAGCACATGGTAAGTAATAAGGAACTAGCTTATGAAGGACTTTGAATACCAAATAGAGCATTTTGTATTTAATTTTGGAGGTGATAGGTAGGGAGCCACTGGAATTTATCAGATAGATGATTGACATGGTTGGTCCTGCACTTTAGGAAAATTACTTGGTGGCTGAATGAAAGATGGATTAGAGTAGGAGAGATTTGAAGCAAGCTAACCCACTAGCAGAATGTTACAATAGTCCAAGTGTGAAGTGATGAGGGCCTATACCAGGATGGTGGCAGTATCAAAGGAGAGAAAGTGTATTCAAAAGGTATTTCAAAGATGTTTCAAATACTGTAAATATACAGTTCTTGGCAACATAGATGTGGGGACAGGAGGTGAGAGATAGGTGAGAGGAGTTGAGCTGATATGTAGGTTGTGAACCTGTGGGATCAGAAAGATGGTAGTGCTCTGTACAGTAATACGGAAGTTTGCAGGGGAAACGATAATGAGTTCAGTTTTGGATATGTTGAATTTAATATATTTTTATTGTTCAGTCATTGTCTGACACTTCATGACTCCATTTGGGGTTTTCTTGGCAAAGAAATGTTGTTTGCATTTCTTTCTCCAGCTCATTTTACAGTTGAAGAAACTGAGGCAAGCAGGATGAAGTGATTTGCCCAAGGTCACACAGCTAGTAAGGTTGTAGATGAGATTTAAACTCAGGAAGATGAATTTCCCTGAATATAGGCCAAGCACTCTATCCACTAGCTGCCCTGTTCATACAGTTCAAGATGGCTGAAAGACTGTTGGAGATGCTAGATTGAAGGTCAGAAGGGAAGTAGGGGCAGAATAGGTAGATTAGAGAATCATCAGCATAGAGATTGTAATTAAATCCAAGTGAAAGGAGAAAAGAAGAAAAGAACCAAGATAGAGCCCTATAGGACACCTATAGTTAAAAGGTGTGACCTGAATAAGCCATCCAGCAAAAGAGATCTAGAAGGAGTAGTTAGATAGGTAAGAGGAAAACCAGGAGAGAGTGGTGTCCCAAAAACCTAGAGAAAAGAGAGTACTGGGGAGAGGGTAATCAACGGTGTTAAAGGCTGCACGAAGTTCAAGGAAAATGAAGATTGAGAAAAAGCCGTTGAATTTGTCAATTAGTGGATCATTAGTACTTTTGGAGAGAGAGGTTTTGGTAGAATGATGAAGTCAGAAAGTTGGATTGTAAAGGGTTAAGAAGAGAGTAAGAGGAGATAAGGTGGAAACAGCCTTCTCAGGGAGTTTAGCGCAAAGGGTGGAGGATATGCAGAACAATTGTTAGCAGGGTTGGAGTGATCAAGTGAGGGTTTTTGAGGGTAAGAGAGACATGGGCATGCTTGTAGGCAGTAGAGAAGGAGCTGGTAGACAGGGCAAGAAAAAAATGGTAAAATGGGATAATGACAGAGGGGGTAGTCTTTTGTTTTTTTGTTTTGTTTTGTTTTTTGTTTTTGCTAGGCAATGGGGTTAAGTGACTTGCCCAGGGTCACACAGCTAGTAAGTGTTATGTGTCTGAGACCAGATTTGAACTCAGGTCCTCCTGAATCCAGGGCCAGTGCTCTATCCACTGCACCACCTAGCAGCCCCTTGGAGGCAGTCTTTTGGAGGAGACAGGATGGAATGAGATCAGTTGTACAGGCTAGGGGTTAAGGATTGCCTTGGTAAGGAGTAAGTCTACCTCTTTATGTGAGATGGGGTGATGGAAGAAATAGTGACAAAAGGCAGTGACAGTTGAGGAACAGGGGAGAAGAGGGAGCTCACAAGAGAATGGCCTCAACTTTTTCAGTAAAATAATGAGGCTAGGTTCTCAGCTGGGAGGATTGGTGGAAAGGAAGGCATGACAGGTTTGAGGAGGGATGAAAAGATTTGAAAGAACCACCGTAGATAGTGAGTTGATAATGGAGGTGTAAATAAGGGAGGTGTAGGATTGTCTAGCAGCAGTGAGGGTAGAGTTTAGGTTATATAACAAATTTGTGTTGGACTCAGAGTAACGTGTGATTTTTTTCCCTACCATTGTTTAGTAGCATGATTATGCTATGAAAAGACTAAAATTATCTGTTCAGATTTTATCTTCGTATTTTCTTATATTTTAGTTAGTATGTTTGCTCCTCAGTAAATTTCTTTTTGAAGGAGAAAAATTATAGGTTAGTGTTTGCAATTACAATGTACAACTATAATTATTCTGAAAAGCTCAACATAATCTTTGAGTAACTTGGTTGCCAAAAACTTTAACCATTTGATCATCTTACAAGCATTTCGAAGTAAAGCAGTTTGAAATATACATGCCTATACACATATGCAGAAAATATAGCCTATCTATATGGTGTATATTTTTGGAGAATCTAGAAATTTACAAATGGAATTTGGAGTCTGTAATTTTTTTTTTGTAAGGCAATCGGGGGTTAAGTGACTTGCCTAAGGTCACACAGCTAGTATGTATCATGTGTGAGAGGCCAAATTTGAACTCAGGTCCTCCTGACTCCAAAGGTGGAGCTCTTTCCACTGTGCCACTTAGCTGCCTCTGGAGTCTGTAATTTAGCTCAGTATTGTAAACTATTGACTTTATCCTAATTAAACCAAAATGGGGGGGAAAAACTACTTGAAAGTGTTATGTGGTTGTCATTCAATAAATATTTGTTGAATAAATTAATATTAAAATTTTTAAATGTATGTATGAATACAAGATTTAGATAAAGGAAACTCTACCCAAACCTAAGATCTAGATTAAAAGTTAAACACAATCTTTTGCATCCTAGGTGGCTGTAGAAGTCTTTGGCCTTGTCCAGCAATTGCTCCCTTCTGTTGCCATTTTAAATCAGAAATATGCACCCCCTGCATTCAATCCTAACCAATCAACAGATAGCACAACAGGAAACCAGCCTGAACAAGGACTTTCAGCTTGTACTACCTCTAATCACTATGCTGTCATAGAGAGTGAACATCCCTATAAACCCGCATGTGTTATGCACTATAAGGTAGGTTGTATAATATGTTATTTTTATGATTTTTTTTATACATTGTGCATTTCTAAAAAATTTGCCCCACATAATAAACTTATTAGTTCAGCCAAGGGGATACAAAAGAAATATCAAACATACTCCTTGCCATGAAGGTATTTAAATTGTTTATTAGCCAGACATGACATAACACCCATTATAGGTTTGATCCTAAAATATGTCTGCCCATTTAATAGATCAAAAATCCACAGCCTTTGACAACATATAAAATTTCTGTCATTTAGTTCTATACATATGTTTTACAAACCCAAGGAAAGCTCAAACTTTATGTGAATGTGTACATTAGACATTAAAATAAGTATCTTACTCCAGTACTTTATAATAGATGCCTGATCTTTTCAATGGATGTTCCCTACATTGACAGAAATCTTTGCCTGTAGTCTATCAATTCTCCCCTGCTCTCTTTACGTGATTTGTCCACATCCTTTTGTGGCCATCCATTTCTCTGATGGCATCCTTTATACTGCATCCTTTGGATACTTCTTTGATGATAATGTTATTGTAGCCTGCTAATAACCCTTATGTGCTTCTCCTTTCCTTTTGTGTAACCACAATTTGAATTTTTAAAAACTTCAGTGTTACATAATTGGCCAGTAATATTCAATAAACATTTATTAGGTACTTACTATGTGCCAGGTACTGTGCTTAGCTCTGAGAATACAAATACAAAGAAAGACAGTCCTTACCCTCAAGGAACTTACAGTCTAATGGAAAAAGACAACACATGAAAAGGAGGTAGGGAGCTGGAGAAGGAAGTAAAAAGAAACAGTCAGAAAAATCCTAAGGGAGTGCAGCCAGGTGAGAAATGAGATGTCTAGTCTGGTCTTCCTCCTTAAATGGAGGTTTTGGGGTTCAAGACTCTCCCCTCCCATCAGAGCAAAGAAGAGTAGTGGTGAGGTAGAGTATCAAGGCTGAAGAGATCTTGCAAGATGATGAGGAATCCTTTCACTTTCTCTCTAAGAGGGAAACCAGCCTACACATAGAACACAGAAAACAGTTACCCAGCTAGAGCAGAAATAAAAGTATTGCACATCCTATGCAAGTCACTCTTATTTCCCCCTACCCTCCATAGTGGTTGATTCTTTCACCCTTGTTTCTTAAAATTATTTGTAAGTCTTTATAACTCAACTCTTAGTACCTGGTTAAAACTCTTTATATCTAGTTATTAACTCTTAATAATTTGATAATTTTACTTAACTTCCTTTCCTTTGACTCAACACCGCTACCACAGGTACATCCACACTGGATCCCCCTTTATTAATATTATCACCAGAGCCTCAGGGAACACCCATGGTTGGTAGGTAGCAGCTGGATAAAGTTCCAGCAAGAGACTGAGGAGTAGTCTTAGAGGTAGGAAGAGAATCAGGAGACAGCAGTATCATAAAACCTTAGGGAAGAGAGTATTCAGGAGAAGAGAGTGATTGACAGTGTTGAAGGCTGCAGAGAGGTCAAGAAAGATCTGAGGTTTGAGAAAAGGCCATTGGATTTATCAGAGATCACTCACTGGTTAATTCTGGAGAGAACATTTTCAATTGAAGCTGAGGTCAGGACTCAAACTTCAAAGGTGAGACGAAAGTAAGTGGAAAGGAAATGAAGACACCAGTTCTATAAGGCTTTTACAAGGTTAGCCACAAAAAAGAAGAGAGATGTAGGATGGCAGTGGGGTTGATGAAGCTTTTTAAGGATAAGGTAGATATGAACATGTTTGTAGGCACCAAGGAAACAACCATACAAAGGGAGAAACTGATAATTGCTGAGAGTGAGGATGATAGAGGAGTCAGTCTGCTGGAGAAGACAAGATGGAATGGCATCAAGAGTGCTTGCAGACGAGTTGACTTTGGTGAGAAAAAAAATGCCCTCTTTTTGTGAGACTGATGGAGGAGAAGATGGTAGGGGATGACACTGGAGTAATGTGAATTGATGAAAGGGGAGAAAAGAGTGAACTCTTAGCAAATGGTCTGAATTTTTTTGGTGAATTATGAGGTAAGGTCCTCAGCTGAGAGAGTGGTGGGAGCAGGTTCCACAGGAAATTGGAATAGGGATAAAAAGATTTGGAAAAGCAGCTGTCTTGAGTGATACAGTGCAAGTCTCCAGTCTATTTCATGATTTTTTCCACCCACTAGTTCTCTTTATCAACTTGCTTAACCCTCTTAGCTGCTCCACTTCTCTTTTCTTATTTACTTTGCCATGTTCTGGAATCTACTTTGTCCTCTTCAGGTTCTGCTTTCTAATTATCCTTAGTCCTTCAAATTTTTGTCAGTTTTCCCAAATTTTGCCAAGTTTCCCTTCCTCAAGTCCAACCTCTAACATTTTATTATTCAAACCACAACAATTCACCTACACGATGTCTTTCTCCTTTTCTCTTCTGCTACTCCTTCCTTTGTCTTTCCTTTCAGAAATCTGAAGTAGAAAAAATATACTTGAGATGCTTTATAACTGTAAAGCACTGTATAAATTTAAAGTGATTATTAAACTATTAATCCCTCTGGAATACATTGTAGTTTTTCATCATTTTCTTCATAATAGCTTAAATATGTTTTCATTTATTCAAATTTTATGTGATCATATGAATGATATCAAAGAGATGTATAACCACAAAAAGAGGTAGTCAGCAATGTAGTAAAGGATATCATGGGAAACCCGAATATTGCCCTAATACCCACATAATGTCAAGAAACTTAGAGAAAGAACCCAATCAAAGATTTATGAGAAGACAAGAAGAGTTAAAAGAGAATAAGGAATAGATGGATTACATTTTGCACCTTTGAAAGAAATACACACATCAATGAAATCATAGTTCCATTTAAATATGAATGTCTTTATTAATAAGTACAACTTCTTCATTAGAGTATGTTTATTAGAGTGGATTACTTCTGACTCCAAGAAGGTAATAGAAATTAAAAACTAGGACTTTGATTTCTAATAATTTATGTTTTGTTTTTTATTTCTTGTTTTAAAAGTGTTATTAGGAACCTGTTTGTTTTTTTAAATGAATCTTATATTAAGTTTCATTCTATCAAAATGTGAATAGTTTCTAATAAGTTAGTATTTTCTCCTGGTGGTGATTGACTATTTTTTTAATCTGTCCCTCTGATTACTCTCTCCTCAACCTGTCATTGAGCAAATTAAAAAAACAAAAACAAAAAATAAATGAAGCCCTTGATACACACACACACACACACACACACACAGTTTTGAAAAACCAAGTTCCCACATTGAACATGTCTGAAAATGTGTCTCTTTCCAAATTTGAAATTCAGCACCTCTTTCACAGGAGGTGAGTAGTTTCTTTTTCATTCTTTTGGATTCATGTTTTATCAATGTTCTGAAGTTTTTCAAAGATTTTTTTTCAATAATGGTGCCATATACATTGTTCTCCTACTTCTGCTCACTTTACTCTCAACAGTTCATAGAGGTCTTCCCAGTTTCCTCTAAAACTTGATGTTTTATCATTTTTTGTGGCATAGTAATGTTTCATTATATTCATATACCACAGTTTGTTTAGCTGTTCTCCAATAGAAGGTCATCCTTTCTAATTTCAAATTTGGGGCTACCATGAAAAGAGCTAGTATAAATATTTTTGTAAATGACAGATATTTTTCCTTTTTATATGATTTCTTTGATGTATTGACCTAGTATTTGTATTGCTGAGCCAAAGGATGTGTGCAGTTTAGTAACTGTTAGCACAATTCCAAATTTCTTTCCAGAATGGTTGGATCATTTCACAGCTCCATTAGCACTACACCTAGTTTACCTGTTTTACTCTAGCCCTTCTGACCTTTGTCATTTTCCTCTTTTTATCACTGTTGCCACTCTGATAAGTGGAAGGTAGAACCTCATAGTGGCTTTAATTAGCATTTCTCTAATTATTATAGATTTAGAGTTTAAATTTTTTTTTGTATGATTATTGATAGTTTGGATTTCTTCCTTTAAAAACTTCATATTTATATCTTTTGACTATCTATCAGAGAAGTCTCTTAGCCTTATAAATTTTAATTCATTCCTTAAATGTCTTACATATTTTCTCTTTACCAGAGAAACTTATTGCAAAGGTTTTTCCCTAGTTACCTGTTTAACCTTTTCATTTTAGCTACATTAGACTTATTTGTGTACTTCTAAATTTTATTTATCAAAATTGTCCATTTCATTTTGTTTACTCTCCTGTATTGCTTATTTAGTCATAAATTCTTCCACCATCTGTAGATCTGAAAGGTAATTTCTTTTGTTGACTTTAGGTGACCTTTCCAGAGTGTGTAAGATGGATGACAATCGAGTTTGATCCTCAGTGTGGTACTGCACAATCAGAAGATGTTCTCCGTTTGTTGATTCCTATTAGAACTGCTCAGAACTCTGGTTTTGGACCAAAGGTGAATTCTGTTCATGAAAACCTCAATTCATGGATAGAATTAAAGAAATTTTCAGGATCTTCTGGATGGCCAACTATGGTTTTAGTCTTGCCAGGTAAGTTTTTTGTGTGTATGTTTTATTTGGTGATATTTATGTTGAGTATTGTACACTATGTCTTTCACTGTACTTTAAAACAAAAACAAGTGAGAAAAGAGACCATTCCGGGAAGGGATATGAAAAGAAGTTTGGAGACAGAATGAACATAGTGTATTCTAGGGATAAGACTAACTTGCCTGAAATAGAGAACTTATATTGGGATATAGAAAATGATAAATTTGGATAGGCAAAGTGAAACCAGATTACAGAAAAAAATAGTATGCGTACTGCTTGCCCAAGTCAACTCTCCCTCATGTGCATGTGATCACATCTCTTCCCATCTTTTCCAGAAGGTTTCAGCTTCAATGTTTCCCTCTTTAGTTCAGACTTTCAACTTAATCTCTCAAGTTATCATTCAGTATCTATCTTCTCTTTCTCAGCCAAACTCCTAGAATCTTCTTGACCTACCTTCTGCATTTGACACCATTTACCAGTCTCTCTCGGATACTATCTCCACTCATGACTTCTGTGATTCTTTATCCTGCTTCTTCTCTTACCTGATTTCTCTCTTTCTCCCATTTTCCTCCATTTCTTTCCCTCTTGTTCTCTCTTTTGCCTCTCCCTCTCTCTTTTACTACTCCCTTTTTCTCCCTTCACCCCTCTTTACTTCTTTTCCCCCCACTTTACCCCTTCCCCTCTTTCCTCTTTTTGCTTCTCTTTCCCTTTCTTTCCCACTTCCCACCTATCTCTTCTCTCCCTCTTTCTTTTTTTCCCTCTCCTCCTCCTCTCCTCCCCCAATCATATCATACCTTCCCTCCCACTCAACAAATTCTAGTGGCTTCTTCTTGCCCATAGTATAAAACATAAGCTTCTCACTTTAGTTTTTAAAGCCCTTCCCAACCTGTCCCCAGCCTGTCTTTCTAGCTTTACTGGCCATCACTTCTTCTCCCATACTCTGCAGTCCAGCCAAAATGGCGGTTTCTTTCTGTATTTCCCATTTTCGTGTCTTGGCACTGGTCACCCTTCTGTCTCTCACCCCCACCTCCTGGCCTGGAATGTAATTTTTCCTCACATCCCCTTGCTAGAATCCTTCTGTCTTTGAAAGGCAGCTCAAGCACTAGCTTCTACATGAAGCCTTTCCAAAGTATTTAAGTATTTTGTACATAAAATCTTTTTATTCTCTTTATATTTATTCTATATATTTACTTGTTATCTTCTTGATTCAACTGTAAATTACTTGCAAGTAAGAAATCTTTCATTTATTATGTTTGTATCCTTAGAACCTAGCATAATATTTGGTACATAGGTACTTAATAAGTGCTTATTGATTATTACATAATAATTAAATTTTATATTCAGTCAGGCAGTTTTAGTTAGCCTGTTATTCTGCCAAGTCTCTGCTTCCTCCTCTTTGTACCCTTTTGGATTATGTAAATGTTAGAAAGGCTTTTTGGTATTTTTTCTTAGAAATGTTAATAGATGGTTATAAAAATTAAGAATCTATAGGTTGTGATTGTGTAACCTTTGACAGTCACGTGACTTGCTGTCATTGATGCCAAATGAACCTTTCTGAATATGGGCTATAGTAGAATGAACTTCAGATTTGGAGTCAGTAGACATGGGTTCAAATCCGTTGCCAAGTGCTATATTGCAACATTAATCTCTGTAAAAATTAGAGGATTAGACTAAGCTCTGAGATTTTAACTGCTCTATAAACCTGTGATCCTAATCAGTTCTCTCTTCTGGTCCCTAAATAATAGCTTTTTGAATACTAACAACTCCAAAACACCTAAAATAATATAAAAGGAATAACATATAGTGATTAAAAAATCATATAGTCCTTTCCATTAATATAAAAGATAGAAGGAAATATAGCTGGCAGGATAATGTAGACAAACTGAGCCAAAAGGCCCTGACACTCATGCAGCTATAAAGCAAAAAGCCAATGTAGAAGCATTCTGGGTAGGAAATAAGGCATCCCTGAGTTATGTGCATGGCTTATAATTAAGTAATTGAGAGATAATACTTGTAATTCAAAAACAGGAAAATTTATTCAAGCCTTAATACCGAGAAATCATCACTGTGATGAAGAGGGATTCCTTATATAAATATAAAATAGTATTTCTTATGTCTGTTTATATTTTTCCTTATGCATTTCTCCTTGTCTGGATGTCTTTAAAAGGAAAGAGATAATTAAAGGAATATTTTCATTTCAAGACTTTTACTTTCTCAGGAAATGAAGCCCTTTTTTCATTAGAGACTGCATCAGATTATGTAAAAGATGACAAGGCTTCGTTTTATGGTTTCAAGTGTTTTGCAATTGGATATGAATTTAGTCCTGGTTCTGATGAGGTGAGAGTTAATCTCTTAATTATATTAAACTAAGCTTTTTTTGGTAGGCAGCATTTGACTTCTAAATGTCAGTTACACATTTTGTTCAAAGTTTAAATTCATTTTTAATCTATTATTTGTAACATAAATTTATATACATTATATATATGTATGACATCCTACTGGATGATACACTGTTGATATGTTAAGTTCTCTTTTTTAACGTTCTTAGTAAATGGAAAAACTGAAATTTGAGATATCTTATGGAGGCTACAACTGGTAGAGTCAGCTCAAACCATCTTGAAAGACTGGATTGTTAAATTTTCATTGCTAGTGTTTATACATTGGGAATTGGCAAACAGCACAAATCAGAGATAATTCATTGTTTTGTTGGATGGAGAACTGGTTGTTAAACATTTACCAGCACATCTTTGTCTTAAACAAAAATCTCTGTCATTTCTTAAGATGTGATTGTTATAAACTCTTAGGTTTCTCTTAGGTTTTTCTTGCAGATCTTGTACATATAGCTATTAATTTGTAACCTAAATAAACAATTAAAAAGCAAATAAGTAAAATGGCACTAGTAAGTGAATTGATTGAAACATCCCTGCTTCTGCCAATTCTCTATACCTTGAATTAGCTTAAGACTAAAATTCATTGTATATACAGTTTTAAACCATTTTGAATTTTTAAAAATGTAGTTACATTCATTAAGCTTCACCTGATCCTGGTATCAATTTCTGCCTAATATGCCAGGAAAATATGGGTATAATTTCCATACTGCTGAGCTCTCTGAAAAATAAGAAGTCCCCAGAAACCTAACAACATAGGTATAATTTCTCTTTCTAATACTCCTCTGCTGCTTAAAGGAATGGGGAATAGTAGGGGGAAATTGGACTTGAATCCCAGCTCAGATTCATACTAACCTTTATTCTTTTTCCTTTTCTCCTTACTTGCAAGAGAAAGGGAATGTTAAATATATACAGGAAATTGTCATTCTCCCAGTTATACTTAATTTACTTAGTTTTTCCCTGTGGATTAATGACAGCTTTCTGGTTTGTTACATGACCTGACCTATAGTTCTTCTAAATGTCTAGAATTTAATTCAACAAAACAAACAGGTTAAACTGTTTAAAAAAAAGATAGTCCAGTAACAGCCACATTGTGTAATGACTAACGTTGATGAACTTAGCCCTTCTTAGCAATGCAAGGATCTAAGATATCTCCAAAGGTCTCATGATAGAAAATGCTATCCACATCCAAAGAAAGAACTATGGAGTTTGAATACAGATCAAAGCATACTGTTTCCTATTTTTTTCCTTCTGTTTTGTTTCCTCTTTCTGGTGGTTCCTCTTATCAGTTCTAATTCTTCCTTACATCACCAATGTGAAAATGTGTTTAATAGGAATGTATATGTATAGCCTGTATCAGATGGTGTGCCATCTTGAGGAGGGAGGGGGAGAAAAATTTAAAACTCAAAAGCTTATGGAAGTGATTGTTGATAAATCAAAATAATTTAATGAAAATTTTTTTTAAAAATAATCGAGTTCTTTGGACTAATAAACATGTTTGCAGCCCTCAGCATTTATATTAATCTGCCATTCAGGATGAATTGCTTTTCTCCCTGACTTATTAATTCAACAGTGAGCCAACACAATTTTCTTGAGGGTGTTCAAAGTATATTTTTTGAGAGCCCACTTCTTGTCAATTATGATTTTATAGAAATATTTTACTAACTTAAGTACTGACGTTAGACACAAACTTTTAAATAAGAATTTAATTTGTAATTTTACAGGGAATTATTCAGTTGGAAAAAGAATTAGCTAATCTTGGTGGGGTTTGTGCAGCAGCTTTAATGAAAAAGGATCTAGCACTTCCTATTGGTAAGTAATCCTATATTTATTCAGGCATTCTCTTACCTTGCACTACTCACACACCCAAATATATGTGTATCTCTTCCTTTGTCCCTCTCTCTCCCTCTGTCTCACACACACATATTAAAATCACTGCACTTCCCCCTCATAATCCCTTCTTCCCGACTGCTTGTCCCAGCCTTTCTTCCAGAAGTGTCTTCTCTAATTAACATATTTATTCAACACCTCCAGGGGCAGTAGAGTGAAGAGAAAGCCATGTCATCTAGACTCACTACTATATACCTATAATCAGGTGGCATTTTTTTCTCATTCACCTCTTTCCTCTATCACCCCATTACATTCCTAAACTATAAATGTATGTTTATTGGTTAATTATGGGAAGAGGGTTCTAATTGCTTGAATGCAAAACATACGTTTAAAGTATGTACTCAACATTTTTCTTATCAGTTCGCTCCTTTCACTCTAGCTTACAATGTCTTTCAAGTCTTTCAAGTAGCTGCAAAGTAAATATTAGATCTTAATTATGGTTTCTTTTGCAATTGACTTAATGTCTGAGGCTAAGTAATCATAGTACTTTGAAGTGAGGATCTCAGAAATAATAAGGATGTCCAAGTTAGCTAAAATTCCATTAGGCTAAGGTAACATAATTCCTTTCTGTTACAAGGCAAGAGTGAAAATATTAGATTAAAAGAGGATTGCTGTAAATATAGTATATAGCTTTATGTTAAATATATGTTGCAAGTTTCATCTTTTACTTTTAACCACAACCTGTACAAAATGATTGGGGGGAGGGGAGGTAGGTGTTTTTTAGGCTATTGGAATTTTGATATAAAATTTAATTGTCAAGAAAGTTTAACATTCTTCAATGAACCATTTAATTTGTACAGCAGGTAATGAATTGGAGGAAGATCTTGAAATTCTTGAAGAGGCTGCTCTGCAGGTAAATGTATTATACTTTACATTGTATGTTCTAAGTACCTTTACATTGCACATTATAAGTACATTTATGTCATAAGTAATTTTACACTGTAAGTAGTCCATGAATCCAAAACTAAATTTGACCACTAATTTTTACTAATACTGAAATTTGGATTTGAAAAATGTTTAGAAACTAGGAAATTTAACTCTAGGATAACAATGAAATTGAATGAGTACTTTGCAGAAAGTTAATATTTTTATAGTATCTTCTAACATTTCATTTGAGCTTTATCTTTCTAGGAGACTGATATATTGCTACCTTTGTGTACAAATCAGACCTTTACTATCATTGAGTCTCCCTACTCAATTGCTTTTAGGAAAAATACACTAGCAAAAGGATCACTTATCTCTAAATAAAAAGACCAATGATAATAACTTTCTCTATACAAGTAGCTTGAACTGAATATGTTCTGATCTGTCAAGAAAGATTTAACATGTGCCCTTGTTCATTCTAGCTACTTGTGCTTTTGTCTTAAGAAACAAGAGAAGTGTGCCATCATTTATCATTAAAGGGAATATTGTGGTTTAGAAAATGACATATTATGATACTAATAATAGTAAGAAGAATAATAACAATAGCTAGCATTTAAATAGTATCTAAAGGTTTGCATGGCACTTTATGTATATTTTCTCTTTTGATCTTCAGAATAACCCTGTGAGATAGCCATTTTAATCCCCGTTTTACATGTGAGGGATAAGCTAAACGAGATTAAGTGATTTGTCCAGTATCATACAGCTAATGTGTCCAAAGTGGGATTTGAATCTTTGGTCTGAACTCCAAGGGCAGATTCTTTTCACTGCACTTTCTTGGTACCTAAGTATAAAATGATTACTGCTCTGACTGCTGCCTCAGGTCTCACCAGAGGTCACAAAACACTTCGGTTTTCTGATCTGTTACATAAGAATAATGAAATTATATAGTATATTCACTATTATAAATGTTAAAATATTACTGTAAGGTAAATATGATAATCTATGAATTCAACTTTAATAAGTCTATTTTATGAGTCTACAATGTATGAAGACTTGGGAGACCCAAGGAAGAGATGGAAATAAGAAGAGAATATATTTGAAGCATGGGAGAGAGATAGCCGTCATGAATAAATGAAGAGAGCAAAATGCACGATGTGCTCAGAGAATAGCTTGCAATTTTTTTGTGACTAGAACAATGACTATTTAAAGAGGGAGTAGAAAATAAAGCTGAAAAATAGGTTCAAGCTAGATTGAGTAGAGCATCATATGCCAAGCTAAGGTGTTTGTATTTTATATTTTAGGGAGATTATATATAGTCTTTAAAGAGTTTACAGCCTAGTAGATATATATATATATATATATATGTATATATATATATATATATATGTATATATGTATACACAAAATATACACACATACATATATATATGTGTATATATATATGTGCATCTCTATATTTATATATATGTACAAATAATGATATACAATATTTAAGTGCTTAAAAGAAATGCATAATCCTAAATGATTGAAGTCTAAGGAGGAGAGGAATAGTCTTTATTGACTGTGCTGTAAACAGAAAGCCTTCATGGAAGAGCTGGAATGGGTTGAAATTATATAAATTCAGTGGGGATAGGAGGGTGCACATTTAGGGCATAGGAAACAGTTTGAATAAAGCATAGGCAGAACCAGGGAATCACCACCTATATACTAGACATGCATAAATAGTAGTACAAATTAACTGAAATAAATGGAAAGGAATAGTTACAGATAAGGCTAGAAAGGTAGAATGGTACCGGATTATGGAAAGGACTTAGAAGTAGAGCATTTGACCATATTTTTTACTGAATTAGACTTTATACTGAATGAAAAGGAGCCAAAGAGTCAGCATTAAATGTGTTTTTTTTCCTAAGGCGTAATAACTACAAGTGTTGTTTTAAATACAGGTACTTTTTTAAATGCTAAATGTTAATGCGCTTATACCAATATAAACTAGTATGAGCTTTCAAAGGAATCCTGTGGGTCAGACTCTTTATAATATAATATGTTCATTTTTAAAAATCCTCTTTGTGAATGTATTGTATGTAATTATTTTTCCATGAGATGAAGTATCAGTTTCCTTTTTTGCCAAATAGGTGTGCAAAACTCATTCTGGCATTCTTGGAAAAGGTTTAGCCCTTTCTCATTCACCAACCATACTGGAAGCTCTTGAAGGAAGCTTGCCACTTCAGATTCAAAGCAATGAACAGTCATTTTTGGAAGATTTCATTGCCTGTGTTCCAGGATCAAGTGGGGGACGACTTGCAAGGTAGTATATTTTGTGATTTAGTTTCATTTCTTCTTTTTGCTTGTTTCATTTTTAAACCCTGAATACACTAAAATATGAAAATTAGTTTTGGTATTATAGCATATAATGACCAACTTAAAATGTTAGGTCTTCATGAATAAATGTAAAATGTATAAAATGATCTCTCACCCTCACCCTCCACCCCCAACTCTAATTCATCTCTAATTTAAAGCCTCTGAGATTTATCTGGGGCACTGAGAGGTTTACTGATTAGTCATGGTCCCAAAGCTAGTATATGTGAGAGGCAGAACTTTAACCCAGATTTTTTCAAACCTAAGTACTATTCACTATACCATACTACCATGAAATTTGTAACTTTTATTCTGAAGCACAAAAACACCAAAATGCCTTTTAAAATTTTTTATTGTTTAGAGAATTTTATTTCAAGAATAGATCTTATCGTAGTTGAAATCCAGATATACATGCAAATGTTGAGTCAAGTATTATGAGATTTCGACGTGTTACTTTTCAAGGGGAAAACAAAAAAATTATATATTCATTTATGGTTTTACTTTTTTGTTAAAAAAGAGATAAAAATTAAATTTCCTTCTGTACTGAGTCCAACTAAATTAATGAGATTTTTCCTAAGTAAAAAATAAGATGGGGGGTCCCCATGAAAATAAATCAGGTTTGAAGGAAAAGAGACATTGTCAACTTGTATATACTTTACAAATAACTTTCCTGGACCTACTTTTTGACTTCTGAGAAGATTCCAATATCTATTCCTTTAATAACCATTTAGCAAACATTTGTTAAGCACATACAATGTGCAGTCATAGTGCTTATTTATCGTATATTCAAGGTGGGGTTAAAGGAAAGGTTGTAACTTTTTAACAGATTAATACCTGTTATTGACTGAGGAAATAAAGAAAGGTTTCCTATAAGAGATAACCCCCAAAGTTAGCCTTGAAGGAATCTAAGCATTATTGTAAAGATGAGAGAGTACATTCCAAAAATATTGTAGAAAGTCACAGATATAGATGACGGACTGGTAGGAAAAGTACATAAGCAAGTTTGGGTTGAATGTAGAGTACATCAAGAGGCATAATATAAAATGACCAGAAATGCAGATTGGAGCTTGGTTGTGAAGGGCTTTAAGTACTAAACTTAGAAGTTTGTATTTTGTCCCCAGAAGCAATAGAGAGCTACTGAAGGGATAAAAGAAGTGACCATGGTTGGAATTTCATTTTAGGAAGATTATTTTGGAAGCTATGGGAAAAATGGATTAGAGAGGGGAGTGAATGGAAATATGGAGACTTTTTGGAAGCTATTTTAGTAATCCAGGACCTTTAAATAGTGTTGTGGCTTTGAGTGGAGACAAGAGTTATCTCATCAAATGAGATAAAATATACGTAAAGTGCTTTGTAAACCTTAAAATGCTATAAATGTGCTAGCCGTTATAATTATTGTTATTATTATTAATAAGGAAAATAATATAAAAGACATTGCAGAAGTAGAATCAAGAAGTTAGCCGTGGTTTAGGGTAGTAAAGAGTAAAATATGACTGAAGTTGTAAACCCAAGTAACTGGAATAATGGTGATGTCCTCAAAGAATGATGGTATCCTCAATAGAAAAAGGAAAATTTAGAATAAGTGTGGTTTCAGAATGGGGAGGAAAAGGACAAAGGGGGAATGGGAAAGTAGAAAATTAATTCTGTTCTTGACACATAGAACTTGAGATACTTGAAGCTCAGCATAAGTATTTGGGCTGGATATATAGCTTTGGGAATCATCTGTATAGAAAAGGTAAACCCTTGTTGGGTTCACAGAAGGAGGATTGAGAAAGGAAAGGATCCAGGAAAGACCTTTAGGGGAGCCAAGCAGTTAGGAAGTGGGTCGTGGTTGATGATCTAGTAAAGGAAACCCACATGGAACATTATCAGTACTATCAGAAGAGAGAAAGGAGAGATCAGTGTTACAAAAGCAGAGGAGGAATAAGTGTACAACAGTGTCAGAAACTACAGAGAGCTCAAGAAGGATGAGGGCTGTGAAAAGACTATCAGGTTTAGTGATTAAAAGACCTTTGGTGCCATCATTCAACAAGCATTTATTAAATGCATTCCATGCCCTGGGCACTGTGCTAGACACTTGGGTTAATGAGATGGGCCCTTTCCCTGAAGATGCTTACTTTAAAAAAAAATTTTTTTTTTGCATCTTTTGTTTTTACATAACCTTAATTCTCCAAAGAAGGAAGGGAGGTACATTTTCTCATTTCTTCTGGAATAAGCTTGGTTATTATAATTATACATAATTCAATTTTCTTTTTTTTTTTGTTCAGTCCATTGACATTATTGCAGTAGTTATATGTAAAAGTATTGTTATCCTGGTTCTGCTTGCTTTAGAATGTCTTTCCATTCTTGTCTCAGTTCTACACGTTCGTTATTTCTTAACACACAGTAATACTGTATTACATACATAGTTTTGAAAATCTTAATGTTATTTATAAAAGCTATTTATTATTCTTATTTCCATGATTTGATTAACCATTCTCCAATGAGCATATATCAAATTTATTACTAGTAATTTCCTTCTACAAAAAAAAAATGCTGCTCTGGTGCATATGAGACTTTTCTGCTTTTGACCTTCTTGAGGTTTATGGGCAGCAGTGAGATCTGTAGGCCTATGAACATAAACGATTTAGTTCCTTTTGTAGCATAATACCAAATTTTTTTTTAGAATGTTTGCATTAAGTCATGGCTTCACCAATAGGGTAATTATGTGCCTGTGTTTCCATATCCTCTCCAGTATTGATTGTACCCACTTTTTGTTATCCTTGCCAATTTATTTGGTGTCAGGTGAAACTTGAGAATCATTTTGATTTGCATTTCTCTTATTGTTAGTATTTGGAGCACTCTTTCATATAGTTACTAATACTTTACGAGTCTTCCTTTTTTTTTTTTTTAAAGAACGGTTTGTCCTTATCCTTTGTCCACTTGTCTGTTGGGAAATGGCTCTTGGTATTATATATTTGTGTTCCATATATATCTTGGATATTAAGCACTTTTCAGAAATACTTGATGAAAAGATTTTTTTCTTATCTAATTGCATTGATTTAGTTAGTGCTAAATTTTTCAGTTTCATGTAACTAAAATTACCTGTTTTATCTTTTGTGTTCACCTCTATCCCTGGTTTGAGGGAGAACTCTTCCCCTAACCATGGTAATAAATGCTTACTCATTGATTTGTTGACCTGTTTCTCTTCTTTTTTTTAATGATGTGATCTTTCATATTGAGGTTTAATATCTATTTTGAACTTATACTATGTGTTGTAAGTTAATCATCTGAATCTCATTCTATTCAATGGTTTGCCAGTTTTCCAGAAGTTCTTTCCGAATAGTTTTTTCCCAGTTAATTTATCTTGGTTTTATCAAGCACTAGGATATTGAGTTAAACTGTTTTTTTATTCTTCCTTCTCTAGTCTGTTCCACTAATATTCTTTAGTTTTTAATTAATGGTAAATAGCTTTAAAGAATTTTTAATTACAATATAATTTGAAGTCTATAAGTACCATTTCCTCTTCACTCCTACTTTTGATAATTGTTATTATTTTGTCAAGCTCTATAAAGTATACTGATATGGTTTGATATGACACTAGGAGCTTGCACCCTCTTAGGAGTGACAGTATTCGTACATATGAGTTTTCACAAAATGAAGGAAAAGCAATTTATTAAGCATTTAATATGTGCTAAGCATTGTGCTAAGTACTAAGGAATTGAAGAATAAGATTGTCTTTTACAAAATAAAGGTAATTTCGGGGGAAGGCTAGCATCTAAGGGGATTAGGAAAGGCCTCATGTAGTAGGTGCCACTCAAGCATATTTTGAAGGAAAATAGGAATTTAAAGAGGTGGAAGAAGTACAACAGCAGGGAAATAGGAGATGCAATGTCACATGTGAAGAACAGCAAGAAGGCGTAGCCTTGGCTAGATTATTGAGTAGTACATGAAGGCAAGTAATGTCTCATAAGGGTAAAAAAAGTAAGTTAGAGGGGCAGCTAGGTGGTGCAGTGGATAAAGCAATGACCCTGGAGTCAGGAGGACCTGAGTGTGAACGTGGGCAAGTCACTGAACCCTATTGCCTAGCTGGAGAGAGGAAGGAAGGAAGGAAGGAAGGAAGGAAGGAAGAAGGAAGGAAGGAAGGAAGGAAGGAAGGAAGGAAGGAAGGAAGGAAGGAAAAATTGGCTAGAGATAGATTATGAAGTGTTTTAAATGCCAAATGGAGGACTTAACCTTAGATACTAGGAAGCCCCCACAGTTTATTGAGAAGAAGAAGAATGAAATGGTTTGCCCTCTATTTTAGGAATATCACTTTCGGCAGCTGTGTAAGGGATGAATTAGAGAAGGGGGAGACTTGAGGTAGAAAGACCAATTAGGCCATATTTTTCCTTCTCCATTATATCTAATCAGTTACCACATCTTGCTGTTTCTGCCCCAACAGCATCTCTTACATCTTCTCCCCACCCACAGCTTTGTTCAGGCACTCATCTAGGCTATTGTATTGGTCTCCCTGATTCAAGTCTCTGTATTCTTCAGTCCATCCTGCAATCAGCTGTTAAACTTATTTTCCTTAAGTACAGATTTGACCAAGTGGCTCCCCTACTCAAAAAACTCTTATTGTTTCCTTATTGTCCATATGATAAAATAAAAACTCCTCTGCTTAGCTTTTTAAGCCCTTCAAACCTAGGCACAACTTACTTTCTGGCTTCTTTGGACATTACTTCCCCTCTCCAGCTCCGCAATCAAAACAAACTGGCAATATCTCAGTTCCTCACACATAGTATTCCATCCCCAATCTCCATGCCTTTGTACTTGCTATCCCCCATGCTTGGAATGGATCCCTCCTTATCTCCACATCATAGAATTCTCTACTTCCCTCCAAAGGCAACTCAGCCTTCTACAAGAAACCTGTTCTGATCCTCCCAACTGTTGGTATCCTCCCTCCCTAGTTTATATTTATCTACTGTGTATTTTTATTTATTTCTCTGTATCCTGTATCTGCTTATATCTTACTTGTTGTCCCCATTAGAATGTAAGCTCCTGTGTATGTGGATTGTTTTATTTTTTGACTTTGTGTTTCTGGAACCTAGTATATAATGGATACTTAATAAGTGCTTATTGATTGATTGATTGGTTGATTGATTGATTAGGGCCTGAGATAAGGTGGTGTTCTTGTAAGTCACAATGAGGATGCAAAGACAAGAGATAGATTTGTTAACTAGTTATATATGAAGAATAAAGGAGAACAAGGGTGAAAGATTACTCTGAGATTCTAAACCTGGGTGACTGGAAGGATTGGAATGAGAAAGGAAAGGAAGGAAGGAAGGAAGAAACTTCTGAAAGGAAATGCATTTGGAGAAAAAGGTAGTGAATTTTATTTTGGTTGTATTGAGTTTGAGAGACCTATGGAGCATCCTGTTTAATGTGATGTAGGATTAAAGTTCAGGAGAGATACTAGGGCAGAACGTGTGGATCTGGGAATCCCCTGTGTAGTAATGATAATATGAGTATACGTGAGCTGATGAGATTGCCAAGAGAAAGCATGTAAAAAAAGAAGAGTAGTGGGCTCATGATAGTACTCTGGGATACACACACCTTTGGGAGAAGCGGAAAGGTAGATTGAGAAGGAGATGGAGATAAGTAGAACTAAGACTGAGCAGTAAAAGATACAGTATTCAGGATGGAGACAGTGGTTAACAGTATCAAATGCTACAGAGAACTGAAGAAGGATAAACATTGAGAAAAGGCTACAGGTCTCACAATTAAGAGATCATTATAACTTTGAAGATTGCAGTTAAGAGTTAGTTGTTGAGGTGAAAAACTAGATTGAAAAAACTTGAAAAGTGAGTGAAATGTTACATTGACAACTTTTTTCTGGGAGTTTGGCTGGGAAAGGGAGGGGAAATATAGAATTGATATCTTTAGGGGATCATAGAGCCAAGTGAGGGAATTTTTTACAGTGAAAGAGATTTGGCCCTACTTGTAGATAGAAGAGAATGAACCAGTAAATAAGGAGAGATTGAATACTAAAGTGAAACTGATTGTGGGGACAATCTCCTAAAGGATATGGGAGAGAAGGAGATCCAGGCTAAAAGTAGAGGAGCTGGCTTTAAGAGAGCAGTTTCCTTTGTTTGGCTGGCTTGGAAGACTGACTGCCAGGAATTAAAAACTGAGTGGAAAATAAAGTATTGATTAAGGCTTTTTTTTTTTTGCCATGGTCTTCTAGCTGACAAAGCAGCGTTGCACTTGGTGATTGTAAATTGTCTCAGAAATCAAGTCCTCAGACTATCCAAAAAAATTGAGCCAATGCTGTAATATAGTAGTCATTAAAAAAAACTTTATTGACTTTCATAATTATCATCTTTATTTTTTTAAATTTTCTCAAACTGTATTCCTATACTTTGGGACTGTCTGTGGATTTTTTTTTCAGGTAGTAGACATGGCAAGGATATTTAGTGAATCCTAGTTGTGACTAAAATTGATTTACAATATTGACATTGCTTCATTTTGCATATTTAATATATCTAACTTAAATTGCAATGTAAGTCATTAAATGTATACAATTTTAATACTATAGGTGGCTTCAGCCAGATTCTTATGCTGATCCTCAGAAAACATCATTGATTCTCAATAAAGATGATATCCGTTGTGGTTGGCCTACTACAATTACTGTTCAAACAAAGGATCAGTATGGTGATGTGGTTCATGTTCCTAATATGAAGGTAATTATTTTTAATTAAAGTAAATTAATTAGTACTTTTTAATTGTCTACTGTAGGTCATCAAAATTTTAAGTTCAAATGACCTTCAAAATCATCAGTGGGGAGGGATTTGGAAAGACAGTTGGCATATTTAGAACCAGAAGAGCCCAGATCCCCCACAAACATCCTCAGTGAAGTCCTCAAAATGCACCAGAAGGAACAATGATAAATGAAACCAATACATAAGCTCCTCTAGCAAGTCTAGGACTGCTCAAAAAGTTTTCCAGAAACCTGCACAAAGCATGGTCAAGGAGCCTGGACTCATAACAGGAAACAGGACTAGACCAATGCCCAGGCAGCCCCTCTTTGAACCATAACAGAGGGCCGGGACAGATCAGCATCTTATCAGGCAGCCCATGCCAAACCCAGAGCCCAGGCAGCTTGCATCTGAACTACAGCCTGGGACAGAGCAGACCACTACTTAAATAACCCACACCTAAGCAACAGAGGGAAAAAGAGCCAGAAGAGCCCCTGGAATCTTGTAAGAGGCTTTCTACCAACAAAATCAACAGCAGTTGGTTGGAGCCACAATGCCAACTTTAGATACAGGATTATACAAGAAGAATACAAGAAAGGGTCCATCTTTATCCAGCTGGCACTCAGTAATTTCTGTAGAAGTTGGGCAGTGTTAGTCACAATATGTGGGACCAAACAGGGCCCACCAACACTATCCAAAAGTATGGAAGAAAACAGAGTCTGACCTAAAGACAAAGCCCCAAGCCATCAACTGAGGTCTGAGATATGTCAACAGAAGGAAATAATGAAGACAATTAAGAGATAATAGGGATAGAGGAAAACCCAAGAGAAAAACACAGAAAGAGAGAAACTGCTACAGATGCATATGGAACCTTAGAGGGAACAAATAGCCTGGCTATAAGGACTACAAGAGTACCTGGAAGAAATGAAGCAAGAGATGCAAAACATAATTTTATATAATATCTAGGAAAGAAAGAATCCAAGGAAATTTTGGGGGTTTTTTTGGCCTGATAATAGTGGTGGCCATTTATAAAGCACTTCTTTCATCTATTTCCTTGTTTATTCTTCTAAAAGCTCTGTAAAGTAGGCAATACATCTACTACTACCACCATTTTATTTTTTTAATTTCATTCTTTTTAATTCAACAAGAATTTATTTTCTGTTCTTCTCCACTCCTGGCATTGGAAAAGAAAAACAAATCCTTGTAATAAATACACATAGTCAAGCAAAACAAATTCCTACATTGTCCATGTCCAGAAATGCAATTCAGTATGCATCTTGAGTCTATCACCCCTCTATCTGCAGGTAGGTGTCATGCTTTATTATAGGATCTCTGCAATCATGGTAGGTCATTGCATTGGTCAGGCTTAAGTCTTTCAAGGTTATTATTTCTTTACAATGTTATTATTTATAAATTCTTTTCCTGGTTCTGATCACTTCACATTATATCAGTTTATATATGTCTTCCTAAGCTTCTCTGAAACCATCTTTTTCTTCATTTTTTATGGCACAGTAATATTCTCTTAGTCATATACCATAATTTCTTCAACCACTCTAATTCATGGGCATTCCCTTAGTTTTCAGTGCTCTGCCACTACCAAAATAATTATAATAAATATTTTTATATATGTGGGTCCCTATACTTTTTTCTTTGCTCTCCTTAGTATATAGGCATTGTAAGTAGTATCACTAGGTCAAAGGATAGATTGCAGTTTAGTGACTAAAAGGTACTTTAGGCATTTTCCCCAAATCCTTTCTAGAATGGCTAGTCCAATTCAGAGCTCCATATTATATAATCTCTCTTCCCATAGCCTCCTCTTTTTTTAATCATCTTTGCCAATTTGATGGGTGTGAAATGGAACTTAAGACTTTAATTTGTATTTGTCTATTTATTAGCGATTTGGAGCATTTTTCAAATGAATGTTGACAGCTTGGAGGTTCTGTTTTGAAAGTACTTGTTCATATCATTTGACCATGACTGTTATTCCTTGAAAGATGAATCAATTGCTATATATCTTGGAAATGAGATCTTTATTATAGAAACTCCCTACAAAGATCTTTTTTTCTGTGACCACTTTTCTTTCTAATTTTAATTGCATTGATTTTGTTTGAGCAAAAAAAACTTTTTAATTTTGTGTAATCAAAATTGTTCATTTTATTTTTTATGGTTATATCTCTTTTACTTGGTCAAGAATTTTTCCCCATCCACAGGTCCAAAAGGAAATTTCTTCCTTGTTATCTAATCTTTTTGTGACATGACCTTTTATATTTGTCATTTATCCATTTGAAGATTATTATGACATATGTTATAAGGTGCTGGCCTAAACCCAATGTTTGCCAGGTTGTTTTCTAGTTTTCCCAATAGTATTTGTTGAATCAAATGAGACCATATCCACTAACTGGAATGCTTAGATTTATCAAATGCTAGGCTTCTAAGTTTATTTGCATTTGTATGTTGTATATCTAATCTGTTCCACTGACCAATTTCTCTCTCCCTCCCTCCCTCTCTGTTTCTCTCTCTCAACAATTAATTAATTGATGATTACTGGCTTACCTAGTTTCAGATCTGATACTGCCTTCCTACTTTTCTTTTATTATTTCTCTTGTTTCATTTCTTTCCAGATTTCTAGTTGACCTTGTGTCCAGACTTTTATTTTTTTTGAGCATTCGCCTGTAAATATCTTAGCATTTTTCCTTTTTCCTGGGTCTTTATCTTAGGAATTTTTCTCTCTATAATATCTTTATCATCAGAATATCCAAGCTTATTTCCTGAATTAGGACTTTGCATTAGGTCCAGGCTTTTCTCACTTCTAGATGGAATGCTAGGGCCATATACATTCCTGGGTCTCTATTATCTGGGACTCTGGTCTTGTGTTCTCTGAGTATTGAGTGCTGTGTTCTTCAAAGATTTCAGGGGCAGCTTAAGCCAGGGAGCTGCAGACTTTCAGCAATCCCAAATAAATGATTTGAGATATGTACTGATACTGCTCATTTATTCTGAGCTTAGATCTGGGTAATACAACTATATAATCTTAACCTTGATTGATACTCTAGGAAACAGTTGCTGGCCCAAACCCCTGTCATATGGCTGGCAAGCCATTATAGCTTCAAAGTAACAAAGCTATGTAGGCTGCCTGCTGGTCCACAGTCCCTGCCTTTGTCATGATCCAGCCCTGGAGTTAGAGAAACTGCCTGTGTGTACCCCACATCTGTTCCAGTCAGCAGGCTGAATCTAATATTCAACTCTGGGATCAGAAAAATACAGGTACATTCCTACTCCTTGCATTAAATCTCAAATCCTGCTTTAGAATAGACAGCTGCAGACCAACCCCTGGTATGCCACTACAAGCTGATTCTGGGATCTTGCTCTAGGTCAGCGTTACAGAGACACAGCCCTGTCCCTATAGCCCTATTCTAAAGGCGGTCTACACATTGAATTGTCTAGGCTGAATTCATAATTTGGGGCTGGAAAAATGATACACTGTAGTATTTAGTCAGATTTCTTGGTTATTGCTTATTCTGATGCCCTTTCTTGATCTTTCTTGGAAGAGAACTCAGCCATATTTCTTTCTCCTACACCACCATGTTTTCTAATCCCACAGAGTATAGTAGGTTGTAAATCTTATCCAGGAATAAGATTCCATGGAAATTAGAATGGACGAAACCGAAAGCAATGACTCCATGAAACAGGAAATATTAACATGTAATATGATAGAAAAGTATAATATCATAACGTCATATAGTGCTTTAAGGTGTGCAAAGTACTATATATATGTTATCTCATTTGATCCTCAAAACAACTCTGTGAAGTAGGTGCTTTATTATCCCCATTTTACAGATAAGGAAACTATTTCTGAAAGAAGTTAAGTGATTTGCCAGGATCAGATAGCTACTAAGTGTCATTGGTGAAATTTGAACTCAGGTGTTCCTGACTCCCAAGTCCAGCATTCTTACAAGTTGTACCATCTAGCCTCAATGTGTATGGGGTTTGTGGAGAGGAACAGAAAAAATATATGAAAATATAAGATATCAAAAACAATTGACCTAGAAAACAGGTCAAGGAGATATCATGTAAGAATCATTGTTCTATCTGAAAATCATAGTGGAAAAAAAAATCCTGGATACTGTATTTCAAGGAATCATAAATGAAAATTTCCAAAATCTACTAAAATCCCAAGGAAAAGTGAACATAGAATGAATTCTCCTGTCAGCTGCTGAAGGAAACCCTAAATGGAAACTCCAACAACAGTGTTCCAGATCAAAGAAAAAAATTCCGTAGGCAACCAAACAGAAAGAATTCAATTCCAAGGATCTATAAGCCTTGGTAACTAGGCCAATATAAAGGAGAGAATTCCTGGATTATAGTATTTTAAAAGGCAGAGATAAAGGCTTATAACTAGATATAACTTATCTAGCAAAAGCTTTGATAAAAAATGATGCACTTCTAAGCATTCTCAATGAAAAGACAAGAGTTGTGAAAAGAAACTTTGAAATAAAAATGCAGAGAATAGAAAAATAAATACATTTGATTAAATGGGAGGTACTATATGATGATAGTTTATTTGCATTCTAATACAAGGAGGAGAAACAAATGTACTTTCAGAACCCTCATGTCTTCAAGGATCATAGAAGGAATTATATAAGATAAATTTTGGGCCTGAGGATAGTTTTATTGCATTTTTATGCTCTTAATACTGGGGAGGAAAGAAGAAAGAAGTTAGAATTTACTACATAGGAGCTGCATGAGATGAAGAGTATACAAACATGCAGGGAAGAGTGGGGAATCATTTCCCCATGAAGTTCACTTTAACCTGAACCAGACAAAAGAAAAAATGAAAACACACACACACACACAGAGTTTGGTATAGAAATGAATTACACTTAATAGGGAAATCGATGAAGACCATGTGAGAAGAGAGGGGATATTAAGAAGGAGGGCTGTGTTTCAGAGGGAGCAGTTACAGTGATAGATAGATAGATAGATGGATGGATGAATAAATAAACAAACTTTGGTTATGTAAGGTGGAACGTGATGGAGCAGTTAAAAGGAAAGGGAAAAGCATGAGTAAAAACCTGTGGTCTGGGATGGGACAAGAAGAAAAGGAGAGGTATAGTGAAACAAATGGATAGCTTCAATTATTTATCACTGGTATTGAGTATAGTCATCTCTCATCACCAGCTACTTTGTAAAGAGTTGAGGGAGAGGGATGAAGTGTTTTACTTTCAGACTTAGACAAATCTAACAAAAATATAAACATGAAAATGGCAGTAATTTTTAAAAAAGGAACAGAAAAGAGTTTACATATTTCTCAGCTTTGCATAATATCTTTACTAAAATCGATCTTGTATTGAGGCATGCAAGGGGTCACAAGCAAATGCAGAAAAGCAGAAATATTAAAACACATCTATCTAGAAAATCCACAAGAGTCAACTGTAATATTAATCAAAACAATGACTATAGCAAAGTTGCAGGACATAAAATCCACAAATTAACTATCCCAAAGGTAGACTGCAAAACCCAGCAGAATGCAATAGAAAAAAAATGTGCATTTAAAATAACTGTAGAATTATAAAATATTTTGGAGTCTGTCTGTTTTTGACATATAGCAACTCCCTGAATACAGCTACAGAACACTCCATATAGAGAAATATAGACCTAAGAAATTGGAAAAGATATACATTGCTCATGGATAGTCCATACTAATATAATGACCATATTACCAAATTAATTTATTTATTCAAATTATATTCAAAATTCAAATTCACATACTATTTAAACTACCAAAGAATTATTTTGGAGAGCCAGAAAAATAATAACAGAATTCATATGGAAAAACAAAATATCAAGAATCTCAAAGGAAATACTTTTCAAAAGAGAAAGAGAGAGGGGCTAGTAATATCATATCTCATACTAAGAACCAAAAATCATCAAAATCATAAGGTGCAGAGTGTAGTCTGTACAGGTACAGAGGTTAATTATTGTTGTTGAGGTGCACAACTTATAGAAGCAAATGAACATTATAATGTAATTTGAGTTTTAGGTTTTGTTTTTGTTTTGTTCTGGTTTTTTTGCTGCTGTTGTGCATTTTGTTTTATTTTTTTTTATAAACCCAAAGACCTCAGCTACTGCAATGAAGTCTCACTATTTGAAAAAAAAAACTTTTGGAAAAACTGAAAATCAAGTTTATACCAACATCTCATATCATATATCCCAATAAGTGTCAAATGGATATAGGGGTTAAATTTAAAAGGTCACATCGTAAACTAATTAGAGAAGCAAGGAAGGAAATCTCTTTCCCATTTAATAGAGAAAGAGCTCTAGACAACATGAACAGTTTTGATTACATAAAATTAAATTTTTTACTGTGCAAATAAGACCACTGCAATTAAGTTTAGAAAGGAAATAGTTGAGGGGAGAACAAAACTTGGCAGAGTTTTTCTGATAAAGGTCTTGTATCCAAAATATTTAAGGGCCTGATTTAATTTTATGAAAATCAGAGCCATTCCTCATCATATAAATGTTTGGTCAAAGGATATGAATAGGCAATTTTCAAAGAAATAAATCCAATATGTCAATGACTTTATGAAAAAAAACTTCAAAACAATAATTATTAGAGAAATGCAAATTAAAACAATATGAGGTTCCGTATCACGTCTCTCAGATTGGCAAATGTGACAAAAATGGTAAATGACAAGTAATAAGAGGGTCCCTGGGAAAGTAGGTATACTAATGAAATGGTACAGCCATTCTAGAAAGTAATTTGGAACTATGTCCTTAAAGTCACAAAGTATTATATACCTTTTGACCCAATAATACAATTACTGAGCTCCAAAGAGATCAAAGAAAGAAGAAAATGAATTAATGTATGACAAAGAATTGATCAACTGCTTCCTTTGTTCCAGGCACTGTGCTAAGCACTAGAGTTACAAATACAAATAAGTGAAGACAAGGTTACATTCTTTGGTGGGGAAGACTACATATAAAAAGGAGCTATTATAGGAAGGGGACCAGGGGAGCACGTGAAGTGATGTGTTTCCTGGCAAGCTAAGGCAAGAACTCATTTTTCAGTGAATTTAGAGCAAAATCAGGTAGTTCCAGTGGAAGGAGACTGAAGAATATGTCCACAGTTGAGGCAGCATCACATGAAAATAATCAAGAAGGACTCATATGTACACAAATGTTTATAGCAGCTTTTTGTCATAGTAAAGAAATGGAAACTGAGTATCTATTAATTGGGAGTGCAAATAAATTGTTATATTAATAGAATAGAATATCATTTTACCATAAAAATTGAGAAAAGGAATAGTTGCAGATAAACCTGAGAAAATGTATATGAGTTTATTCATAGATCCAGGAAAAAAAATTATACAATAACAACTAAATTAAAAAGAAAAAGAACTTCAAAAGACTTAAAAATCCTGATCAGTGCACTGACCAGTTGCAGTTCCAGAGGACTGATGACAAATCTGCCAAGAAGGTGATGGATTCAAGGCACAAAATGAAACATAAGTTTTTGGGCTTAGCAAATGTCAGAATTCTTTTTGAATAATTATATCTTACACAGGTTTTATTTTTAAATTGGATGTAGGGGTGGTGATAAGAAGAGGAATAACAATAAGGTCTCAAAGAGAGAGGAGAGGGAGGTAGGGAGAAGAGATGAGGACAAGAAAGATCAATAAGGCATTTTTTCCTAAGATGATATAGATTAATTATAAATTGCATTTTTATAGAATTAGACATCTTTACAAAAACATTAATTTTATCATGTCTGGAGTACTGTTAACATAAAACTGAAGATAATTTTAAAGCTAACAAATTAAAGGATCAGTATGAACAGATTTAAAAGAACTAACACTCATGACATCAGGAAATACTCAACTTATAAACAAAATAGTGCTAAACATGGGCTTCAAACAATCCAAAATGACATAACTAATAATCAAAGCTCTTAGTAGTTATAAGCCACTAATTTGCAGAAAACTAAAAGGCTACTTTCTAAAGAAGAAACCCTAAGACATCTTACTAAAAAAATATAAATCCATAGGACTTTTCACTAATGAATTTCATTGCTGGCAGTTATAAAAGAAAAATTTCAGTAAAATGAAGTAATATTATTTATAAGCTCAATTTGGGTCATTCGAGCCTTTAGATGTGTTTCATGTATTTGACAAGTAACACTATACTGTTTTTAGATATGAACTGCTAATGTCCATTCTTTGTTGAAAAGAGTCGACTGTCACTTTTCATAAGCAAAATGCCCTCTTTATAATGATGTATGAAACTCTGAATTTCATGTTAGTTATAGGAATTAATCGCAAGAATGCAAAAAGTTTCCATTGAAGTAGTCCATGGTACAGATATGAGTAAACACATTAAAAGTTTCATTACTATAAGAATCTCCTCTTTTGTACAAACTTTGTACAATGGAAGAATTTTTATTTACTATGCAAAACAAAACTTTACATAACAGTGCATCTTTAAGCATAAATAAAGTGTATATGATTTCTGGAAGTTCAGTGTACATAAATATCTTTTCTTTGCAAAATGAATTTTTTTCTGTTTCTCCACAAACTATTAGTTATTCATTTACCTTCCAGGAGTCATGTATCACTGAGAATTCCCTCTGACCCCTTGAAGAGTAGAATCATTTCATTCCTTATGGCAATAGCCAATTTGCTGATCTACCCTCCCATCCGACAAATGCACAGAAGAAAACAAAAAGAAGTCCAGAAGAACATGCAGACTAGCAGGACAGCTTTGAAAATTAAATATTGAATTGATCACATACATAAAATAAAAAGCAATTTCTCCATAGAGAAAGATTGCTGGTTACATGCACAATCCTTTTTTTCTGTTCTACACTTAGGAAATTGCTCATTTTGACATTTAAGTTCAGGGGAGAAAAACAACAAATCTTAAAGACATTATCAAGTTCAACTCCTTCATTGTATAGATCGCTCACAATTAGATAACACTGGAAGTATACAGAACACTTTCCTCACAACAGCTTTGTGGGATATTATCTGCATCATAAAGATGGGAAAACTGAAGTTCAGAGAAATTGGTGACTTCCTCAAGGTCTAAGGACCTCAACCATGTAAATGACCATGGTAGGCCTCAAACTCAAGTCTTCAAATTCCAAATCTGGTGCTCTTTCCACCATAACACATCCTTTTGTTCATATAATACTCAATGTTTTTCCTTAGTATTTATTATAAATTTTTTGACTTTATTTGATTTTGGCTTTATGTATCACATTAAATGATCAATTAATTTTTCTCAGTATATGGAAATCTCAGTATTTGACCACATTCATGGTCTATGCAGTAGAACTATGTTATAGGTGAAATAATAACTGATAGTTCTTGTGACTGAGTTCTCTTGGAAGGGGTCTAGGATGCACTAGTCATAATATAGATCATGTTATTGCAAGATTGCTGTATACTTTGGTACTTCATATATGATTACAGAATAACCATTTCACATTTTTATTTATGAAATTAATTGTACTTTATTGTGGTAGGTGGAAGTGAAGGCTGTTCCTGTTTCTCAGAAAAAAACATCTTTGCAACAAGAACAAGTGAAGAAGCTTCAAAGGATTCCAGGCAGTCCTTCAGCACCAGCTACTTCCATGAGCCCTGATATGACTTTTGGGGGGCTTGCATCACCAAAACTTGATGCTTCCTATGAACCAATGATTGTAAAGGAAGCTCGTTATATTGCCATTACTATGATGAAGGTAATCGATTTTAATTTGACAAACTCTCACCCCCTTTTTCTCTTCTCGTTTCTATGATGTTGAATCTGTGACTACCTAAGGACAGTCTCTCTTCCCTGGCCCTGTTGCTGTTCCTCACACACAAAGCCATCCTCCATCTCCATGAAATGTACCGTCTCCTCAACTCCATCTCTTGGAATCACTGGTTTCCTTCAAAACCCAACTCATGTACTACTTTCAACGTGAAGCCTTTTACCCTTTCCCCTGCCCCTGGCTAGTGCTCCACCTCCCAAAACTACTTAGTACTCATGTTGTAAATAGTCTGTAAATACTTAAGAGATTTATATACACATGCAGTGGTCTTCCCTGTTAAAAGGAAAACTCCTTTTAGGCAGGGATTCACTTTTACCTTTTTATTCCCAGAACTTCACACTTAGTTAGCACTTAAAAAATTCTTGGCAATTGGCTGATATAATTTTAATCTTCCACAAGATTAAATGTCCTCTACAGAAGTCCTATTCTGATTCATGTCATGGTGGGGAGATGATCCTAGGTTTTTAAATGCTGTGCCATGAGTGTACAAATTCCGACAGCCCCTATTCACCTGGAAATGCCTCACATATGGACAGATTGTTGTCTGAAGATTAGCCTAGTCAAATTTGGAGAGATTCAACATTACTAGAAAGTTAGAATCCAGCTAGTGAATTTTTCAACTATAGTAACTCATTCCTTTTAAGGAATGGAGATATTGTTGTCTGTGTTACAGATATTTGGATGTATTTGAACAAAATACTAAAATAACAAGGAAGGAAAAAAAACAAGATTATGCTACTGTTATTAGGAGTACAGGATGAAGATAAAGTGGTGTTTTTTTTATGATGGTGGTGTTGCATTTATATAGATTTTCAGGGAAAAAAATTCTTTAAGGAATATACAGTTCTTATTGGTTATTTGTGACATTTGCCCAATGACTTGGCCCCAAGTTTTCAAGTTCTTCTCTTTGTTCCATATGAAGTGGGACTGTGAAGTAATTTGACAGGTTTGCTTGTTTGTTTTATTAGACAAAAGTATCAGAACCTTTTGTTTGTTACAAATTAACATGACTGAAAAAATTCATCATCCTCATAACCTGTTTTCCCGGAAGTCTGTAGCTACTCCTTATTCCAATGATGTTTCCATCACTCATAGTATTTTTGGAATTTGGAGTTATCCCAGAACCTATGACATTGTTTTGAATGTCTTCATTGGGTGATTTGATTTTTGTCTTAAATAAAGATCATTCAGGCAAGTCTGATGAATCAGGTGAGTGTTCAAGCTGTTACTTGAGTGACTTATAAGAGAATTGACTGTAAGATAATTAGAACTTCAAAGGAAGAGAAATATTTCATGACAGAAGAGGTAGGAGAATGTTTCCCATGGGAATTGTACTGCTCCTTGAAGGATGATAATTATTAAGGGAAATTTGTAATGATTTTAAGAGGGTTTTTTTTAATCTGTTTTCATAGGTTTATGAAAACTATTCTTTTGAAGAGTTGCGTTTTGCTTCACCAACACCTAAAAGGTAAGGCTAGCATTATCAAAAATATTTTCCCCACCCCACCAATTAGTTTAATTTCTGTTAACAAATTCCACTTTGAAAATACAAATATAAGACACTGTGTGGGATGCTCTGGAGGACAACGGGAGGAGATATAATCCCAGCCTCTAGGAGCTTACAGTTGAACCTGTGTGGCATCAACTATGTTAGAAGGGAAGGTAGCTAATTTTGAGACATAGGAAGAAGGGGAGAAGAGCCATGAGTGAGTGCTAACGTGGTGTTTGAGACAATCAAAATGCAATATTTTGCTCCTAGAGAAGTGACCTAGTAAGAAAAAGAGAATAGTAGCATATCCTAGATAAAATTCATACTTAACATTACCATTTCATTACCATAGTTACCACTGATAACTAAGGAAAAAGATGGATGATGTGGGGTTTGAATTGTCCTAAGGGATAGTCCAATTGTCATTTCCAATGGAGGGTTATAACATAAAGATGGAAGAAGCATCTTTTTTAGTCCCTAATCTAGACTAAAGGGACTGCAGTTAGATTAGGGGAATATTGTCTATAAGTGTAGAAGCAATCAGCAGAAGTACAGATTCAGGATATACATTCGTGAAACTTCCATAGTAAAGCTAAAACCCTCCTGTGTGGTAAGATACTTTCCTATGTGCATATCATTCCACATATAGACATTATGTCTCATCAAAAAATAATAATAATCATAACAAAGTTCTGCTTTGATCTTGTGAAAAACAACTTTATATCTGCATTTTGTTTTCAGTGACCATAAGTGTATTCTAAGTTGTCTAAATTTGTTCCCTCCCTGTTGCAGATATATGTTTTAGTGACTTTAAGTTGAATTCAGCAAGTATTTATTAAGCATATATTATGAACAAACACTGTGCTAGGCTCTGCAGATATAAAGATGAAAAAGGCACCTCTTCCTAAGAAACTTAGTTTCTACTAGGGATAAAACATGTTCAAATTAAATAAGCACAACAATATTTGAGGGGTAACTAGGTGGTACAATGGATAGAGCTCCAGCCTTGGAGTCAGGAGGACCTGAGTTCAAATCTGGCCTCAGACACTGACACTTAATAGCTGTGTGACCCTGAGCAAGTCACTTAACCCCAATTGCCTTATCAGAAAAGCAAAAAAGCAAAAAAGACAGAGAGAGTATTTGAGCACAAGAGAAGACTTTGAGGATGAAATGCAAAAGATCAGGAAGGGCATTGCATAAGAAGTGTGGCACCTGATCTGAGCCTTAAAAGAAAGTGGAGATTCTAAGAGGTCAGAATGAGGAGGGAGTGCATTCCAGGTTTTGGTTACAATATATGAATGAGAAAATGGTGAGAAAGATAATGCTGATTTTGGGGAAAAGGTAGTTAAGTATGGCTGGAACATATGGGAAGGGGCATATTATGAAATATCTCTAGTAAAGTAAATTTGAGCCATAATATGGAGGCTGTTAAATGTCTTGTGGAAGAAGTTTGTATTTAATTTCTATTGTTAATAGAGATCTGCTCAAGATTTCTGAGCACAGCTGTGTCATGGGCGGTTAAACATGCTCTAGAAAGATTATTGGTATTCATGTAGAAGGTACAGTTGAGAGGAGAAAGAAAGCATGAAAACCAATTGAGAGTCTATTGTAATATTCTAGGTGAGAAATAATGAGAACCTGTGGGAAGTTTTGTGAGTTGAGAGAAGGGTATGGAGGTATAATCAATGAGATTTGGCAACTGATTGAATACTAGAAGTGATAAAAGAGAAAAACTAAGGATGATTCTGGAGTGAACCTGAGTGATTGGAACAATGATCATCTTCAACAGAAATAGGGAAGTTTAGAAGAGGAGTAGGCTTAGAGAAAGACAGATTAAGTTCCGTTTTGGACATGTTGAGTTTAAAATGCTGAGAAAGGTTATAGAGAGAAAAGAGATGAAGACTCATGATAGAACTTTGAGGTATATCTGTGGTCAAGGAGCAGGTTACAGATGATGATCCAGTAAAGAAGACTTTGTATCAGACAGGTAGAAAAAAGAACTAGAATAGAGCAATATCAGAGTAGGTGAGGGAAAACAAAAGAGAAATACATACATAGGTGGTAAGGAAGGTCATCTCTGTCAAAACCAGCAGAGAAGTCAAGATGGTTAGGGACTGTGAAAAGACCAGAAGATTTTTAGAATTAAGAGAAACCATAGTAACCTTGAAGAGAATCGAGTCATTGACTGGTGGATTTGGAATTCACAATACAATGGTTTGAAAAATGATTGGAAATTGAGGAGGTGTATTATAGTGGTTCAAAAAGTTTTTTTATGTCTTAAAATCTTCCCAAATCATAATGGATTGAAGGACTAATTTTTAAATACATAAAGGATAAATAGGATATTACAACTTCAGGTGGTTACATAACTAGTAGTATGAGTTAGGGACAATTTACCATTTGTAGCTAATATACCCTCAATATGCAGTTGAATTGTAAGAAGCTGAGAAGAGATTATTTTAGTTGATGTTAAGAAGAAGAATTGGAAATAAAGGCTGCACTGGAAGCAGAAAAATTACATTGAAGGCTAGCTGAATTTATAAACATGAGCCAAAAGGAGCATTCTAAATATTTGCCAAACTATGTATGTGATATATTAACTGTTAATTAGTTTGATATTAATTAAGTTAGGTATTACATTGTTTCTTTTGTTTCTTTTCAGACCAAGTGAAAATATGTTGATCAGAGTCAACAATGATGGCACTTACTGTGCAAACTGGACTCCAGGAGCCATTGGACTCTATACTATCCATGTTACTATTGACAGTATTGAAATAGGTATTCCCCCCCCTTCTTTTTTCTAAGTAGGGAGGCTATTTTGGGTGTGACATGTAACTTCAAGTCAGGGTAAGGGTGTATAATGATTTTATTGATATACAGATTTTGAAAAGATATTGCTTCAGGCATTATGCTGTATATTTACTGCATAAGCAGAAATAGCCAATAGTGAAATGAAGAAAACTCGGAGTAGTTTGTTTTTTCAATGTAAATTTATTTTAAATATTTTTATTTACTTCATTCAGTATTTACCAATTGCATTTTTAAAAAATTTTAATTCTTTTTTTTCTAAGATTTTGAGTTCTAAATTCTCTCCCTCCCCCACCACCTGAGAAGGAAAGCTATATAATACCACTTATACATGTGAAGTCCTGCAAAACATATTTCCATATTAGCCTTGTAGAAAAAGAACACACACACACACACACACACAAAAAAGATAAAGTGAAAAAAAGTATACTTCAATCCTCACTCAGTGTTCATCACTTTTTTCTCTGGAGATGGATAGCATTTTTTATCATGAGTCCTTCGGATTTATCTTGGTTCATTGTCTTGATCAGAATAGCTAAGTTTTTCATAATTGATCATCTTTACAATATTGCTTTTAATGTATATAATATTCTCCTAGTTCAGCTCACTTCACTTTAAATGAATTTATATGAGTCTTCCCAAGTTTGTCTGAAATGATTCTGCTCATTTTTTATAGCACAATAGTATTCTGTCACAATGATAGACCACAAGTTGTTCAGTTGATGAGTATCCCTTCAATTTCCAGTTTTTTGTCCCAGAAAAATATCTTCTACAATTTTTTTTTCATATAAATAGGTCCTTTTTGCTTTCCCTTGGTCTCCTTGGAGTGTAGACCTAGTATTGATATTGCTGGGTCAAAGAGTATGGACAGTTTTATACTCTTTGAGTATATTCCGAATTGTTCTCAGAATAATTGGACCAGTTCACAATTTTACCAGCAGTGTATTAGTGTCTCAATTTCTTCACATCTCCTCTAGCATTTGTCTTTTACTTTATCATGTTAGCCAATCTGATAGCTAGGAAGTGGTACCTCAGAGTTGTTTTCATTTGCATTTCTCTATGAGTAGTGATTTAGAGTGTTTTTTACATGACTATTGATAGCTTTGATTTCTGCTCTTGAAAGCTGCCTATTTATATCCTTTGACTATTTATCAATTGGGGAATGTCTCTCAATGTGAATTTAAAAGGCAATTTGATGTACCATATAGAGAAGTAATTACAACTTATAGTAATATCAAATGCATCTAAAATAACTTTAAAATGATTACTTCTCTGGGTTTAGTGTATTCAAATATCAAAGGCAGCTACGTGTCATAAAGGTAGTTACTTAGTATAATAAATAGATAGAGTGCTAGACTCAGTGTTAGGAAGACCTGAGTTCAAGTCCTGTCTTAAGACACTTAGTTGTGTGTCCCCGGGTGACTCACTTACCTTTACTTCAGTTTCCTCATCTATGATATAGGGATAGTACCTCAGTGTAATTGCGAGGATATCAATTTTCCAAACCTTAAAGTGCTATATAAATGTTAACAGTTATCAGCTAAAAGGTAATCTTTATTTGCTTTTAGAATGCCAGTAGAGATGGATACATACTTGCATTTATATGTAAACACACTCATCTACATGCATACATTTTATGTGTGTGTGTGTGTACATTCATCTCCATACACTCAAGTTGACTATCTTTCTTTGGGCTGGGACCTGTCTTGGCTACAAAAGAAATAAATACCAGCACATTTTTTATAATTCATACAAAAAAAATTTAATTAACTATTGGTAATGATGTGTTATACTCCAGCCTGATCTTGACAGATTAAAGACGATCTCAGGAAGTTACTTAGCATCCAAAAGTGTTTGTGAAGTTTCCAGTATAATGTTAGATCCCTAATAACAGGCACTGTTTTATTTTGTCTGTGTGTTTTCAGGTGTTAGCAGGGTGCCCAACACACTGTACATGCTTAATAAATACTTGTTAACAAATTCTATTTTAATCAAATACAGTTAATCAGCAGCTCTTCCTTTTTTGTGTCCTTATTGCCATAGATTCATAGAGCAAATGACACAAACTGGGAGACTCTGCTGACAAGTTAGAATGATAAGTCGTATCAAATAAGATGAAATTTAGTAGGGATAACTATAAAGCTATAGTTATGATTTCTGAAAATCATTTTCATGATTACAGTGTAGAGGAGGGATGACTAGACAGCAGCTCTGTGGAGGAAAAAGTCTGAAGGTTTGAAGCTCATTATTACTTAAGGCACCTTGTTATCCTAGATTTCATTAAATAAAGCATAGTTCCAGAACCAGAAAGGTAATAATTCTTTTATTCAATAACCTTTGACTTTAGTATATGTTACATTCAGTTCTGGGTGCCTTATTTTACTTATTAAAATATAGCATTTATAACTGGGTATTACCAGTGTTTAAAGGTTTTTGTTTTCTTTCTTTCTTACAAAATGGAAGACTCATTAGACAGGTTTGAGCATAAAAGTATATATCTGGAAATGACTATGATGTAAAAACAAAAAGAATCAATAAAACTTTTAAATAAATAAATTATACACACACACAGAGTGCTCCTCTACCTTCCTCTGCTATTTCATTTGAATAAAATTTATATACCTTTCCTGGGCCATTTTCTGTAGTTCTTATCCCATCACATCTTAGGGATAACTTATGAAGTCAATTCTGCCTCCTTACCTTAGGGTCTCCAGTCGTCCTTGCTTATAATTTTGTGCATTTACATATAGACTTCTGAAGCCATGGATTTAATCTCAATTTTTTGTGTTCTTTGAGCTCCTGAGTATCTACTGCTATCATTTTTACGTTGTAACTACTTTATGTGGCATATAGTTTATATTCCCTTTTGATTTAAAAACCCTTTTGATTTGACTTTCCTGGTTCCTAGCAAATATATTCTTCCCAACTGCTGTTAGGAGTACTCCATTATTAACTGGGAGCTTGTCATGCCTTGGTTCAGAAATTCAAATCCTCTATTCAGATTCCATAGCCTTAAACAGCTGTTCACTTCTCACATATGTGTTTGTCTTCTGAAGCTCTTACCTTTAATTGGCTGCTATGATGAAAATACCACCTGTACTCCTATAGTCTTTAGTTTCATGCCCAAGTCTCCATACTCTTTAGCAATGCCTTAGAGATAATTCATACAATTTCATTTTTGCCCAGAAATGGATAGCAGTCATCCTGTTTGGCAAGACTTGGGAGATTCTCCATTATGTCTTGGATATGTTTTAGGAAGACAACAGATTTCTTTATTGTTACAAGGTAGCAAAGCCTCTGTACCCTTCAGCAAGGAATCACCAACTATCATAACTCATATCTTCTTCCTCTTATTCTTATTCGTCTCACCTGACAGTACCTGTGGATTCACATCCTCATTCTTGGAGGATAAGCAGCTTCTTTTTTCAAGCCTCATCATCTAGATCCCTTTTTTAGGAAAAAGCTTTCTATCTTTTGCTTAGTGCCAAGTGTTCAGTGCCCCTTCTTCCTTTTTGCCACTGTATCACATTTTCTACCCTCTTATTTTCAAGCATAATTCAGTATTTCCCTCAATAGATGGAAGCTGCAAAGAGCAAGATTGATGTAAGGAGAAATTTTCTAACAATTGGAGATTTCCAAATATGGAAGGAGCTGCATCAGGAGGTTATAGGTTTCTCATCATTGCATAATCTTCAAACACAGGCTGGATAATCTTTTGTTGGAAATATTTAAGAAGAGATTCTTGTTTAGTTCATTATTTGGTTTAAGTGACCTTTGATCTTTCTGTCTCTTATATTCTATCATTCTGTGTAATTTAAAGTTCCACCCTTAGGTTAAGGGGGAAAAATTACTTTAACACATACAGTATACAAAAAGGGCAATAATGAAAATTATTATGGAGCTATATGAATTTCATGTTCAGTCTGTATGAGTAAGTAATGTGACAAAGTGGTTAAAAGAAATAATGATGTACTAGGTCAAGTTGAAAGGAATAACTGCCATTCACCATGAGGTCCTTCTCTATATTTCATAACCCCTTAAAATCATCTCCAATTCTCTCTTCCTTTTCTTCAGTGTCCAATGAAGTGGTAGCCATTTTCTCTTTGCTTAGACTATCCCCTCTACTTAATATCTGTGGTCTTCCCCTCTCCTATAGTCTTTAAAAAATTGCCCCCACAATCATCTTCATTTTCTCTAGTATTCAAACTTTCCCATTCTAAGGCTCATTCTGTTTCCTATAATATTTCCTCTCATGCTTAAAAAAAAATGCTCATCCCCTCAAGTTATCAGCTTATACCCTTCCCCAGCCCCAGGCCATCACAGAACTCACCCAGGTACTTGGGCGGCAGGAATAGCCACCACCACTGGGAATGAGCTTCCCTTTGGCGTCCCCTGGGAGTCAATAATTCCATTCTTTGGTGTGAGATGGAAGGCCACCAGGTCTTTCTGTGCATGCCACTCCCTCTTCAGATCCTCCAGCATTTACCATTTTCCCTGCCTCTGTGCTTTGCTGTCTCTTGACCCTATGATTCTGTCTAACGTAAGGACCTTCAGTCCTATCATCTGCCTTGCAGCTCACGTTTCTTTTATGTGTTGACTCCCCCAATTATAATGTGAGCTCCTTGAGTTCAAAAGTTGTCTTGATTTTTCTGTTTGTATCCCCAGTGCTTATCACAGGTTTGGCCATAGTAGAGCATTTCATAAGTGCTCTTTCATTCATTCATCTCTCCTCTCTTTCACAGTCCAGCTCTTAGAAACAGCTTATCTATATATCCCCTCCACTTCCTCTCATCTTATCACTCACTTTTCAGATTCATGCAGTGTGTACTTCAGCCTCATCACTAAACTGAAATGCCTTCCTCCACTGTTACCAGTCATCTTTCTTGATACCTCTATTGGCCTTTTCTCAATCTCTTTGCAGTATTTGACATTGTTGACCACCATCTCTCTCCTAGATACTGTTGCTGCTCTGAAACCCACCTAGTCAGTCTTCGTTTGTTGGATCATCATCCATATGTCTCCCTCTACTTGTGGATATACGCCATGGTTCTGTCTTGAGCCATCTTCTGATTTCCTTTTGTACTCTCCCTCTTGGTGACCTCATCAACTCCCCCGGATTCAATTAGCATTTCTATAGATGACTCCCAAATACAGAAATCCAGTTCTAGTCTGTCATGTGAACTCTAGTCCCACATCAACTGCCTAGTGCACATTTTGAATTGGATGTTCTGTAGGCATCTCAAACTAAATAAGGACAAAATTCATTATTCTTAGTGCAGCTAAGTGGCGCAGAGGATAGAGCACTGGCCCTGGATTCAGGAGGACCTGAGTTCAAATCTGGCCTCAGACACATAACACTCACTAGCTATGTGACACTGGGCAAGTCACTTAACCCCAATTGCCTCACAAAAAAAAATCATTTTTCTTCCTGTGAAACCCATCCTTCTTTCATTGCTTCTTATTCTGTCTTGTGCATTCTATCTTTGCAACATCTCTTGAATATGTCACCTTCTCTCACTGTATATGACCACCTTTGTTCAGATCTTTATCACTTTTCACCTGGGCCATTGAAATGTCTTCTTAATTAGTCTCCCTGCTTTAAGTCTCTCCCCTCTCCAATCCGTACTCCACACCACTACCAAAGTAACATGACTAAAGCACAGATATAATTTAGTTACAACTTTGCTCAGTAAACTCAAGGGATCTCCCCATTATCTTTGGTATAAAATACAAACTCACTCTTAGTCATTGTAAGGCCTTCGCATCCTAGGTCAGCCTACCTTTCTAGGCTTACCACAGGTCATTCCCATTCATGTACTCCACAATCTGGCCAAACTACCAAGCTTGCTTTTCTTTATATACTTCTCAGAGAGAGACGTCCTAGCCCTTACCTCAGTGCTTACACAGGCTATACCCTATGCCTAGAATGCATTCCCTCTTCACCTTCACCTCTTAAAACCACTTAATAGAAGTCAGTTTAAATGTCATCTCCTATATGAGGCTTTTCCTGATCTTCCTCCTCTTAGTTGCTAGTATCTCCCCACCAAAATTACCTCGTATCTTCTTTATATCTACTTTGTATCTGTATGTGTACGTATTCTTTTCCCTGATAGAATTTAAACTAGAGTACGGAGTCTGTTTCATTTTTCTTTGTATCCACAGCAAGTGACACTGCCTCACACATAGTAGGCACTTACTAAATTTGTCTTGATTGACTGATTGATAGTGCCCAGACAAGGGAGGTGATAGTTAACTTGTATACTCTCCTGATCAGGTCTTATCTTGGGTACTACATTCTGGGTGCCACATTTGATAAAGGATATGAACAAACTCCAGCATATCCCGACCCCACTGAATGCTTTCAAACAGAGGCTACGTTTCCACTTGTCAGTGATATTGTCAAAGGAACTCTTAGGTATAGGCTAGACAATTTTGCCTCCAGTGTCCCTTCCAACTTTTTTATTCTGTGAGTCAGTGAAATAAGTTTTTAATTCAACATTTTATTATTGTCATTTTATTTTATGTCATAGTAATAGAGATTTTTCAATGAATACATTTTCTATTTCTTTATCATTCTCTTGCCCAATCAGATGCAGAAACACAGTATAAATATCAACTGTCGTGTATAGATCTGTAATATTTGTTCATTGTACATTGTTATCTATAAAATATTCAAAATGCATTTTAACATGTTTTTCTTTAATGTTACAATTTTTATTGTTATTGTTTCTTTTTGTTAAAGATGCAGGCTTGGAAGTGAAAGTGAAAGATCCACCAAAAGGAATGATCCCACCTGGAACTCAGTTGATCAAACCGAAGGCTGAACCTCAGCCAAATAAGGTTAGAATAGAGTTAAATAAGAATCAGAATGACTTCATAGCATATTGCAAAGAAAATGCTTCTTTTAAAATAATAGCTACAGGACATAAATTACAAATACCTAGTCTTTAGTAACTCTGTCCTAATTTACAGATATTGTGACAATTTGTTATTATTTAATGTAATTCAGCAAGCATTTCTTAAACCTCTGTTCTTTCCAGAGTACTTTGCTAGCTATTGGGAGAAAGGTTTAGATGCTAAGTAATCTGTGTCCACATAGAGCTTACAATTTAAAAGGGAGATAAAATAGGTGAATACCAGATAACTGTAATATGATATTATGCATAAGTGCCTTAGGCAGGTAGTCAACTCATGAGCCAAGTTTTATAGAATAGGTTACAACCTATTCAGGTTTGTTGGTTGTAAGAAGAGGGAAGTAATACCTTTTGGGTCTAGGGAGCATCATGATAAAGGCAAGAAATACACTGGGTGTATCAATGACAGACTAATCCAGTTTGCCTGGAAAGTAAAGAGAATGGTTATGACTGTAAAAAGAAAGTAGTGCCAGAATTTGGAGGCCTCACTGGCAAGCCAAGGAGTTTGTACTTGTACGAGAAAGCAGTTAGGAACCATGGAGATCTCTGAGCAAAGGAAGAATACTAGCAAATTTTCTCAAGTGCTAAGCCTTCCAGCATAGTCTAAAGTAGTTCCTACTCTGTTTCTCTATTTCTTATTTGAAAATTAAGTAATACCCAATAGAATATCTACCATCACTTTGTATCATCATAAAACTGATAAATTTCAAGAAGCATGTTTTCAAGGAAAAGTATGAGTTTCCTTATATCTCCATGTTAGATATAGATAAACTGTTATCCATTGCTTATATTTAAGGAGCTGTATCAGTTATGGTCTAGCCTCTACTAACATAAAGAAGTAAGTTGTAAATTTTTTCTTGCTTTATTAGGTGTATTAAAAGCTGCAAATAAAATGATAGATTATAACAAACTTTGTTGAATCATTTTCCAATCTTATTGGTGTAGTAGAGTAGATTCTAATATTTTCAAAAAAGTACTTTTTTATGATTCCAAAACAAACCAAAAACCAGATGTGGATTACAATGAGAAACCAGCAACAAATGTTTTTGAGATATTTTCTCAACAATGGAGCATTTTCAATGTCCATAGGGTTTGTTTCTTCTTACTTGCAACAGCTCTGTTATAAGTTCTTCCTCCCTTACTATTTTTGCTTCTCTTAGGTTCGAAAATTTGTGGCCAAGGACAGTGCAGGGCTCCGTATCCGTAGCCACCCTTCCCTTCAGAGTGAACAGATAGGCATAGTGAAAGTCAATGGAACCATCACTTTTATTGATGAGGTAATTTATAAGGAAATTTTTGAATGTGAATTTGAATTTCAACTTTAATTGCTCATAATTTCTATAAAAAATAAGTTCTCTGATTTTTCTATTTAAGTAATAGAATTAAATCTATTTTAAATAAAAATTTAGGGACTTTGGGAGGGTAGTATTTGTGTCTTTGAAATGTTGCATTTCTTCCAAGTCATGCTTTATTTTATTCCAAGGTTATTTTATTAATTCCATACGGTATTTTTTAGCAAAACAATGAGACACTTGTTACAAACATCTTTGGGAAAAGACCTAATTCCTAATTCTAAAATGACCTATCTTCTTGATGCTTTTACTAGCTGGTAGAAATTATTTTCATAACTCCATTGTATCAATTATCATCATGCTTGGGCATTCTTTGCTGCTTCTTCCCCAACCCCACCATGGCCATGGATTCTTACAGTCTTTTCTTTTTCCATTAGCTAGTTGCTTAATTTCCATGTCTATCATTGTCTTCCTGCTTTCCAGTCTTTTTTAAGTCCTTGCTACTCTCATTGCAGTTACAGGAGGGCATGGCTCGTTTTTGTTGCTTGTTTCCCATAGATCCACAATGATGATGGTGTGTGGCTGAGACTGAATGATGAGACAATAAAGAAGTATGTACCTAACATGAATGGTTACACTGAAGCCTGGTGCCTCTCTTTTAACCAGCATCTTGGCAAGAGCCTTCTGGTCCCTGTTGACGTAAGTAAAAGGTGCCTTTGAAAAATGTTAGAGGTACACTCTGTCCCCATTACAGAGCTTTCTTTAATTAAGGCTACAATTTTACAGTTCTGAGGTAAATCACAACTTAATTTGATAACTAATAACTTTATAGATGCTTGAAATCTTGAGAGCTTCTCCCTAAGGATGATGGAATGTAGAAAGATTAAGGTCCTTTAAACTTCATATCACTTATCTGTAGGGAAAAAAGAAAAGGAAAAATCAGAACCATTAAATTCTGAAGTAGGAGGTGGAAAAACTGATTAAATATTTGTTTTTTCTTTTTCATTTGTACCATTATTTGAACTGAACTTCAAACTAAAATTTATAAAAGTAAATTATTTATACTTCCTAGAGAAGTTTTCTCACTAAATTGCATTTTTATTTTTTATGTTGGTGGTTTGTAATTCATTTTTGTGTTTTGTATAAATTTGTATCATTGTCCTACAATGAATTATGTTGTTGCTATAGAAAGTAAGGACACAAGACTGGCTTTAGTTTTAGGCGGTGATTTTGTTTTACCTAAATCCTAGATCCTTGGAATAATTTAAATAGCCTTTGGTAAAAATCATCTTCTCTGGATACCAGGATACTTGGATACCACACTTGTGGCCTTTGTATAAATTCAGTGAAAACTATTTCAGTTCAGTGAAAAACTGAGGAACATTAATATGATTACTACTTATGTATGAAAACCAGCACAAACTTTTCTTGATTTATACATTAAAAATAGTTTAAGAAAGTGAATCTGTGCTAAACAAAGCCATTTCAAGTGGGCATTTAGGTAAGATTCAGATTAATCCTTTTTTCTACTTACCATTTGTGCAATGTTCATAGTAACATATAGAAATAAAATATATTATTATATTTTTTTTAAGTTTGCCTACTGAGTTATAGGGTTTCTAATGTGTTTTGTATGGACTATGCTAAAAAAATTATATTGAAAGTTAGTGGTGAGATCTAATACTAGAATTAGAATTAGAATTAATGTGGAAAACAATTAAGAAATAAGAAAATTTACACTAATAAATCATCTCTTTTTATCACTCTCTGACATATGCCTAAGCTTTAAAATTGAAAAAGAAAGGAAAAATATTTAGGAACTGTGGAAATAGAGGGCAGAGTGGTTGGGGGTAATACCAGGTGATAGTGGTGAAAATTTGATTTCAAAATTTGAAACCTGCTTCACTGTGGCAGATGCACAGGATATTAAAATTTGTATGTGTAATTATTTTTTTAAAAAACCTACTGTAGGCATTTTTTAAAGACGTTAGCCAGTTTTGACCTTTTTTTTCATCATCCTTAGAACTTTGGATAAGATGATTATTGCTGCTTTGTTGGAAAAATTCTAATGACAACTAGAATCTAAATGACAGGGTTTTGAGTATTGATAGTAAAATGAATATTGGTTTTAATAGCAAATAAACATTGTTTACTAGCTTCCTTTAAATTGAGGACAAAATTTATAAAATCTCTTTGGAAAAAAAAACACGTTTGTTAATGTAGACAGTAATTTGAAAATTACAAAAGCAGGAGAGTGTATTTAGTAGGGGAGTGGTCTAGGAGGCAGGATGGCCTGGGTTCAAGGCCTGCCACTGACAATAGGCATTTCACTTAACCCCAGTGCTGTGCCATATCTAGATTATCTTTTATACAGGAAGGGCCCCGGCATAACAAGAAGCTTTCATGGTAGGCTATTCCCTTCTGACACTGAAGAAGTGTAAAACTTTCTGAAGGACAATTTTTCACTTTTGAAATCAGAAGTTTTGAATTTAGTGAGAAGAAAATAAGTAATATAATTAGCTTGGTTAATCTACCATAAAAGGCATCATGTACTGCATTCCAGATACCCCATAAATAATTTTTGGATTAACTGTTTTGTAAATACATACATACACACACACACACACACACACACACACACACACACACACACACACATATACATATTTGTGCTTAGTATTTCTTCTTCCATTTCTGTGGATAATTGAGAATTTACAGTATTTGGGTTCTTTGCCCTGATGCTGTCATTAAAGTCCTTTTTGAATATAATAGAATCCCTTCCTAAAGGGCACCATAGTAATCACACCTTGCTAATCAAGTTGCAATAAATTGTATTAAAATAAAAATTCTGATCATGTGTTTTCCTAAATTCTCAACAATGAATCTATTTAATGATAGTAATGTAGGGGAAAGGGTGGTAGTTTAGGATCCCGCAAACAAACTTAAGTTCTAATCCTTTACTTGTAGGATTGACTAATCACTAAATTTATCTGGGGACTTTTTTTCCTCATCTTTTAAATAGCAATAGCCAGCATTTGTATATCGCTTTGAGGTTTGCAAAGTATTTTATTCACGTTATTTTATTTGCTCCTCATAACAGATTTTGAGTTATGTACTCTTATTGTCTCCATTTTGCAGAAGGGGTAACTGTTATGCCACCTAGTTGTTTGGATTAAATAGTCAGTAAAGTACCATCCAGTCCTGAAATTTCATGATGAAGTGTTTTGGTTCAGTGTTTGTCCTTTCTGTTTTAACTGTGTGTATAGCAGGTTTCCATTGTATATAAAAGGGAAGAAAAAAGAGTGGGCAGATTAACAGCTCTGAGTGTGGTCAGAATGGAGGAAAGGGTGAAAAAAACGATCCTGTGCAGGAAGTGCCTAGAATAATGGACAAGGACCCAGCCAGATGCAGAGTGGAGGAGTTTGAAACAGGAATTAAGTCAGTAGTTGAGTATCGTGGAGAGAGTGCACCTGATCTATTTGACAGAAGCCAAGTGTCCTGGGTTTGATATTTCAGTTAATTCTACCTGTTATGAAATTCCTTTATTACATATATTTCTGTGTACTTTTTAGGCCCCATTCTCCCACTTCACTAATTTCACAGTGCTTGCCACATATTAAGTGCTTAACAAATACTTTTTGACTGATTTAATCTGTACTGTTTTTAATAGATTGTTAGTAGATATATTAGCAGTTTACATTTAAGAAAAAAAATTAAAGAAAAATTGCAATTCAGTAAAATAGGTTTTTTTCCTAATTTAAACTGCATATACACATACACATATAATTAACAGTGTTATATTTTTAGAATGAAATAAACTTGCCTTGTCATCCTTAATATATTGTTAACTCCTTTCGTTGTTGAGAGGGCTGTGTGTTACATACCCTTTCATAGCACCCAGCACAGTGCTTTACACATAGCTAGAACTAAATATATGTGTCGAATTAATAAGTTAATTACTCCTTTAATTTCAGAATTGACTCTATTCAATTTGTACAATGAGAGATTCGGTTAATATTTTTAAAATACAAAACCAAACTGGTAAATTCTATTACACACTTAATTATCACTATCTACAAATATTTGAGCATCCACACTCAAAAACCTCTTTCTTCCCAGAATTGAGAGGACAAGAATGGTATACACAGGCATGCATGTGTGTGCACGTGGAAAAGTTATATATTAGTGACTAAAAATTAATATTTGCAGACTTGTTGTTTGCTTGATTGCCATGAGATATTAAATTCAGCACATATCTACTATGTGCAAAGCACTGTGCTAAGTAGTGGTTTCATATGGATTAGCCAAGGGAGACATTGTTTGAAAAGATTGATTTTTCACCTAAATATAGGTTTATGGAAGGTGATGTGTGGGTGGTTAGCTGTTTCAGGCATTATAGGCAGCTTGAAGGAGAGAGTAAATTATATTCAGAATACGTATCAGAGCATTGTGTATTTGCCTAACTAGGATTCAGTGGCTGGGTTATAGGTTTATTAGGAAATCAGTATAATAATGATAGGGGATTATAAAGAAATAGAATGTCTTAAGAAGTATACAAGGAAGCAGTAGAATACCTTGAAACCTGTTTTCAGAAGTTTGACTTCTTTCTCAAAAATGAAGTCATTAAACAGTGTGTATACATGCTTGTGTTTTGGAAAAGATTAAGATATACAGTAGAAGATAATATTTCACCACTGTAAATTACAGTTTTCAAATCACTTTCACATTCACACTTGTATCTCACCACAAAATGAATAATCTCTCAGTTGTCTAAAGTCACATAGCTAGGAAATGCAAGGTCAAAACAGATTGGGCTTTCCATTTCTGATTTGTTTTCTTTCCACTGAACCATACTCAGTGTAAGAAAGAAGAAAAATTATCAGTAGAATTGTACTATTGTACATTCTAGTAATTTCCACATTGTCATAATTCCTACAGCAACAAATTGGATTTTTTGTTATCTCTGTGTATTTGGAGTAAATGGCTTCTTAGCACTTTGGGCCTGCCTAAAAGGTAAATTCTATGACTTACTCTATGTTTTGGTACTCTAAGAAATTTAGGAGTTAAGTCAGACAGCTAGCATTTATGTGCCAGGCACTGTGCTTACAATGAGGAAAGGTTTGTGTTCTCCTTGTACTTTGCGTTATAAGAGGCCCTCTCCCAAAAGAGAATAAATCAGGTCTGGTAATTAGAGTAACAAAGTAGTTGGCACAAAATCAGTTATGGTTTAGGACAGAACTGGTTTATTCAGAGATCTAGTAATACCTGGCAAGTGCTACCTTTAAAAAAAAAATGATTGCATTAAAAGCACGAACAAATAACAAGGGAAAATATAAACATTGCTTTTAAAATATCCCATATATACTTTATCACTCAAAATATCACTTAAAAGGCATTTTTCTACCTTCTTCAATACTCCAAGCTATTTGTAATTTTACTACCACACACCCTGGTGAACCTAGCTAGGGAGGTCCTCAAATAACAGACATATAGTCTGCTTTTCTAGCCTGGTATAACTTGCAAGTGATTATGCTTCCATGGAGCAGTTTAAGTTTTGAAAACTTTGGATCACTTCCAAAGCACACAAGGGTGGATAGAATTTTGAGGAAGGAACTTATTTAACATATGATTTGGATTTGTAAGGTCCTTATGAGATCATTTGTCCTAACTCCCTCTTACAGGTAAAGAAACTGAGGCCCAGAGAGGCTAAATTGATTTTTCCCAAGGTCACACAGGTAGTAAGTAGAAAAGTCAGCATTCAAATCCATGTGTTCTAATAACAAATCCAGCCCTCTTTTCACTGTACCACATTTCTATATACCCTTTAAGGACTGAGATTAAGATGTAGTTTAAAATATTTAAGTATTCTGTGGATTGTGGATATATACTGTCTTTGATTATCTTTATAGTACTGTGGTTATGTAACTCTTTGGGAAAATTCTTAATAAATGTAAAATTTGGCACATTATTGTGTCTTTATTTCTGTAGTCAAACACTGGAATAAAATTTCTCTGGCCTTCCTTTTTTCATTGGTTTGTTTGACTTAGCTTTGCCTTAAACGAGGAATAGTTTAGTCTGTAGATTAATAAATTGTTATATAATGATAATGTCATTGGATGTTATTTCTAATGTACTTTTAGTTCATTTTATTTTTTTGTCAGGGATTTTTGTCCTATTACAACAGGTTTTCAAGGAGAACTACATCATTGTATGGAGTATGTGCAGTGCTGTTGCCAATCAGTTTAATCAGTTGCATAGCATTAAAAAAACAATTTGCTGATATGTTGTACTAAGAATTCAGGGTTTTTTTTATAGGTTAAAACTTTGCATTAATATTTCATATCCCTAAAACCAAGGCTTTCTTTTATTAAACATTCAAGAATATTGTAATTTTTTATTTTCAAACTCTAGGTCCTTAACACTTGGCTTCTTTCATTGCTTTATAAAATGTCTTTCAGTTTAGAAACTGCTTTTTTCCAAAAATTTTCATTTGGCAAATGCATATAGAATAGATATACCTATCAATTTTGTTACAAAGGTTAAAATAATTTTCATATTAGCAAAATTCATTTTTTGCTTAATTTTCTTTTAAGTTAACAGTTTTGACACACAGTTTGTAAGCACAAACGTATAATGTTGTTATCTTAAACTGTTATTTGTACATTTTGTACAACATCAAAAGAATGAGTTTGTAAAAATAAGGTAAAAGAGAGGTACAAGCTTTATATGTTAGTGTAACACTATCATCACATTGCTTTTTTCCTGCTAACTCCATCTGCATTGCTTTTTACAAATAGGTTTTTAACAATAACGATAAAAAGTATTGCTTGCACGAGAACTGCAGGAAGTCGTTTTATGCATGAAATGTCTGCATAAGTGTTATATGTTGGGAGTAAAAGCATAGGCCAAGAAACAAATATGCATTGTACCAGTTATTAATATGTTATGGTTATTATCACACATAGTAAGGACAAAAATGAAGTTAACCAGTATAGACTTGAGTTTAAGTATTATTTCACATCTTTCCATTGCACAATTTTTCCTCTTTTCTCAAGCTAAAATGGCATCCATTTACCACTTATTTAATTATGTATTGGTGCCATTTTATACACCTTGTGTCTGTAAAAAGTGCATTCCAGTTTTTTTTTACTTTCTAGCTTATTTGCATTTTATGTTTCTCATTACATGTTAGTTGTAAATGGTTCTGAATGACTTAAATGGTTTTAACTGACTTGGAATTTGAGTTATCGTTACTGGTTGAAACTTTGGGTGAAAATGGTTTAAGGATGGATTTTTTTTTCATATTTTGTATGTTACATCTTTTTTTTTGCTAAAAAAAACTTCATTTCATTTCCTACTTAAACTGTGAAGTTATATACACTTGCTTTTTATGGGAAAAAATTATGTGTGTTTCTGGGCAAATTGATACAGAGTTCAAGTATGGTCCAGATATAAAAAATATTTTAAAAGTTAATCTAGATTAATTTTATGAAACTGTTGCTTTTTTTAAAAAAAGCCTGAAGTTTCTGAAAGTAGATAATTTTTAGGCAGCTTCAACACTTGATCTATTTTCTACCCTTTAAGGTAGGCTCATCCTCCAAGAAAAAAAGAAATTGCCTATTTTTCTTTGAGTTTTATTGATTAATTTGGTGATGACTTTCAGTAAAAAATCACTTGTAATTATTTTTCTATTTTGGGAAAAGGGATGTGACTCAGTTTTTACTTTATTTGCCTTTGACTTTCTCACTTTTTTCCCATCTCCAATTAAGTAATGTCCACAAATCCCATTTGCTACATTCTGTTGTTATCCTTAATAATGGTTATATTATTATTTATACTATCTACAAATTACTCAAATTGGTTTTATTTTGTTTTTACAAAAAAACAGACTTTTCCATTATAAAACAAATCTGGCTTGCACTAGAAAAGATGCTTCTTCTTTAAAAAATTTGAATATGTTCTTCATGCACTAAATGGCTTAAGCTATATAATAATGTCTGGCTCTTAATTTCTGTAAATGGCATGGCACACTACATCTATAGAGAGCTTTTGACATAATATTTTATTTAACAAATACTCTTTATTGATTGTTGGACTCAGGTGTCTTCATTCAAAGAAAAAGCACTTCCCCTTTAGTAAAATACCCTTTGTGTGTGAGTGCTAGCATGGAGAAAATGTTGTACTATGTCTAGCATCTTCTGGAGATGATATCCTGTTCCCTTTCTTTGTTGATATGTCTTTCTTAAACTTTATTGCTCAGAATATCTTTAATGCTAGCCAAGGAGTCAGGGATTTGGACGTTTTTTCATGGACTTCTAAAGCTTTTTTTCCCCAGGTGAGTTAACTGTCAGGTGCACTCATGCTTTATCTCCAGCTTTAAGCATGTATAACTTATGTTACAATCTAGTTTTTGGAGGTCATATTTAATATTTTAATGGAAAATGTATTTTTAATATAAAAACCACAATTAAGAAAAATAGTTTGCATTTTCTTTAAACTTTTATACTCTACCTTTGCAAAAGAATGTAATAATTTTAATTGAAATTTTATTTTATATTTTATGAAGTTGTATAACTTCAGTAGTTTTAGCCAAGTTTTAAATATTCAGGAATTGATTACATGATTGGTAGTTTTCAGATATATATGTCTCCTTCACCTCCTTGTATTGATTGTCATTTTGATAATTTTCATTGCTCATTTGCACTTCCACTTGAATACCAGGTCAGAAAAAAAGAAGAGAAACTCAGATTTAGGTTTTGCCCTGTTAAGCAGAACACTTTCTTTGGCCTTCTTGAGAATACAAGTACATTATAAAATACAAAACACTTTTCTCCAATCATGAATAGTAGAAAACATATACAAAAATTGATTTCTTCACTTAATAAATATTAAAAATAATATTTTGATGAATGTCTAGAAATGTGTTTTTTTGGTATATGTATTACAATTTCCATTTTAAATACTTTCTACTATAGACTTTCCCTTCACCCACTAACCTAAATTGTACATGGGCTAGACCATTATAACTGATTCAGAAATAGTTTTTATTTAACATCAGAAAATAATTTTGGGGGGTTTTGTTTTTTTATCACATCCATCTGAAATATACATGTATTTACTTTTTCTTTCATGTGCCTTTACAGATTTGCAAAATTCTTGACATATGTTATCTCATTTTATCCTTTTAATAATCCTTTGAGGTAGGCACTATTATGAACTCTGTTTTACAGATGAGGAAATGGAGACTTAAGTAGTGAAGAATCTTTCTCTGGGTCAAATAGCTAATAAGCTTCTCAGGCAGGATTCAGGATAAAATAAAAGGAAACAAAACCAGTTTGAATCTTTGGTATATTTTTGAATTTACTACAATGGATTTTTGTATAAATGCCTATTTGAAAATACTTACCAGTAAATATTATTTGTCTGGTAGTGCTACTTAGATGTCTAAATGTGTAGGTATGTTGTATATCTTAGATTGAAAATCCAAACTTTGCAAATGTCCAAAATGTATATGGACTTACTCTTAACGTATAGACAGATATAGTTTTAAAATTTTTGTATTTTGTATCTTACATTAATATTGTGTTATAGTGGATAGAGATCTAACCTTTGGAGTTAAAAAGACTTAGGGTTCAAATCCTTCCTCTGATACATACTGGCTGTGTGATTCTGGACAAGCTACTTAACCTTTTAGTGTACCCATGAAACTCTAAGAGTCTAAATGGCAAAGAAGGTGTCAGTCTATATCAGTAAAGGAATTTCCTTACTAGAAATTACAGGACCTCCCCACACTGATGAAATCACAAATCTGGTCCCAAAAAATGCACACACAAGCAATGTGAACTAAGGCAAATGTTGTAAATATTTACTTCCATGTAACTTATATCTTTTAATTTAGCCTATGTAGCACTTTGGGGGAATATAAAAAAGAAAATTCTGTATAAATATGGTATAATGAGTACAATAAATACAAATTTACAAATTAAATATTATATGGTATATTTTTCCTGTTTTAATACACTTGGCATTTAGAACCTTAATTAGCTTTACAAAATGCTTTTTCAGGATATAATGTATTTCAGACCTCATCTGAGTGACTCAAATACGTAAACTCAACAAAAATTCCCAAATCCACAGATTGCATTAAATGAGGAGAGCTTTCACTATATAATAATCAGCATGTAGCCACTTTATTTTTTTAATCACACATAAAGCATAAGTTGACTTTTCCTCTCAATGTATTTTTTTTTTGCTGACAAAACCATAATTTACTGTGCAGCAAAAGATTGTAAGATTACACTAGTTTACAGAGGCCCTGTCATATTGGTCTCTGTGTTACTCTATAACACTTTTCAAATAATGCACTAGGAGTGAAAAATGTTAAGCTAAAGCAATTTGGGTATCAGAAGTGTATAAATGTTAAACCTACATGTTGGTGTGGCAGAAATGGTCAAATATGGACTAAAAAGCTATAGCAGTTCTCTTACTTATAGAAAATGGGCATGGAATCATAATGCTAATGCTAATGATAGCTGGCATTCTGAAGTGTACAAAGCACTCCACATGTTATCTCAGTTGATGTTTACAACTACCCTTGTGAAGGGTAAAATGGGTTCTGTTTCTTATCCCCATTGGCTAATGAAAAGATTGAAGCAGGAAAAGGTAAAGTGACTTGCCTAGAGATACATACCAGTAAATGTTAGAAGCAGAATTTGTACTCAGGTCTTTTGACTCCAGGACTAGCTCTCCATCTGTTCTGCCACCCATCAGTCTTATAGCAAACTAACTGAAAAACATTATTCAGAAGTCAGAAGAAAACTTTAAGCCTGGGCCTCAGATTCCTTGGTTCCTCTTGGTAACAATAGCATAAACAGTTACTTTCTTATGTACAATGTGTTATTTGTTTTCTTTCGAAAGAAAAAAATCCTTGTACCTGTTTTACTTGTGATAAAAGTACAAGACATTTTAATGTAACATTCATATTCATTTAAAGACTGTGGCCATGACCCTTCAAGCACAAGTATCATATCATTTTTTCCTTTGGTGGACAAAGTATGAGCTGCTAAATTATATAAGCCTTCAAGGAACAATTCCAGCAGTACATACATATATATATGAATGCATATGTTATTATATATCCATATATAACATATCAATATATAATATATGTTGTATAATATAACACACACACACACACACACACACACACACACACACACCCAAAATTTAGGCCTTCTTTTCCTTATATCTCTCAGTGGAAAGATGTCTTTGGATGCTTCCTGGTTTTTCTTGATACGTAATTTTCGATTGGGTGGAACACTGGCCCTGGAGCCAGGAGGACCTGAGTTCAAATCCAGCCTCATACTTGCCACGTACTACCTGAGTGACTGGGCAAGTCACTTAACCCCAGTTGCCTTGAAAAAAAGAAAAAATACATTGCCACAAGTCAGTGATTTAAGACTTACAAAGAGTACTTACAGGTACAGCATTGCTACTTCTACTGCAAATAATAGCATGTTTCATAGTGAAAATACAACTAGTATCTTCTCTTGTGATTTGTTTGCAAGAACTTACCTTGTTAAAGTTCTTAAACCTTTCATGTTAAGTGTTTTTTTTTCTCCTTAAAACATAATATTGTACCAGTTTCCAGAAGCTGTATTTTTCTTTACTTTTCTCACTTGTACATCCTTAAAAGAAATGCTTCTTGATCTTTCTCTTCCTCTGGGAAAGTGTTGAATGTTACTTTTTAAGAAACAAAACTCTATAGCTGTGTCATTTTCTTTTTGCAATTTCATTTTGTTAGGGTAATTATTTTAATGTCACTGGAAAAACAAACTGCCCCATCAGTGTCACTGAAGTTTAAATTCCAAGCCCTTCACAATTCCCTTCTCTTAATAGCTCTATCTGTGCCTGTTGCTGGGCCCTTCCCTTTGTCTTCAACTCCATTTTTAAAGCCTCTCTAAGAGAGGAGAAAAGTAATTTAATTGTGATATCCATCAAAAGTTACTATGACATCTAAGTGAATGTTTTCATTTTGATATGAATTTTCTTCTTTTCTAGGCTTGCTAAAGTTCTCATTTGAAATTATATAAAAGTGGTCATGGATTGTTTTGTTCTTGTTTTCAAATGTTTAGGAAACTAAGTCTAATACGGAGGACTTTTTCAAAGACCTGAATTCCCGCTGCCCACAAGAAGCTGTAATGCAAGAACCAGATATACCATTCCTCCGAGGTGGGCCCGGAGTGTATAAGGTAGTGAAGACGGGACCATCAGGTCACAACATCAGAAGCTGCCCCAACCTTAGAGGTATCCCAATTGGAATGTTAGTACTGGGAAACAAAGTCAAGGCAGTGGGAGAGGTATGATTTCTTGTAGCTTCATGTTAGATATCCATTATAATATAATTCAGCAAAAGCTTCATCTCCTTCAAAAGGTTGGCATTTTCATCCCAGGTTTTTAAATGTCAGTGTTTATATTTTGATCTTGACTTGTATTGGAAATGCTAATATAATTTTCTTTATGTTTTCTTTTTGTAATCTTTATTTTCTCCTCATAATTGCCCTAGTGAGATCAATGCTTATACTAATAAAGCGGCTATTTTATGTAAAAATCATCACTATTCACCTGGTTTTTTTTCAGTATTACAAATGTACTGCAGTAAATTAACAGCTTCAAATAATTATTTCATTGTGAATCAATGTTAAACTTAACTTGATGAAGTAATACTTTTCAAGTTTCCTGTGCTATGACCAGTGCAGAAGGGGGCCTGTTTCTTTGTACCCATTCATCTGTCTGTTTGAAGTCCCTGAGTGAATACAATAACTAGTGTTCCTAAGCTGGCATTTGCCTCTTCAAATGGGCTTGAAGATGTAGTGTGTCATGCTATTTCTTAAAAAGTGTCAGGAATGTTTACTAAAGATAAAAGTCCTGCAAACATACACACTAAACAATAGACGTTGTGTTGTGACACTTCATATGCCAAAGGAAGCACACGTTATGTGCTAAAGTCTTAAATTCAGAATTATCTTCACAGTTCAAGATAGATTTGGGTTTTTGGTACTTTTTATCTAAAGTCATAAATCAATATACTGTTTTAAGAAATGTTTAATAGAGATGATTTTGTGTTACCTCAGGCTGTGGCCTTAATTTCAGAAACTTGTTGTTATGTGACGAATTAATTGGAGTTATTACACTGCTATAGCATTTTACTGGCTATCAGCACTCAATTTTCTCAAAGGATAAAGACAGTCAACCATGCTTTTTGTGTATGTACACCAGGTAACCAATTCTGAAGGTACGTGGGTTCAGCTGGATAAGAACAGCATGGTAGAGTTCTGTGAGAGTGATGAAGGAGAGGCATGGTCCTTAGCTAGAGACAGAGGCGGAAATCAGTACCTCCGACATGAAGATGGCAAGTTATTTTAAATTTGATTCAAAATAATTGTAGAATATAAGTTTTTTGTGTATGGTATTATATGTTTTAAGTTTTTTTTCGAGTATAACCAAAATGAAGAGATTATAATGGTTGGCTTTTAAGTAATTGGAGAATGAAACAGAAAATATTAAACCAAAAGAATGAAAGAAAAATGTGAAAAGATTTTAAGTTATCAATTTCTAACTTAATGTTTATTTTGTAAATATTAATTTTATCTGATTTATTCTTTTGTACCAATCCAGGGCTGTAGGTTTTACCCTTTCTACTACTAGATGAAAGTTCAATTTTCAAACCACCAATCGCAGTACTTCTCCCAGGCAACTTCATTTTATTTAATTTTCTCTTAAAGAATAAATTTTGAATAAACATGATCTATTTTAGAATTACAAGAATATTTTAAATGTTTCTTGAAATCAATGATCTGATTATATTTAATGACTGCCTTTTCACAATAATAAAGCAAGAAAAATGAATGAAGACAACATATAAGAAATGCAACAAAAGGTATCATTTAGATCAAATTAGATCAATTTGCTCATGCTATATATTTTTTAAAGTGTGTGTCTGTTTCTTGAATTGCTATTGCAAAATGCCAACTGTTCACTTATATCCTGTCTTAGAAAAGAGAATATTTCACAAAATTTTACCTGTAGTGAATTTTAACGTGCATTATTTTAGTGAAAAATTATAATTTCATCCATATCACTAGTGGAACTAAGAAAGAGTCATTTGAATTTAGTAAAAACTTCACTAATTTGAGATAATGGTAAAGGAAAATTCTCTGATTTTAAAAACAGGTCAGTTTTTGTTTTCAAAGGTAATAATTATTATACCCTGTTGTAAATTTTTACTAAATACTACAATTGTAGAGATAAGTTAACAAAAATATCCCAGATTAGTATGCCTATAAAAATATATAAAAGTCAATTTAAACAATGTGCCTGATGGATAAGAGTACTGGACTTAAAATTAGAAAGACCTGGATTCAAAGCTTCTGCTGCTTAATAGCCATGTAACTCTGAGCAAGTCATTTGACCTCAGTGTTCCTCCAGTAATGACCTAGAAGTTATCAAAGAAGTCAAGGACAGATGATAATCTTTGTCATTGGAGAGGGTTCTCATAATGGAAGGTCTCCACAATGACAAAAATCACATTTTTTTATATGCTTGTATTTAATGTTCCATAATATAATAAGTGAGTATAGGAGAATATTATTTCTAGAAGGCGAAATCATGCCTCAGTAATTTATTGACATTCCTTGAGGATTTAAATGAGGCATGTAATATTAACTAATGCTTAGTGCTTTAAGGTTTGCAAAGATTTTTCTTCATGACAACTTTGGGACATAAATAGTTAAAATATTATTATCCCCATTTTATGGATGAAGAAATTAAGGTTTACCCAAGGATACCTAGCTAATAGGTGTCTGCAGGCTTTGAACCCAGATCTCCTCTCTCCAAGTCCAGTGCTCTGTCATGCTACCTCTCTAACATGAGGTAAAAGTAAATATGTTCTGCTTGGTCTTCTAAAAGTTTTTGAAAAGGTTTCATGCTAAAGGTCATGGACATAAATAGATACCATGCAGAGTAAACTGTGATAAGTGGAAAGCAAAGGTCAAAGTATTTTACTAAACTTTGAGAGGAAGGAAATAGCTTTCAACTGGGGAGATATGCAAAAGTATACCAGAATCAAAACAGAATCAAGACTACTATGTATTGTCATTCTGGTTGCTGTATCTAACCACAGGTATATTTGGAGATTTAGAGAAGACAAATAAAATGGCCAGAGATATAGGGAAGCAGCCTTATTAAAGACAAAGAGATTTCCAAATTGGAAAAATAAAAGCTTATAAAAGGCATGATCAAAATCAATCAAATCAATCAAATCTGATCTGCTTCACAAAACTCCCAAATACTGAGATAAAGCTACATTCTTTTACATTGAGTAGAATGAATACAGAGTAAATAAAAGGAAATAATGCTTTTCCCATTGAATAATAAATTTGTGGAACTCTTCACTCCAAGAGGTGGTATAGACAGAAACATAAATGCTTTAAAAACAGATTTGAACAAACTTATGAATGACAGGCCCATAAAGGCTATCAAGCTGCTGAGCAATACCTAATCTTTAAGCCTGACTTTAGGAAAGGTAACCTTTTGCTAACATAGCATGTCCTGAAGAGCCTTCAAGTGAGAACTTTTTTTTAATGTTGTTTTTTGTTTTAACACGACAGCCATTTCCTGATAGAATCCACCACCACTACCACTAGATATGCAAGAAGAGTCCCTGTGGTAAAAAAAAAAAAGCTTTTAAGCAAAGAAGAGGTTTTTTTTTAATATAAGAAAATTTGATGGCAGCTGTATTTTTTCACATCCCACAATTGAGCAAAAATGAATTCAGTAATACTTTGATGTTAACAGCCATATACTTTTGAAAACTAGTAATATATATATATGTAAATATTATATATATATATATAATATTATATATATATGTAAATATTATATATATATATAATATATATAATGCATATTATATATGTGTATATATGCATACACACACACGTATTTAACACATGGTTTATTCAGTCAACATCTCTGCATTTGGCTAGTTGGATCCCCTGTAGTGACTCCACAATCACCCAAGGGGTCTACCATCACCACTTCCAGGTTGGGAACCTACTGTCTTAAGATTTCTGTGTTCCTATCATAACAGTAAAAGTTCATACATTTAAAGCTATAAGAGCTCTCAAAGGCCATTAAGTCCAACTCCCCCACTTTGCAAATGAGGAAGTTCAAGCTGGGAGAAGTTGAATGCCCCAGGGTCAAACAGGTAATTATTAGCAAAACTAGAATCGTATTCAAGTCCTCTGACTCGAGTGAGGACTCCTTCTGCTGTGATACCTCACCTTTTTGAAATTTGCAATAATAAGTGGGCCTAGAAAATGGGTCAGAAGCTTAAGGTTTGAACTATTACTTGTTCACAGATAGTTTTGGCCAGGAGGTTTGCTGTAATTATCCATTTGGTCATTTTTATATTTCAGAAACTAAAGCTATTTTAAATTTGTAAATCACTAGGTTCTCTATTTTGCTCCATTTTGCAAAGCATTTTTGAGGCAAAAAACACCCGAGTCCTTTACCCTGCATATTTCTGCTTGCCACTTCACCAAAAAAAGGTTTACCACCACTGATGTAGAAGAAGGCATTGCTATTAATGAGAAACCACAGATATGGTTCATTAATTCATGTCAAAAATGAGAGTGTAGACATTGTTGTAGACATTAATGGTTTCAAGTAGTTTCCTAATAAGCCCTAGACCTCATAGACCTTGTGAACTTACAAAACACTGCTAAAGAACTTTCCCTTAAAACATTATTTTCTTTGATCAGAGATGTTTTATTCAGAAAACAGTATTCTTAGAATGGATAACTGAAGGTAGCTTATTTTTTTAAAAAGATTTCATTCAATGTAATATGCCCAAATGATGACCCTTTTTAAGTGGTTAAAGGAGTCAAGGATACAAATCACAGATACAGAGATCTTTAATTAAAGATCTCTAAAAACTTCAGATCTCCCAGGTAGTACTATGTTTACTGTATAAAAGATATAATAGTAAAACTAGTAATGAATACAAGTGAAACATACTTTTAGATGTTAAGAATGAAACCCTCCAACTTATTCTCAATAAAAATATTCAAATATAGGTGAAAACAGCTAAAATAAACTTGACTTATATAAGCAGAACTTTATAATTAGTTGAATATGGTCCTGAAGACAAAAGAATGCTTTTTAGGTTCATGATATTATCAGATAAAAATTTTATCAATTGCTGAATGCCCTCCATAATGGCAAGTTGAAAACCATTAAATTTTTCTTAGCAAAATTATCACTATGTGATGTTTAGATGTTTCTACCAAAATATTTTTTTGTGTTTTAATTTTAGTTTTGAGATGGCATGGACTGAACATAAAAGTTTATTCAAAACTAGACTTTTAAAGAATGTAACTTTTAATTTTTTTTCTTGCACTAATAAATGGCCACCTCATAAATTGAAATGGGGCTCTTTAATTGAAAGCAGAAAATTGTAACAAAAATAATATAAAGTAAGAAGTTAAAACTCAGTTTGTGCTTTTTAACCTTTGAACTCTATATTCTTAAGTATAAAACTGGGCATTCTGTAAAAGTTAATAAATACAAATATAAGGATCTCACACACATATACAGGGGTGGGTGGGTGGGTGTGTGGGTGTGTGGGTGGGTGTGTGTGTGTGTGCGCGTGCTGTACTCTAAAAAGTGGTCCTGTCTAAAAGTCTTTCCAGGGAGGTGTTGTAAAATACTATGTCTATTGGCATTGTTGGTTAGGTAGAAAATATACTGCTCTTATAGCAGAATGGAATTTGGTACATCTCTAGAGGAAGGACAAGGGAATGAGCATTTATTAACTAATTACTATGTGCTAAGCACTTTATAAATATTATCACTTTCAATCCTCACAAAAATCCTAAGAAGTAGGTTCTATTATTATTCGTATTTTACAGTTGAGGAAATTGAAGCAGGCAAGTGATGCAACTTGCTCAGGGTCCCATTATAACTGAGGCCAGTTTTGAACTCAGGTCTTCCTGACTCTATGCCCAGTGCTCTATCCACTGCACTACCTGGCTGCCATCATTATTTCATACATATGTGGATGTATGTTTGTGTGTGTGTGTGTGTGTGTGTGTGTGTGTGTGTGTGTACACAAAAATTAAAGTTTTACTACATTTTTATATATGTGTACATCTATATGAAATACTAATGTGCCAGATACTATTTCTGCTGCATCAATAATAATATGATAGATACACATACACATGTTACACATATATATTATGTGTGTGTACACACCCTTGTAACTTAGGGTAGAAAATACCCTCAAATGATGCAAACCCACTATTCTTCTGTAACTTAAAGCCTTGGAGAGATAAGTATGGCCACTGAGAGTTTAAGTGGTTCACTCATCCACCATATGTCAGAGGTGAATCTTAAACCTGGGTCTTGCTAACTCCAAAGGATGCCCTCTGTCTGCTCCACCACCATGTTAATTCTTTCATGTAAAACAGTTAGAGATTAACATTTACGTAAATAGAAAAATCTCTTTTCATTGGATGCTGGATCTCTACAGATAAAGTTGATAGGCAAATTTTAGCTATCTATAAACATAAATACTTCAATACCAATCCAAGAGCCAAGTCCTTTATCTACACTGCTTGCTACTAGACCATTCTGAGGTTGGAGGGTGAGGGCGATGCTTTCTTTTCCGTTCAGGATACTATCATGGGTGTTTTCCAGAGGAAACTTTCTACTGCTGAAATATCTCAGACTGAAGAATATTGCCTAAGGGAAGTACTAGGATTGGTTTTTTGAAAAAAGTCTACAAATGCTGGTAAAAGGGGTAGACCGTGCAGTACCACTGGTACAGCAGAATTCCAATTTACAGGTAGGAAAAAAATATTATGCCACTCTCCAAGTTCCATTTCCTATTTAAAAGGGCATTGCTTTTTTTAAAATAGATTTTAAACATTTCAATTGTTTATAATATGCTAGATGGAAGAAACATATCTCTTTTCCTCTAAAAATTGTTCCTTTTTATTTGTCAACTTATAAAAAAAATATGGTTTAGCTGGAATCAGTATTACTATTTTTGATTTACCTGAGTCTATTGCTTTTCATGTCATCATGCAAACAATATTTGATAGACATGTGAAGAAATGATATTGGATTAGTTTTGTTACTGGATTTATTTTGTTTAGTGCATTAAAACATAAAGGCCATATGATATTCTTGTTATCTATTTAATTTCTATTAGGTGATTAAACATAGCATAGCTATATTTCATAAAATAAAAAATTATAATTGAGTATATCACCTCCATACATAATGCCACAGTAAATGCTATAAAGCTAGCATACTATTAGATTTTATTTTGCACTTCAGAAACAAGAATAATGGAATCCTTTTTACAAGCAGTAAAAGGCTGCCTAGTGAAAAAGTAGGAGTTATCAAATGTAAATACTAGTGTTATTTCAAATCTGAACTTCATAAAATTTAGTGTTTTTTTCCTTCTTGTTAATACAAATAACAGGTAGCAAATGAAAGTCTAATTCTGTAGCTATGCCTTGTCTTCTAGAACAAGTTCTTCTGGATCAGAATTCTCAAACTCCTCCTCCAAGCCCCTTCTCAGTACAAGCTTTCAGTAAAGGGGCAGGTAACAATGCCCAAGGATTTGATTATGGACTTGGGAATAACAAAGGTAAGTATTAAGAGATATTAAAGCAGATTTTTAATTTATTTTCATGCCTAGCTTCACTACTTTTATATTGTACCTCACCTCTCAAAATACCCAATCCCTGAAGACCGTAAATTGCTTACTTCAACTTAAAACTAACATTTGGATGGTAATCCAAATGGCCACATTTTAATGTGCCCTTTTTATGTTGGTAGGCAAATTAATTGAAAGAATTTGGTTCTTGCATTTTTGCTGTTTGCATGTTTTTTTCTGTACATAGAAGCTTGAAGTTTAATAGGACCTGGAGAAGGAATCATAATTTTGTTTATCTGTTTACTTAAGAAATGTAGGATAATAGTTTTCTAGAGTTAGAAGCATAAAGACATTCCTAAAATTATCAGTTAAAAATTAAACTTGCAAACTATTCACTAATGGGGAAATTGTTATAAATTAACTTCATTTGTTGGTTCTGTTGAATAACAGAGGAAGTTCTTATGTGTTAGCAGTTCATTTAGTTCATTTAGGTTGAAATAAAACACTTGAAAACCTTAAATGCAGTATCAGCTATTAATGTTATTGTTACTACATAGTGTGATTACATTATAGTTATAGGGACATAGATTTAGAGATGGAAAAAACCTTCAAGGTGATCTTAATATCCAGCCTTCTCATTTTATACTTGAGGAAACTGAGGCCCAGAGAGGTCAAATGAGTTGCCCAAAGTTATGCAAGGGAGTAAGTGGCAGAGCTAAGACATGAACCAAGGCCCTTCGATTCCAGATCCCAGTTCTCTTGACATTGTATCAAGATTTTTCTGGTGCTGTTTAGAAGGAAATTAGATTTTTTTAAAGGGATAAGTAAAAAAATATAAAATTGCAATTCAAGTTAATAAAGTAGAATAGAAACACAAATAATCCAAAATAAGTTTCATAATTCATGTGTCCATTTGACTTAGAAACATACATAAATATCTTTTCTGACATTCTTCTGGCCCTCGCTTGTTTTAATAGCCTGAAACCAGCTGGGTAATGGATAGAAAGAGTAGCACTGACTATAACATGTTAAGTTTAATAATAAACTTGTAAAATTATAGTAAACTAATCATAAGACTAGACAGTAAGAGGGAAAAAACTTGACTGTCTTGTTCAATGCATATATGCATAACACTGTGATAACATGCTTGGCTTTCTTAGCCAATTAAGACCAGCTAAACATTCAGTAAATAATAAAGCCAATTTACCAATTCTTTCTTAATTAGTTCTCTTTATGATTTTGTGGTAGAAGTCTAACCAAAGGATTTCCTTTTGACCATTTCTGGTGCTTTAGGGAATAATCATCCACAACAAACTGTCTTTAGCTGTCCCATTTTACATTTTTACAAGGATATGTTTAGGTCTTATTTTCCTTTTACTATCTTTCTGCCACCCTTCTGTAATTAAAATTTTCAGTGCTTACTAACTCCTACCAAGTGTGTATTCATTTGATTTTAAATAACTGTTTTATTTCAAATTATCTTTTTAGAAATTTTTAAATGATAATACTAATAAGAGATCATTCAAAGTATACTCAATTGTTATTCTCTAAACAAGTATTATTATTTTAAAATACCAAATAACATGAGTAAGTGAAAAAGGAAAATTAACTATTATTTACAACTTCAATGTATTAAATACTATTAAGAAAGGCAAGAAATCAGTGTGGCATTGATAATAATACTTTTGTTCCCAAATTACACATAGTGTTTGATAGCATTTTTAAATTGGGCAAACAAATTGATGAAGCTTAATATAATTATATAACGTAATATAATTATGCATGTTTTTAATATCCTGATGAGTACATTTAATTATATTTATTATCTTTTGTATTTATTGAATCATTCAGTAACAGTTCCGTCTTTTAAACTACTGACATTATAAAAATCTAATAAAACTCATAGTTTTTTCCCAATCTATTTCCTTAATATGAGGTTTTAATTCTTAAGAATTCTTAACATAATCTAATCTTTTGTTGTGTAATTCAATAAAGTGAATAGCCTAGAAATGTGTTCATATCCTTCCTAATCCATCTTTTATTTATAATGTTGAGATTTTAATTTTCAGAATTGAATTATAGTTAGAAAATATGGGAGAAAGTCTTTAGGATCCACTTTGGATACATAATATGAATTTTCACTTATCTTTTTCTACTTATGATTAAATGTTGGAACTTTAGGAAAAAGAAATACTGCATATATTTTTAAAAGACACTCATAAACCATTCTTAAGGAACACTGTTCAAATTAAATTGCTCACTTTCCCTTCTTAAAAATTTGCAGAATTCATGAATGATGAATCATCTTGGTTTTTAACCAGCCCGAAAAACATGATTATGTTCTTTTAAGATTTCAATAACAACTAAATTCTCCACAAAACAGAAAAAAAACATAGTTTGTAAATGTCACAAAAGATGAAAAAGGAGACATTTATTTTCAATCCCAGTAAGTCCAGTACCTTAAAAGGAATTTCTTAACAGAAACTGAAAATTGTACACCTCTGTAGAATAAATACCTATCTTGAATAAGCAACACATCTATAAAATTATTCAAAAGTGGTACACATTTTTATTCATATTCTATTTGAGTTGTATTTCATATTGGGTAGTGCAGATATATGTGGACACCAAATGAAAGACAGCATTCACCTAGGTTATTTGTATCTGTGTTTATAAATAACTGAATGAATGATCCAAGATTTTTCATAAACTATTTACTCTTCTCTGTTGTTAACCTATATCTGATTAAATCTAAATCAAATCTAGAGTATTTAAATACAATTAATGCCAAAAGTGAGTTCTTGTTTGAAATTTGGTTGGGTTTTATTTTTCATACTGTAAAAGTTGGTCCCTATATCTTGATATTGATTGTTACCAATTATCATAGATATCCACATTGGCAAAGTTTTAATCCATAATTAACTTGATCCGAGCATTTTGCAGCACCATTTATTCTGCCATTTTGGATGTTGATTAATAACAGGTTGTAGTTTTGACTGTTTTGCCCACTGCAGGTGACCAACTGAGTGCCATACTGAATTCCATTCAGTCACGGCCCAGTCTCCCAGCTCCTTCCATCTTTGATCAAGCTGCAAAACCTCCCTCTTCCCTAGTCCACAGTCCATTTGTGTTCGGACAGCCCCTTTCCTTCCAGCAGCCTCAGCTTCAGAGTAAGTCTGTCAGCATTAACCTGCCTCATAAGTCCATTTCTGAAGCTTTGCCATTGCTCTAACAGTCTGAGTTGTTTATCAGCTACTGAATGTCCTTTGGTTCACTGTATTGGTTATGTTTCAAGTTAGAGGGTTTTTTCCCATTTTTGAGCATAGAAATTATTCCCATAATATGTTCTTATGCTAGGATTTTTTTGGTTTTTTTTTTTTACCCTCTGTGTTAAGAGATTACTGATTTTCCTGTATTTTATTTAATAATTTAGTTTCTTCGAGTTCAGCATTACATGTTGCATTCTGATTCTAGCATAATTAGAGATAGCTTATATCTTTATAATGAAATTAATTATTTTAAATGTTACTTTAAAAAACAAACTTAAAATTTGAAATTTCCTATAAAAATAAGAAGCTTTAATGGCAGGCACTAGAGTATACATTTTCATTAGTTTCCAAATATTATTGTAGGGTAGAAATGAAAGTATAATAGCATACATTTGATCAGGGAAGTCAAATAAGTTTTATATGTATGAAATCTATCAGAGAACTAGTATACTAATATTTTCTGATCTTTTCAGGAATATTACTCTTTTAAATTACAATATAAAATGTAGTGAAAGGTTTTTTTTAATGAAACAATGGATTGGGAAATATGACTAGTAGCTATTTTTACATTTTTAATTATAACCCTATAAGATACCTGCTATTCATAGAGAATATTTAGTTGAACACTTCACAGAAGTAAGCGTGTAGAGAAAGACTTAAAGTTGCTTACTAGATAGATTCAAAAATACTTTTTGAATCATTTGTATCACAAAAGAGCTCAGTTGTAAAAGAGGAAAAGGAATTATAAGTTAAGATGTATTAATGTGTTCATTTCAAATTAGAAGCTATTAGCATGTACATATAGACAATTAGATGGAAACCATTAGAAATCAGGACCAAAAAAATAATAGAAGGAAATTCAGGACTAGCATTAGAAATGAAATCAATCAGAAATGAAATTTATTTCCTATTATTAGAGTAGCAGGGAGTTAAAATAAAAAAAATAAATGTGTATATTTAACCAAGATATAATTGGAAGTCTTAGAAAAAAATACATCGGGGCAGCTAGGTGGCGCAGTGGATAGAGCACCGGCCCTGAAGTCAGGAGGACATGAGTTGAAATCTGGCCTCAGACCAAACAATTGACACTTACTAGCTGTGTGACCCTGGGCAAGTCACTTTACCTCAATTGCCTAAAAACAAACAAAAAAAAAGAAAAAAGAAAAAACCATCAAAAGGCTTTACTTAATAAATTTCAAAGGAAAAACTTAGAAAAAATTGAAGTGTCATTAAAATGTTACACATAAATTTTAATTCTACATACTCTTTATTAACAATATTAAATAGTATTGAAATTATAAAAGTGTTACCATGATACTGGGCCCATAACAAGATGCAGGAAACATGTATTTAAAAGTCTTTTTTCATAGTCTACCTACTACCAATTTGTAATAAATTTAAAATAAAGGTATGAAAAATCAAAAACTATGTATTCAAGTCCTGGTTCTCTATTTTTTGTATTGAAGGGAAAGTGATTGAGCTAAGATTGTCTTCAAGCTTCTTCCTCTCAGTTAAACACTGTTCTAGTTTGTAAGTTGGCAGCATATTATATATATTTTGTGGCAATCTTCCACTCAAATACTTAATGAAATAATTTCACTTTAGCTTTGAAAACACAATTTTGTTTTGTTCTGGTTTTTTTACAGCTTTTTTAAAGGAAAAAAATTGAAAGCAGTTTTTTTAAGGCAATAAGCATTTTACTTCCAAATCTCAAAAAAGAGCTTTATTCTTTAGTGTAGAGACAAATAAAGCTCCTTAGCATCTGCACAAAAAAGTTTACACCTTTTTCAATAAACTAGAGCTCTGTTAACACCATCTTGAACTATTTTGGTTTGTAAGTATTTATTATTCAGAATGTATAAGTAAAATGCATTTTCCTTGAGCCTCATTTTGCCTCACTTGGCTTGCTGGAGGTCTTTTTGTCACATATTTCATGATATTGGATTCAAGGAGTTTATATAATAACCAGTCTAGAAAATGTTTATATATGAAAGTTTACTCCTTGTCACTACATAATAACAAAAGACATATTAAGCAGTTTTTTTTAAAGATTTTCTACTTATGTTAGCATGAGCATTTCATGTTTAAATTTTGATAACATTGACTATTTTTCCTTTGAAGGAGACTTCATTTTCAGAGTATAATAATTTGATGAAAAAACATTTATTTGCCTGTTATAAAATCTTGGAAGATTTGGCAAATCTGGATTATATTCAAATGAATTTTATTTAAGAACATCTTTTAAATACCTTACATAAAAGGTAGAATTGACTCTTGCCACTAAATGAATAAAACATTTCATGTATAAAAAGGTTTTTATTTGGCCTTCTGTAGACATTGTTTTAACAGTAAGAAAAGTTTCTCTATTTAATTTGATACCTTATATTCAATAAGTACACTAAGTATTTGAACTTATTTTTCTAATTAAGATTAAATCTAGAGGTAAACTACAAACCTTTTGTTAATATACAGGTTACATAAAGCATGCATATTTCATTATAGTTTTCTTCTGAGTTTTAATTATTGTTTTTAAATTTTTAATTTTCAGTCTTCAAAATGAGTTGCATTTCTTTTGGAATTAGTCTACTTGGGACTCTGAAAATCAGAATAAGATCTTGATCTTTTAATTGCCTTTTATTGTTGAAGTCCCATTATCTTTTTTTGTCGTTTTGGGAATGACAACTCATCGCTGTGTCCTCTGAACATCTAGCAGAGTATCTAGTACACAGAAGGTATTCAGTAAATATTTGCTGAATTATGATAAATAGAAAATTTGTTTCAATACTTATATGTTCTCCATTGAAAATAGTACTGTTTAGGGGCAGGTAGGTGGTGCAGCAGATAGAGCACCGGCACTGAAGTCAGGAGGACCTGAGTTCAAATCTGGCCTCAGTCCAAACACTTGACACTACCTGTGTTACCCTGGGCAAGGCACTTAACCCCAATTGCCTAAAAAATTTTTTAAAAAAAGGAAAACAGTACTTTTTAGAGTGTGAGTTCATCATTATTTCCATAAGATAGTTCTGAAGTTCTAAAAAATGTATTTTATTAGCCATTTTCCATTAAAAATATACCTATCATACATAATAATTCATAATCCATAAATTGTGAAGTCTGAGAAAGATCCTCTGCCCATATTTAAAATTACTCCTTTACTGATTTTGGCGTATATACAATATGACTAGTATCTAAGAAAGTAGACAATTTACTTTGTGTTTCTCAAGTAACAGAAATAGAATATGCCTATAGCATTCTATGCTAAGTATGGAATTTTTCCAAACAGAAAATGTATGAATAAACAGGTTAACACACATTTTGTAAATTGAGTAGATTACCCATGAAAGTTTTACCTTTATATATGGTCTCAGTTTAGTCCTGCCAAATAGAAAGTAAAATATACAAAAAAAAGTGAAATACAATTTATTTAATAAAGATAAATCTTTTTAGTTCTATAATATAAAGCTTATTTGTTCTCCTAAATATTAAAACTTTTTAAAAGGTCAACTCTTTATATGTGGGTCGGTTATCTTCAATAAATCCATTTTTCAAGTTTGACTACACCTACTCACAATCAAATACATTTGTTGACACTTCAGCTTCTTATGCTTTCCTTGCTTGTTAATGTCTTTGAACACATACACACACACACACACACACACACACATATATACACACACTTTACTATTTGTCATGTCTCTGGAAAGATTTTAAGATTCAGAGAAGTTCTTTGAACACATGCAGTATCCTGTGTTCCAGAAAAGGAAGAGCTTATATCATCTCAGAGAATACTCTATATTTCCAGCATGGAATAGGTTGCAGCAAAGAGTTAAGGAGAAGTTTAACTCTAAACTATCTCACATCAGCTTCTGTGGGTAGAGTTATCATCTCTATACAGATAATTCCCAGATCTGTTTATCCAGCCCTGACCTCTCCCTTGGGCTTCAGTCTCACGTCATCAACTGGGACATTTCAAACTAGATTTTATTTAAGCATCTCAGACATGTCCAAAACAAAACTCATTATCTTTCCCCAAAAACCTTTTCTTACAAACTTCCCTATTACTGTCAAGAGTACCAACCTCATCCCAGTCCCCCAGGGTCACAACCCAGGTGTTAACATGAAATTCTTGCTTTGTCTTAGCCCCCATATCCAATCTTATGCCAAAGCCCAATTTTGCCTCTGCAACATCTCTTGAATATGCCGCCCTTCTCTCCTCTGGTATTGCCAACAGCCTAGTGCAGGCCTTCATCATATCTTTACCCCTGGACCACTGCAATAAGCCTGCTAGTGGGTCTGCCTTCCACAAGTCTTTTCCCACTCCAATCTGTCTTCTGTTTGGTTGCCAAAGTGATGTTTCCTGTAGTGAAGGTCTGACCCTGTCACTCCCCTATTCAGTAAACTCAGAGGGTGCCTATCACCTCCAGGATCAAATATAAAATCCTTTGATTGGTGTTCAAAGCCCTTTAGAATAAAGCCCGCAACCCCACCTTCTCAGTCTTCTTACACCTTATACCCCTCACATACTCAGCAGTCCAGTGCCACTGGCCACCTTACTGTTCCTCAAACAAGACACTTCATCTTTTGGCTCTGGGCATTTCCATTCCTGGAATGGTCTCCCTGGAATGCTCTCTCTCCTCATCTCTGCCTCCTGCCTTCCCTAGCTTCCTTCAATTCCACTCAAAATCTCACCTTCTACAGGAGCCCTTTCCCAGTTTCTCTTAATTCTAAGGTCTCCTTTCTTATGCTTTCCTGTTTATCTGGTATATAGCTTGTTTGTACCTAGTTATTTATATGTTTTCTCCCCTATTAGACTGTGAACCCATTAAGGTCAGGGACTCTCTTTTGCCTTTCTTTATATCTCTATCACTTAACACAATTCCTAGAACATAGGCACTTAATAA